GAGTCCGATCAACGTCCGGTGAACGGACAACTTCAGCGATCTCAGGGTCACAACGTTACAAGGTCTAGAGACTTCCGACATGGGTGCTACGTTCCCGCTGTCACTAGCAGACTTCATCTAGCCTGTTGTTGGCAACTCGCGCTCCCAAGGTTGGCGTCAAGTTGTCAGCAACGTTTTGCCTAAGCAAGAAGAGCAAGACGTCGTTTCCTTGATTCCGAAAATCCTCACCTGGTCGGAACAGCACACTTGGCCTGTCGCCGCAGTTGGACGGCACCTTGATCTCCATCCGCTCGGAGAAAACGACTTTCTCCTCGCCCGTCATCACCCATCCCGCCCGGGGGAAAACTTCGATCTCTTGGGGCTCCTCTGCCTCTTCCGCCCCCTTCCTCCGTTTGCCCGGCCGTTTCTCCCCCGGTTCAAGTAGCCTTTTCTGAATCCAATCCGTCCGGTTCTGAAAGGCCGTTGCCTGCATCTGCAAACGGCTTTTCTTGGTGTCGTGCTCCCCTTGGATGTTGGCCGCCATCCGTTTTGACGTGTTTCCGAGCGCGTGCATTCCGTCTATGACCATCCTCCGAACCATGTCGTAGTACCTAAGCTCTTGCAATGCACAAACCCCCTTGACCCCGCTCGCTTTTATCAGCAATTGCTTTGCTTGTCCCTCCGGGGTCTGCTCAACTACTTGTGCCAGTTGGAGGAGCTCGTTGTGCGTCCGCTTCGCATGGGGTTCTCTCAGCTCCGGCTCCCCGAACGAAGGGTCCGTCCGGAAAGGATGATCGGGGGGGAGGCTTCGCCGGACATCGTTGTTGTAGACGACCTTGTCGAGAATCGATGAGTGCTCCCCCGGAGCTGTGCAGCACAAGCAGCCTTGCAGCGCCCCCGTAGCGAGCTGTTGGGTGAACAGGGGCAGTCCCTGGTAGTCGGACATGTGCCCTTGGAGAAGCAGATGGAGGTGCAAGGGCTCGTCGTTCTGGGACGGGTCTGGGACGACAAGGCCTGCAGAGAATACTCGATGATGTCGTACATCGTAACATGCACGTTGCAAGCTTCGAATCTGAATTGCTTCTTTTGTTACTTTTGCCAAGTCGTTGAAAGGAAACCGCTTAGGTGAAGAAATTTTTCATATTTAAATTTTTCGAAAGAAGCTTTCTTAGATCAAAGAAAGTCGCGGCCGTCTGATTGAAGTTTTGAATTCGGGCCTCTCCTCAATTTATTGTGTCAGAAGCTCGAGTGTAGCCTCACTGATGCATAAAGTGCAAGGCAGTACCACAAAGTATGAACATGGATAGTGCCTAGTAGGTGCCATGCCTTCAAGTCAAGTTCACAACAATTGCTGTTGCCCTGAGGAACTCTGACAACTTCCAAATAATTCTCACCTTGGGTTCCTGGACCATAGTCTTTGAGCTCAGAAACAAGCGGCTCGAGGTACGTCTGCAGATTCGCTGGCTTTCCGTTGGGAATAAGTGCGAGCAACACGCAGTTTGACTTTCTGAACCAGTCCTCGGGCCGAAGATTCAAGTTTGCTGCATAGAGCGGCCAATACGTCTTGTTACCTGCAGCAAATAAATAAAGTACACGTTACATCTCAGCTCGAGTTGTTTAATAAATGCGTTTCGCAACGTCTGAGAATGAAAGGAGATTCATCGGTTCAAAGCATTTCACCGAATTTTGAGCGTGATCAGCACCTTTCACATCTAAGGCCATGCCAAAAACAAACACCACATGCAAATAACATCGAAGAGGCGGCATGTTGCCTTCTAATCTGCCCGACTATTCAAACCCACAATCTTTGTGCCATCAGGGGAAGTTACCTACCCTTCTTGAAGGTGGCAACACCGTCTGTTACGGCCAGCCAACTCAAGTTCCGAGGATCTTTCTCAGGGCACAAAGCGATGGTCTCCTGAAAACCTTCCGTATCTGCGAGTCAGACATGAATATTCTTCAACCTGCAGCAATGAATGATCAATTAGTCCTTCCTTCGTCCGGGATTGAACAATGATCGCGAAGACGAGATTCTACATTCATGCATGATTCATGTGAGTTCCTCAAATGACGTATGTACAGCAGGTGGTTGGCATGCCGCGCCCGTCAGCATGTCTTACAACAATCATAATCGGCCCGCTGCAATGGAACATATGCATATGGGTCCAACAATATATGCGCCAAGATAATGCATTTTGCATGCTCAAACATGTGCGAATAATTCAACATAGCAACAGGTGCAGTAAAACGGCCTTGGAATCGCCTCTCTCCCCTCGCTGCTTTTCACCAGCGCTGGTGAAGCGTGGACTATCTATAGCCTGTATGGGGAGAGGGCGGGTGAGGCTGGGTGAGCGGCCTGGAGGCGCCCGACTGTCTCATCCGTGAGGCCGCGAATTGATGTCAACCGTATCTGGGAGGAGTGCAGCGCGCGGAGGGGTCTATGTTCCGATCTCCGCCGTTCAAAGTTGCCCAATCCATTACTAGCCCGCCCGATGAGAGACACGCGTCGCGTTGTTAACGTGGAAGGACGTGGCCTAATGTGGGCAAGGAGTTTTGGCAGGGCCTCTGCAGCTAACAGACTCAGACTCAGACTCAAAGTCAGAGCCAGGTTCTGTAGACCCCGCTGTAGACCTGCTTGCAGGAGGCGAAGTTGGCGGCATTGCGGCATTCTTTCAGAAGGCAGATAGCGTCCTTTTCGCAGCCCATGTCTCACTGACAAAGTACTAAAGGACAAAGAGAAGCCTTGCATTTGAATTTGAGTTGAAGAGTTCAGATTGATTGACAGGAAGAAGAATCGGGACAAAGTTTCGGTCGCGACGAAGGCTGGGGGAGCTGTACAATCGGTAGCGGTCTGAGAGAATTAGTCTTTGGAGATAGCAATGGCCCAAGTTGCAGCCCATGCTGCGGCTGCAGATCTTCAGATCCTGAGTTGTACAAGGAATATTGCGGCACAGACTTCCAGCTCAGCATCAGCGTTTGCTGGGCGCAGAATACCAACATGCACCAAATTCAATGTGTCAGAAGCACGGCGGGCACGACAAGGTGTTCACGTATGTGCAGCAAAGAAGGACGACAAGCCGGATGAGCAGAAGCAAGGCTTCTTGTCGGGCATTGCAGAGGCTTTGGATTTCGCAGCGGTGAGTTGCTCTTGATCTGATCTATCATGTCAAGCATTAGGAAGATTTGCTGCCTTCCGTCAACATTATGTCTGTCGCAGGGGCTCTTGCTTGTACCCTCGTGCCCCTTGTTTCAATCTGTCTCAGAGCTTGCAACTGACGGGTAGAATTACCAGACTCAAAGATATCCTCACCACATTCAAGGATACCCCTAGTATTCACTCCGAATTTTATGTGTTGCTGGGCACCGCATGTTAGTATGTTTGCAGTGTATTTGATATGGTAGTTCTTGAGATGTGTGTACGGTCGTTCTTTTGAAGAAGTCACGTTGGTCATTAAGAGTTCATTCTGGTAAACTGGGTGGCCTAACATTGCTCTTCAAGCTCAGTTTTGCATGTCCGATAGGCTGTCGGCCGGGATAAGTGGCGCTAAGCAGACTCTGAGGGTGTTTGTTTCTTTGGTGGGCACATTGAACAATTCTGACTTTGAGACGGAAGTCTTTGCAGGTGAGATCTGAGAAGGATAGAGACCTGATTGATGATGCCAGGGCGCAAGTAAGGAGCGGGGAGCGGATGTCTCGCGAGCAGGTGAGCTGTTTCCATTATCTCTTCTCTCAAGGTTTGTGATGTTCAGCGTCCTGAGTGCTCCCAGGATGTCGTTCTGCTCCCAGGATGTCGTTCAGTCAGCTCGACTGGAGTCCAGATGTTTCAAATGCAACTATTGCAACACACATTTGGCAGTATCGTCTTTCTCATTCTGTGGGTGTGAGTGGGGTCATTGGGGATTTCAGTCCATCATGACTAAGTGAGGCCTTCTTCTGGAGGCTCCGCGGCAAGTCAAAAACAAACTCGTATATGACATCAGAAAACTATGCCAACAACCACCGAGTAAAAGTTGAAAAAGTTCTGCAGAAAGTGGCCGTTGGTGGTTGACGGTGGCTCGAGCATATAGCTGTAAACCACCTTGATGTACTGCTGACTTGGCACTCCATCACTCGCTGCAGAAACTTCAGTCGTCTTGACAGAATACTTCCTGGGCTGACAAGCATGGTGTGCATGGTCTTGCTCTTCTAGTGGGCCATTTATTTTCTCAACTATATGTAGTATGTTCTGAACTTTTTCCGGTGATCTTGCAGTATGGGGCCCTGAGGAGGAAGATTGGAGGAACTTATCGCGACTTCTTCAAGGACTCCGTGGACGTCAAAGGAGCGGTAGGTGACACTTGAAACCTCAATCACATGTTTTGAGTGCACTCGCAGACTTTGTCGGAGTTTGTTTTTGGTGCGAAGTAAGAGGCTGCAGGTCTTGAAAGATGGTACATGCGATGACTCATGTGCCTTTTGATGGGCAGTAAAATATAAGCTCTTTTTTTCGTTCTTGTAAGGGCCCTGAGTAGGCCTACAGATACTAAACCACTGGTATGCGATATCATGGAACAACGTCTTTGTATCTCTGAGTAAGCCTTTTAAGGGCTACATATATATTTGCCTGGTTCCATTCACTGCCCTATGCAGTGCGGTAGGTTTTCCAGTCATAAGTATCAGTAGTTGAGAAAAGGAGGATCATACGAGTATGTCGGCCGCCATGTCCGAGCGGGTCGTATTTGTCGGCCGACCAGGTGCGGACTTTGATCTCCTTCGTCCCACCACTAGAGGGGGGCCAAATATTTGTGACACCGTGTTGATTTCTGCTCGGCATGTCGTTTTTCTGACAAGCCTGTTCTTTTGTTGCCTATCAGTATGTTGAAGACGGGTGGGTGGATAAGACGTGTTATATCTGCAAAAAGGATACTTCATCGAGCCCACGGCAGAAGGATAGTTGGGGTAGGTACGCTCATGTTGAATGCGCAGCAAACAAGAAACAGGGAGGCTTCCTGAGCAAATTGTTCGGAAAGTAGTCAATAGCAACACAGACGGTCTCGATTTCGCAAGAGTCCCCTAGAATGGTAGGGATAGAAGGTGTCCTAGAAGGTGTCCTACTCGTTTCAGAATCTGCCGAAAGGTGCATGCAGGAATGGGTAGATCGTTATTAGATTGAAGGAGACTAATACATTTCATGGGTAATCAGGTCTTTTAGGTACGTAGGCTTTAATTCAATGGAAAGATCGTCGACGGTCCTCCAAGAAGTGTGCTAGGACGGTCGGATCCATAGCTGGCAGATTCTTCCGAGTTGGTAAATAGCCTGTACTTGAACAGCCGTTGAGCAAGTTGATTTTGGCGCGCGCAGCTTTTGAATGCGACCCTCAGTTTGACCTAGTGCTCATGTGTCATCCTAGCATATCCAAAGTGTACGGTACTAATTTGGTATCAAAAAGCCATCCGCTGGCGTGTATGATATATGCGTTTTTCAGTCAAAGGCTACTGAGCATCACAATGAAGATTGCGTGGGTTTGACCAAATGAAGGAAGTACCAATTGACCGCGTCCAAGACAATGCATATGCCGAATAACCATGATTGCAACGTTTCAACATTTCAACATTTCAACAACATATAAGAGCACTGATTGACGGCCGTGCCGGGCCCAGTTGTTAGGGCGGCCACTTACTGTAGTGCACAGCCGGCGGCGAGGGGCCGGCGTCCACTCGAGCGCTAGGCCGCATGTTTGGCCCGCAATTTGTTTACTGAGATTGCCAGGTCTTTTTAAAGTCGACACTGAAAAGCTCGCAGGTTGCTCGGTTGGAGGAGCTGTATTGATACGCTGTATAAGTGCGAGAACGTTCAGAAGGCAGTCGCGCAACCTGCAATGTGCCACGCCTCATGTGAGGTCGAATAGTCGTAGTGCCTACTGTAGATGCATGCACCATTGCAGCGCGCCAGTTCACATTGACCAGCACTCGAGCATGTGCTAAGATTCAAGTTGGTCGCTACTATCATTTCTCTTCATCGTAGTACCAAGTTATCCAGTCAGTTCAGGGACAAAGAGGATGAACGTAACAAGCAAAAATGCTAAAAAGAAGTCTGCCGCAACGGCGGATCGAACGCCGGACCTTAAGATCTTCAGTCTTACGCTCTCCCAGCTGAGCTATTGCGGCAGGTGTGGTGAGTTAGCACTTTGTAAATATATAAATGTTTTAAATTTGCCCGGCACTCTGATCTTTGAACTGGCCGGACTTTGTTTCCAAGCTAGTGTCACATTTGCAGGTGCGCCTATGCAGTCGTTGTTCTACAGGTACTTTAACACTGAAGTATGTCTGCCATGAATGGGTTTGGACCGGGCAAAGCCGGCCCCGGCAAGGCGAACACTGACAGTGCAAAACACAACCGTCGATGAACTTTCTCTCATCCTTGCCGTACGATCCCGGAATTCGATGGGTTATAACGGCTTTCTGTGACCTACGAACGGTACAATCAGCGTGCATGCGGGGTAGCTGTGGTTCATAGGACAAAATTGCATCAGAGTTCCAGACTCAATCCTTGGCAAGAGTTCCGGATGAGTGGATGCAAGATGCAAGAAGAGAAAGGTCGGAGGGGCTTGTTTTGATGGGAAATGTGCAACGACATTGGAGGGCCCTGACGGGGAGATGCCTAGAGATCGCTTGTTGCCAAAGCTCTGCCTGATACTTGACCCTGTCAAACATTTTAGCCTGATGTTGGAAATTAGCTAAAGCCTAAGGACTAGCAATGGACTAGCAACGCCTGAAGTTATCAAAGCCTTCCTTTGGGTATCTTGAGGCTTGTCCATGTTGCAAAAATAGATGAAATTGGTCCAGGCCTAGATTCACCTTGTGCTGCTTGTCAAAAGCTGTCTGCAGAGTAGCATGGGCAACCTTTTCTCATGTCTGGGCTCTGGCCCCGAGCCAGAGAGGGTGGAACCCAAGTCTCCCCCAAAGCAGGTATGTCCACTGACCACTGGACCAGGTTGAGATTCCCTGCCAAAGGGTTTTACCGTTTGGATTTAAAGTCAGAGTGCAACAAAGTAGCCTTGCAATCACGGCGATGGGACCAGATTGAGCACCATGTGGTGATTGTACGGTGGTCGTCTTTTTGCAAGGCTTAAGACAAATATGTGTATGACTTTTGCAGGACACCAAGCGGAGGACTCGGAGGAAGGTGGTGGCAACTGAGGACCCTGCCGAACCTGAGGGTACGTCGTTTGCCCGATTATCACCCCCAATCTTGGTGCTACTGGTGTAGTCAAGTTTCTTTTCAAGAAGACGATGCTTGCACACAGGTTGCACTTGCCTTGCTTCAATGCATTAGACCACAGATATCTCCTGCAACCACAGATATCTCCTGCAACTCCTTGGGACTGCTTGTCGTGAAACTTCTTATCTACATTCCAGTTAGCAAGGGATCCCTCTTGTCACCTTGCGCAATGATTGACATCAATTGTGCGAAGCGAATAAGATTGGGACTCAGCTTTGACACACTGGAATGCTCGCTGCAGGCCTCCGCCCGTTCAAGCGGCCCCCCTCCAAGCACCGCCAGCAATGGGTGGAGCACAGCACGTCCTCCGGCACAACCGCGGGCATCCGGCCCGGCGGCTCGTCTATCAGCACGATGGGAAGCATGGTCAGCAGCAACACGCTGCCTGTGAACTTGGAACAGGAGAGGCGAGCACTGGGGAAGAAGGACTGGGAAGACGGCCTTCCGTCGCCGGTGCAAGAGAATGGCCCCAGTTGGGAGCAGGTGGAGGAGCTGAATGGGGAGGTGTCGGACCTGAGGCAGCGGCTGATGCACGAGAAGGAGGAGGCAAACAGGCTCAAGCTCATGGTGCGTCCAGGGCCGAGATATATCTCCGGACTCGGGCCAAGTTTTTGCCTACCAAACTTTCTCGCTGCTTGGTCACGTCATTGAAGCAGGCCCGATGCTAAGTTGATAGAGATGGGTTTTCAAGGCATTGTTGAAGCCTTCATGTTAGGACATTGAAGGGCGTAATTTGCCACCAACTAACTGCTGTTTAATCTTGTCCACACTAAAGGAAAAAGGAAACCCTCGTTGCGACTTCTCAAGACCTATGTATACTCAAACACGAGAGCCACGCTTCTTGTCAAACTCTTCCTTTCATTCCACAGAAAGTCGAATCTTAAGTATAGCAGGGGTTGACGTTCTTTTTGCAGGACCTAGAAGCAGGTGGACCTTCAGACTGCCGAGAGGATTTGACCTCGAGTCTCTTTTAACAGTCTGACCGTCTCTTATTGTTTTCATTGCAGGTGGAGAAACTCAGAGTCAGCAACAGTGGTGTCAGAGAGGCGTCGCCGGATGCCGTGCTGACTGGGACACCCCTTCCCCCTGGTCCCGAGCAAGGCCCGCTCTCGTCTGTCCTCGCAACACAGAGGTCAGCGCAGCAAGACACCTGCGAGTCGGTGGTCGGTGCAAACGGTTCTCCAGAGCAAATGAGCCGGCTGACGGGAAAAGGGGTCGCAGAAAGGGATGGCGAGCGGACTGAAGCGAAGCAGCCCCCAAGCAAGGGAAGTGGCCTGCTGGGACTCAGTCTGGACGCGCAAGACATGGTGGAGTTAGGCTCTCCCATTGTGTCGAGCCCACCCCGGGAACAGGCTCCACCATCCCAGCAGAACAGCAAACCTTCGGAGAATGAGCCGTTGCAGAGGGGTAGCAAGGAAGGAGGGGAGTCGGCTGATGATGGGAGCGGAGAACCAGAAAGCAGCTCGGAGAGGGACTACAGGAGCTCGGGGGCGGAAGGTTCTTTGGAGAATGATCGACGAGCCCGCAGAACTGCACCGCCACTTGGGCCGCCCAGCGGGGTGCTTATTGCGCGGAGGAAGAGCCACGGGCCGTCCGGTGAACGCTCCCCGCAAGAACACAGTCACAGGATGGACTCAAGCGGGGCCGGGAAGAGCTCTTTGACGGGCGCAGATATCGCGGAAGGGGCCACAGAACACCTGAATGCAGCAAGCAACGCAAAACTAGGTGAAAAGGAAGCTGGTCCAGTTGGATCGGCAGCGCAACTAGAGGAGGCAGACGCGGAAGCGGCCGCACGGCGGGAGGCGTTGCGGCGGCAGTCGAGGCAGGATCGTGCAAAGGCGCGACTGGCGAGGCGGCAGGCCAATCAGGCGGCGGAGGCAGCTGGGCGGTCCCCTACGAAAGATGTTGTTCGGCAGCCCCTGGCAGAGTCTCACTTGAGCCAATTAGCCCCCGCTTGGGATGAAGATGACGCTGCAGCTGAGTGGGCTGGTGGTTCCGTGCTCGGAGATGGGCATAGAGAGGGGGTTCTTGAATGGCGGGGCCCCGGGGCGGGCCAACGGAAAGGAAACCAGACGAGGGTGGATTCCAACCGAGCGGAATCTGATTCTGACATGTCATTTGGGGGCTGGCTTCCAGACACAAGGGCAGGAAGGTAAGAGGAGTTAGCAAACTTGTATGCTTCATTCTTTCAAAACGGCGGGGCAATCGTTTTTTAACTGAAAGCGCGACTTTCCAATCGAGACAATTTTACTCAGACATTGTAAGGACAGCCGCTGAGCTTTTTGATAGAAGACTTCTGCTAGAACGAGCAGTCGCTGTTTCCTCAGAGCTTTTTCAGATCGAAGTGACCATGCTGATCATCCTTTGCACGTATGAGATGCAATCAGCGGTTGGAAAGGTTCTCTTGTTTCTCGACTCCCAGCTTTTGCAATTTAGGTCATGATGATAACAGTCGTTCACAATTGACTGGAGAAAGCTTATCGACTCTTGGCTGGCATGAGGTACGCTTTGAGTAAGGCATGATGCTTAGGTCCTCTTTCCGAGTGCAGGGGCCGGGCTGACCACCTCCAATCAGAGGCCACAAACAAACCCCTCAGGAAGGGAAGCTACAGAGCGAGCAGTCTGGTGGATTCTGTCGCTGAGGAAGAACCAAGCGACTCCTTCAGCTTTGGGAAGCGGGGTAAGGATCTGGAAAAGCTTCTGCGTTTGTTCCCTCCTGCAAGATTATCAAAAGCGGAGACGTGGCTGCTTCTTCCTCAATGCTGGGTCTGTGACTGAGAGTGGGTTCACTGCAGTCAAACTCATTGTCTGCAGAGACGCTTAATTTGCGGATGCATATGCAAGGTGGACATCACGCTGAAGGGTTGTCTCAGTCTCGTCACAGGCGCTGGTGTTGGCTTATTGAAGCATTCAGCCGGACCTGAAGTAGAAACCTTATCTTCCTCTTATATGATGAAGGACAACCCTTTTTCTGTTTCCTAATATCACTCTTGGTACTTCTAACAGCCCAAGACTCCTTCCCAAGCGGGACCAGATCTCTGACCTGAGCAAGAACTCGTGCAGGTCCTCCTTCGTTAGCGGATGCTGCGATTCAGAAGCTCGCCTCGCCAGCCAAGCTAGACAGCCCGGGGAAAAGGCCTAGCAGAACCAAGCGGGCCCATAAGTCACCGATCCCCTCCCCGCCTCAAGCCCCCGCCTTGCAGTCCGACGATAGCATGGGCCAGGAAGAAAACGAACGAAGAGAGCCTGTACAGTTGACTGGGGCTGAGTCGCCGAGCAATCCGTTAACCACGATCGAGCATCCCGAACGCAGCCCTCGAGTCTCGTCCCCCTCCCAGCTTCTCAACACCCGCGAGCGGCTCGCTCTCAAAGGGGTTATGGTGGGCGCCCCGGGGTGGGGGTCCCCTAAAGACAGGGCCCTCGGTGGAGCGTCTGGACGAGTAGGGGCCGAAGCCAGGGCGCGGAAGGCCCTGTGGGAGCCGGAGACGAAGGCCGAGGAACTGCTGGAGCGGGCCCGGCAGCTCACTACAGGGGCCCTTTTGCACAGCCCGGAAGCTCCTGAGGAGATGCCCCCCCGAATCTCGAGCAGAGAAGCCCAACACGATCCGCCGGAAAGGGTCCTCGCCTCCCCAACAAAGCTCCGACCCTGGAGATCCGGTGCAAACGAGCACGCGCCAAGTCAATCCCCGCAACTCTTGCCGCCAGCTGTCGAAGCTGAGGTGCCAGCTGTCCCCTCCCTCAGCCCCCTGCGCAGGCACTCTGGCAAGGGCCAAGACGCATTGCAGCATCAGCCGGAGACTCCGACCGTGCAACGACCACTCCCGACCAGCCACGTGGCAGGCCAGAGGCAGCCGGCGATTGAGGCCCCGGTCCCGCGGCGCGCGGTGTCTGCACGCACGACGGCGTCGGCGGCCAGCTCGGCCGGCAGCGAGTCGGTTCAGGTGGACAACCCGTTCAGGATCGGGCTGACGTCGAGTCAGGCGTCAGTGCAAAGGGGTCCCGGTAGCGCAGGGGTGACGGTGGATCAGCCTCAGCACCATAGGACCGGCGCAGGAGCACAGGTGAGCATCTTCTTGGGACTTTGGAGGTTGAAGGGTATGGTTGCGAAGTCTCCGATTAGCCTGCCTCAGGATCACAGGCAGCGATTCAGAGGTGTTTGACCAAGCAGGACTCCCGTATCATTCTTGTCACCACCACGTCTTCAGGATCAAACACCGATGACGGAGGGAATCTGAGCTTCGGCTCCAAAGCACGACAATGAAGGAGAACCTCCAACGGTTGGCGCGAGCTTGGCTCGTCCGCTTATTGATCAGAGACTTTCACGGTTTGCTTGCTGTTCTTGGCATGGTCATACAAGAGGTGAACCGCCTTTGATGCCATTTCCTCCTCCTTCGTGCAGGTGACCCGTGTACTCGCCCGCACCTCTTCCGAGGTCGAGTCCCGCAAGCCGCCGGTACCGGAGCCAAAGGTCGCTCGAAGCCGTTCCTTCGACGCTCCAAACCCTAAATCTGCGCCAAGAACGGCGCCCCAAGCCGCCGCTCACAGCGGCCTTCCCCCGAGACCCACCCCTGCGACCGGTAGCAACCACCCGGGTGGCGGCCTCAGTCGAATTCCACTCGCTCCGCACCTGAAAGTGGACCACCGCCGGCCCAAATCGGAGCAACTGGAGACGGACGCTGTCCCGTCACCCTTCCGGACGCGGGAGAGGCTGCCCAAGGACTCGTCGGACGAGCTGCACCGGACGTCCGAGCAGCCGCGGAAAGTCACCAATGACGCCGCAGAGAACTCCCCGGAAACCCCCCCGGGCGCGCGTGCATGGGCCAATCTTCAGGAAGTGGGCCAGCTCAGGGGGATCCCCCGGGACGACGCCCACCGGGCGCGGCCCAGCTCGTCGAGCCAGAGCGCTGTCGAGCCCCCGGTGGGGCCCCCGAGCAAGCCGAAGCACCGGCGGCGGCACTCGCACGGCAGCAACGGCGAGCTGGACGCCTTCTCCGCGCTCCCGGAGTTCAAGGAGAATGCGGACCCGCGCCCGAGCGACGAGGATGACGTCATGCGGCGGCTGGCGCGGTCCCGCGCGAGGAACCTCTCTCGGGGGGGCAGCTCCGGGGAGGAAGGTGGGGGGGGGACCGGGATGTGGGAGGTGCAGGAGAACACGGTGGAGGTGCCCGGGGGATTCGAGGACCCGGGGACACCGACGCCGGTGCTTGCGAACGACGGACGGGGCATTCCGAACCGGACGGACAAGTACAAGGAGGTGAGGAAGGGCGCTGGCTTCTTCGCAGGCTCACGGACAGCGCTGCTGCTCGGATGCGGACTGCTTCTACCGGTAAAGAGGAGTTGGGATTCGAGTATAAGATCGGGCCAGAAGGTGTTTAGCAGCCGCGCTATGGGGAGATCGGCACTGACTTCAGCACTTCGGAGGGGAGCCATGGGCGGCTTGTCTGAATCTGAAAAGCTTTGAGCAAGTTGTATCTGTTGAATAGACAACTCGCGGCGTCTTCTGGCAGTACACACTTCAGCGTTTTTAAAACGTCTACCACTTTATCTCATGGACTCTCTCCTGTGCTGCTTGTATCAGGACCAGAAAGTGAGGGTTCACAGCACGCCCTTTGAGATCCGAGTTGAGAGGGTCATTGCCAAGCAGGAAATGAAGCAACGGTGAGCCTTGCCTCCGCTTCCTCGCACTTCAATCCCTACGTTTCCGTGTAGGCAATTAGTCTGGTCTTGAATTCAATGCAACCGAGGCACACAGAGCTGTTCGAAGATGACAATTAAAAAAGGCGAGGCTGGCATTATAACCTCAGGACCTACACCCCCGCCTATCTCGTTCAACCCTGGCTTTGTTAATGAACGTATTCCGGCCACAAGCCTAGCTAGCGACATCACTTGATTCGACTGGATCAGATAACGTCGACTAACTGCGTGCTCCATGTTCGTTTCAGGCGAATTCAGTTCCCTAACTTGATCAGTAACATGGGACCTTGCACTATATGAGTTAACGAGCGCGAAGACCGCCTTGCGTTGACTAGGTATTGGTAGAGAATAGGCAGAACGCTCTTGCTTTCTGCTTCTAACCCGATGAGCACCCGAGGTAAACTCTCTAGACTGCAGAAACAGGACATCAGTTACCAAGCCCCGCACCATAGAATAGGATGGCTTCCTTTCTAGCGTGCAGCTAGGGTTGGAGTAGGGTAGATATTTCCTTTCCTTGTTCGAGAAGGTAAAGGCTGGCATCGTTCAACTCACGCGAGTCGCTTTGTTGAGACGGTCTTCTTTAATTGGAGTATGTGGCCCTCCAGAAAACTCTTCGCAGTACAGCATAAGTTGCATGCATCGGCCCGCAATCCGCACTAAGGTGTACTATATGATTGAAGGTCGTATTCAGAAAAGTCGACACTGGATGTTTGCATGACCGAATCGAATCTACCGCACATGGGCCTCTGGCATTGCGTCCTATGGAAAATGGTGGCGCCAGGGCGGCTAGCTGCACACATGAACTGCCAGCTTGCGTTTTCAACATATCTCTGATCATGGTCAGAGTCGTGCAGGCAAGTATATGCATCGGCACTTTCAATATTCAGAGGCCATGCATGTATGGTCGTAAACATGCTCAAAAACTTCATATCGTCCAACTGAAGAGGCAGTCCAGCCCGCGGCGATCCATCGATTATATGCACGTATAATTGACAGGCTTTGCATGCCGGATATCACCATCAAATCTTGTATTGCCAAGTCCTCACGACTTTAAAGCGCAAACTCACGAGTTGCCGTTTCTTCTTTTTTCCCAAGAGGGCCTTTCATTGAGAGCCTGGTCTTCCGAAATGTGCTCTCGAAATTCGTGTGCAATCATGTAACATATTATTGGATCGAGAAGCTATACTTTGAGCGGTTGGTCCAACGGCGAAACGCTTTCTTGAAATCAAGCTTCAGTGGACTATATGTATAAGCGGAGTTAGCTCCGACGCCTTAATCATCCCAACAAGTGCGCCTTGATACGAGCGACCACCCTCTCATCGACTACGTTCAAAAATCATTCAGTGCAGCTTTGGCCCGCTGGTGTCGGGTGGTGAAAGGTGAGTACATAATCTTCGCACTGTCTTCTTGAAACACTATCTATCTTGCGAGAGCCAGACAGGTCACTCCCGCTAGCAGGACAAGGCCGGAGAGCCAGTAGATCCTCCTGGCTTTGCGGTCCTTCATCTCGTCGAAGACGCAGAGGCCCCACAGCCCGCCCACGAACAGCCCCGACTGCATGATGGGGTACGCGATTGTGTAGCCCAGGTAACGGATGGACAGAATGCCGGCAGCGTTGGCAATGTTCCAAGTGGCTCCAGCGGCGAAGCCTGTGAAAAGAAAGAACCTTCGAAGGTTTTACTGGCGGAAGAAGATAGTTATCTGAACGTGTAGAAAACGGGTCTGAGCGCGGCTGTTTGCGTTGGAGTGGAAGGATTGAGCGGCGGAAATCCCCGTGAGCGCACCCGGCGTCGAGAAGGGTCAAGCTCTATGCGCTGATCAAACCATGGAATGGGAGACTCCAATGAGATGGTCTCGCTTGTGCCTCACAAAGGTGGACAAAGTATCAGAAAATTTGCCAGCAACAAAAGCACGTTTGCTCAAGTAGGACAATCAGCGCGTCATTTTGGCAATCGTCGTCTACCAGTACCGTCTCAAATATCAATAACAAAGAGTCGCGCACCTTTGGCTCGTCTCTAAACACTCTCAAAGGGTCTTTGGATGTGTTTCAATCTCAACGCAATCAACGGCATTTGCAAAACTCCCACAGCAAACCTCAGTCAGGCTTTTAATTCCTTCATATGAGTCTCGATTTTATGCCAGAGTTGTCTGTACGTTGAGTTAGGCTGACGCCCCGGGCTCAACAAACTAAAAACCCAAACCCAAAGTTAACATGCTCCGAACCCGTACCCACCCTAATTCCCCAAACCAATCCCACCCGTCTCCCGGGCATGAATAACTCAACATAGGTAGCCCTATCTCAACATAAAAGCGACACTACTCTCCTTACCCGGGCCCGCCGCCTTCTCTGGCATCAGCAGGATGCACTTCCCCCGGGCGAACAGCCCCAGTAGATCGATGCCCGGTGCAGCGGCGAGGACTCCCACGGCCATCGACGGCAGGAAACGAAGCCCACGTGCCGCGGGGGGCGCGTATTGCATAGGCGCCAGAATGAGCCCACCGAAAGCTCCGGCCAGCACGGCAAGGAATAGTCCGCCTGCGGAAAGGGCCCGGGTTGATCCCAGATTCCATCTATCGGCGGCGATTCTTTTGTAAACCTCTCCTTCAGCGCAAACTTGCGTATTGGAAAACAGGAGTCTCGTCTTTTGTTGAAGTGGGTTTGAGGCGAAACATTCGTTGGTCAGCACAGCCGTCAAACACTCTTTACCAGTCTTTCCACAGAAGAGCACGCACAGAGGTTTTGAGAGCTGCAGTTTGGAGACCGTTGTTCTAGGTAGAGGGCAATCCGACTTCTAAAAGATCAACGGATCCGTCTCAGAACCGTTCTCTGTAGGTGAATCCTGTTGATTCAGGAACGCTGTGCAACTCAATGTGTCCTCAAAGAGATTTGAATTCATCTCATTGCGTCTCTGCGTGGTCCTCTAAATCGTACTGATCAGCAGCAATCTCAATCTCGCTTAGTCACTCAGCCGCCCGCAACCCACCTGCGTAACCCCCCCACGTGTCGCACACGCGTCCCCGACGTCTGTCCCGCGGGAGCAGCCTCTCCCGTGCTTCCTCCACGCGGCACGCATATTCACCGGCATACGCTATGCCCGCAATTGCCACCATAAGCAGGCAGAGCCCAGCCACGGCTAGCGGCAGGTTGCTGACTTTCCGACCGACCGGGTCGAGGAAAAGGCCGAAGAAGAAGGAGGCGAGAGCCGCAGTGCCGCACCAGATTCCGGGGCCGACGGACACGCCCACTAGATCTGCAAACGGAACCGCAATCGTGCTGGGCAGTGATGAACCATGAGCCTCATGCCAAATCGACAGGAGAAGGAGCAAAGTCTCAAATTTTGTGAGCCGATGTCTAGTAATCTCTCGTAGACCCAGTGATCCAGGGCCAAATTACACAACTTGACAAGCGGGTTAAGTTTGATAATTTTTCTGGCAGTAAGTATCCAATCACCTCAAATCTTTGAGCAAAGGCAGAACCACAGCCAAGATAGGCTCAGCCTATTCTGGACCCCGATGAGATAGGACCAATGAAAGAGTCGATTTACACGTCTGAAAATTGCGGAGAGCTTCTTCGTTCTACCAATGCCAACCCTCTTTCTAATGTGAACGATACGAGGATCATTTCCTGCAAATTGGAGGAACTAAAGCCTTTAACGCTCAAAGCTGCATGAACCTTCGTTTCATACGACGCCGCCCAAAAGATTTATCGTCGCAAGTTTTCAATCTCCGCCAGTTCTGTGATACCACCATTTTACAGTCCAGAAAAGAGTCAGTCCACCAGAGTCAACCGGCTGTTGTCCACCCAAAGTGGTTCCTCCTTTCTTTCAAGTAGAAAACAACTAGATTTTGGGCTGTTCTAAGGATCTTACTCGCCGCCCAGAAGGCGCATGCTGACGACAGCACGACCAGCACGCCGCTGATGACCCCCATGGGCGTCCACACGACGGGGCCGAACAGCAGAAACAGTACCCCGGTGCACGCGAGCCCCAAGCACGCCCAGAAGTGGAACACGAAGATGTCGACATCCGGCCCTTTGACCTCGTCCTTTGCGAAGACGCCGAACGTGCCGTTGAACACGGCGGCGATGAGCGCGAGCAGCAGGCCCACCGCGGAGCGCATGTGGAACACCGCCGCGCGGTGGAGCTCCGGGCGCAGGAGGAGGTGCGCGGGCGCCATGCTGACGTCAGCTGCGCGCGCGCGCGTCAGAAGAGGTTGCTGGTCGTGGGGGGAGCTTGGTAGTTGGGTTAGCTTTTGCAAAGTTGGAGGAGCTGCAGCAGAGGGGCTCTGGTCAAAGGGTGCTTCGAACAAGGCGCTTCGAAGGGTATCTTTGGACAGCTACGGGAGGCGCGCGCATATCTGGCTTTTCTCCGGAGCAAGGCGGGAGCAAAGGGAGCCCTGAGCCAGCTCAAGAGAGACGGGAACTATTTCTTTCTGCATTTTTATGTTTTGCAGGCTCTGAGCCTGCGCGCCCACATGCGCCAAAACTTAGCGGCATTTGCATGGGGTTCTTCTGCAGCAGTCAGAAGGTCAAGCGCTTCTCTCTCGAGGCGAGTTAGATACCTTTGACGATGGACTTTTCAATGTGGGCCGTTTGAATGACCTCGCAAGACCTTGAATTTGAGGCTGCGCTAGCCCAGGGTTCGAAAAAGTAGGAGACGGGTGAAGATTTTCGAATTTGTAAGCTTGATCAGCCACCATACAGAAACCCTCCCGGGACATGCACGGCGCGCGCGCGCCAGCTCGGATGCATATGCCAGGCCTACTGCTGCCTTCGTCTGGCTTCTGAAGATAACAATATTATCATGGTCTGGACATGAGTTTACATTCATGGGATTTGAGCTGTGGCGGAAGCGCTGTAAATCCACTTCGCTTTCTGGCGACGTTGCATTCCAATGGTCGTTGCAATCTTTTGATTACAGACCGACCGAGTCACAACTGGAAAGAAGTAAGGGTTGCAGTCCGCGGCTCTGCATGATTGTGGTTGGTTTCTCCAACATGAGAAGGGTTACTTTGCTTACCCCTGCGATCGATGAAAGAAGGTCCCTGACAAGCTCCAAAGAAGTAGTGGTGTCCCTTTCGAAGAAGCGGCCCTAAGAATTTGAAAACTGTTCTACCAAGAAGAGAGAAGAACAGAGCAACTCAGAAGACAGGGCGATTGAGAAGACTGTTCAAAGATCGGTCCTAGCTTAACAACCGTAGCATCTTCCAAAAGCAGGATTTCAAAAGAGGGCGGCAGTCTACAGCAATGATTCCTCCTTAATTCTCTGCCTGCTTCACCAGACTTGTCAGCATCAGGCTCCCAATATGATCCGAGCCCTCTTAAACCGCAAGCTGCACCAGTCCGTGGTTCCCATGCGCACTTTGGCAGGCTTGCTCCTAGCGCTAACCGGGGCAATCTTCAACGGGACGACGGGCGTCTTTGGGAAGCTGGCCCCGGTAAGAGGGCCCGACGTCGACTTGTTCGTGTTCCACTTTTGGGCTTGCGTGGGGGTCGCGCTCACCGCCACTCTAGTTCTCCTCTTCGGCCCGGTGACGTGGACGCCCCTGGGGCTGCTCAGCGGCGGCCTGCTCGCGCTTTCGCTCGCGTGCTCCTTCACCGCCAATAGTAAGCACACAAGACGCCTCGTTCTTGTGAAAACGAGATGATCCGAAAAATTCAAGACCGTCTTGTGATATAGACAAAGGTTTCTATCCGAGTGCTGATCTGTCTGGTGAACCCCATCTGAAGAGCTGCTCCAAGGCTTCTTTTTGGACCGCCCTCCGATTCCTGAAGGCTCTGCTCGTTTGCGTGCGAATATTTGCAGACGGCATGGTTGATAAATCAAAAATTCATATATACCAACCGCCCTCTTGATTTGGTTATTTGGCGTTCTCTTTCCACGCGCTTCAAGATGGAAGAATCACCTTCACTTGTACCCGTGCAAGATGAACCTCAACCGATACTCAAAATGCGAATCAGATCCCGCCAGATTCTTGATAGAAAGGCAAACTTACGAGCTCTTCATTGATCAGGAGACAATCACGTAAGTCTTCAAGACACGTGTGATTTGAGTCCCGCGTGGTTGTAATGACCCGTTTGATCTGTCTGCAGAGCTCATCGGCGTGTCCCTCCGGGCTGGAATCGCCAACGGCACGGCGGCTTTGGTCTCCTTCGTTTTCGGCCTTTTCTTGGACCCCAATCGTCGGAAGCTCAGAAACCTGCCGGTGGCTCTGGCCGGGCTCTCCCTGCTTATGGGCGCCATCGTGGGCATAGCGTATGCGGGGGAGAGGTCTTGTCGAGTGGAGGAAGAACACGAAAGGGTGCTCACGGGAAAGAGAAGCGAGAGGGTAGCCGCAACCTGCACCGGATACATAGGTACGAAGCGCCCCGGATCTGGCAAGCAAGCGCGCATTGGAATGATGACAGTACAAAGGAAAAGAGATGGAAAGATTGCAACTTTTCGAGAGTTGAAGGCCGTTTGGTGATAAATCTCCGGCAGATTCCGACTGTTTATCAGTTGTAATTAGGGAAAGAAGAGATTACCTGCTGCTTCGTGCAGACCGGTACCAATCCTCTTTCTGGGAAAGCTTTGGGCTGCTGTGAAACCTCACAGTCCTGCCTGCAGAGGGTATGGGGTATGATTATCTCTGTTCCCGGAAACGAAATGACGGAAATGATGTCAGAGCTTCGATGAACAGATGGATTGAAGAACATGGCGATCGACGCACAACTTTTTAGTTGATAGTTCATTTCCCGGATATCTTACTTTTTCTGCAGCCGGCCTGTTTCTGGCGGTGTTGGCCGGGACCTTGGGTGCGCTCACTTTGGCCCCCATGCAGTACGCCCCCTCCCGGGAGCGCACCCTCCGTTACCTGCCGTCGATGGCCGTCGAGGTCATCTTACTAGCCCCGATAGTCGACGTGCTGGCGCTTGCCGCCCGGGGGAAGCGCCTCGAGCTGAAACCAAAACAAGCGGCCCCGCCAGGTGATGACCCATCTAAAGAATGCAGTGTTCTTATTGCCGCAATCTCACAAGGATTTAGAAGAAGTTGGTTATGGCAAAGGAAATTCTGGAGGAGGAAACAAAGGTGCAAAGCGCAGATGATACTGAAGTCGCCGTCCCGTGCTTATCATGGATGCGAAGCTGCTTTTGGAAGATTTAAACACGAGGTCTAGGCTCTTCTGGGCTCAAAATCAAAATCGACGGAAGAACCGGGTCAAATTTGCGCTTTTAAGATCTTGGCTAAGCTTTTGAAACTTGGGCAGTTTTCCAGAATATTGTCGTGCAAACAAGGCACCACCCTCGCCTCGCTTCAACGGAAGGGTTGCATCTCGACAACCTCGTTGCTACCTTCTATAAAGTGTTCCTTTCTCATATAGCTCTTAGCTTTGCGAATTGATTTGAGGGGATTCAAACACCTTGATTTGAGGGATTCAAACACCTGTACTGCCGCTAACTCCCACACAGACCGCCTTCACCATACCCGTAGGTTCCGAAAGGTGTATTTTCGAACGATCGCATCCCGTTCCGCTCTGTTGCTTCCGTAGGCATCGCCGCCGGATTCTGCCGGACCGTGGGCATAGCCGCCAGCATCCTGTCCATCAGGCACCTGGGCTACACGCTCGCGTACCCCATCCTGCAATCCTCCACGTTCGTAGCGGGGCTGTGGGGCATCTTGGTTTTCCACGAGATGAAAGACCCCGAGTCGCGGAAAATCTACTGGCTGTCCGGCCTCGTCCTGCTAGCGGGAGTGACCTGTCTTCCTCTCGCAAGATAGCTGTGCTATGTTGACAAGCGGTTTGAAACGATGCAGCATATCTGGATGCTCGGCAGCGGCAGTCGTTGAGAGTTTACGTGGCGTGACTAAGAAAGGCGGGGGTGGGGTAGCAGTACGGGGTCGTAACTATCTGAACCAAAGGGTGTTCACAAAATAATCGAAGTATCTTGCAACCTCAGCTTTGGTTCCGGTTCAGGTTCCGAGTTGGCTTCCTGAGGCCCCTCAATCGACGATTGCGACTCGATATCTGTTCATTAACATGTTTCTTTTCGCCAGGATCAGGTGAAGATCATGCAGATTTTCTATTGCATGCGCCTATTTTCGGTCTACGTTGCTGACATGTGATCTTGAGCATGTTATGCTCCGTTACGAGGGCCTCCGGCAGCCTGTATGAGAAAAAGCAAATGCGTGACCCGTTCCTATCGACCATCGAATGCAGATTCCCAAAGATTGAATTAAAAAGTATAGATATGAGATGTAAAACGAAGGCATAACCATGGGGCATGTAATAGTGCGCGAACAGTATATGGAGTCGCATGAATGACTGGCGAGTTGGGCGAATTCGAAAATCATCTAAGCAAGGTTCACAAAGCTCGGGCTCCAAGGCCGGAGACTTTGAGTGAACTTGTTCACTCAAATAGAGGGAGTCTGATCGAAATCATTTTCGCCGCTTGTACTGCAAGTGCTTTGACACTGATAAGTGCTGGTCGCTGGGTGCTCAGTTTGAAGATTTGTTCGGTGTCAAGCAGCTTGGTGGCAGCTGAGCTGGCCAACCGTGCATGTCTTTCAGCATGACCATTGGCCGTATGATACTTGCCTCCATGCAAATCTTCAAGCCCTGCCGCAGAAGAGAGCGAATCTTACAGCAGATTGCGGTCGGCTTCCTGCAGCATACTTGAACGACCGCATGCAAAGACGCGCCCCTTCTCTTTGAGGGGGGCTCTCCTTTTTTTTTGAAAGCCCATCTGATCACAAATATCATCAGATTAGGAGCTGGTGGTGTCGCTCCGTGTGCCGCTATTTCCCACTGGTCGCTTCAATGGGAAGACGACTGCTTGCAGCTGCGCAAGTTGAAAGACCTCAAAGCGTCAGAGGTCTTACACACACAGTCTCAGTAAACTGTCGAACAGGGAATCTGAGGAGAAAATGAGAAGAAAAAGAAGCCAGTGATCAATGCTTGATTGCATTATCACTTCTAAGGTTGGGGATTTGCCATAAGTCAATCACTGACCAGCAGCTATCTTAGTCTTACCAGCTTTCAAACCCACTCATACACGTCCCTAATTCTGATCTTCGATCATGGTTCGCGCCCTGCTTCTCGGCCCCGCGCTATTCCAGTTTGTCGACCCCTTCCGCACTCTTTCCGGTTTCCTTCTGGATCTCTCGGGGGCCTTTTTCAACGGAACGACGGGCGTCTTCGGGAAGCTGTTCGCATCGCCGGATGTCGACTTGTTCGTCTTCCACTTCTGGGCGTGCCTGGGGGTTGCGCTCACCGCCGCTCTAGTTCTCTTTTTCAGCCCGGTGACGTGGACGCCCCTGGGGCTGCTCAGCGGCGGCCTGCTTGTGCTTGCGCTCGCGTGCATCTTCACGGCAAATAGTGAGCGCAGCCCAAGTCTCACATCTTTAGAGTTGCTTAACAATCAGCCGCTTTGGAGGAGAGTAAAGTAAGCATCCTGTCCTGATGTCAATCTTCTGACCATGTTCTTCCGGCGGTTCCTCAGGACAACTATGCGCGCGCTCCGCTTAAAGCAGGACCTCTTCAGTCTTGAAGGTAAATCACTTCCAGAAAAAGTAGGTCTGCATACCGGAACTCTCCCGAATCTAGGCATCGTCTTGAGGGTCCCCTTGTTTGACTGGCGTGCTCTTGACTTGCTTACTTTGAATTTCAGTACGATCATACGTCGCCTGTCAGCAGAATCAGGTGAAAACAAGCATTGCATTAACGCGGATCCACGTGGTGTTAAAAACCTGACAGCTTTCCCGATTTATGGATGGAAGACCGCAAGCGCTTTTTCAAACACAGCTTCAAAGCTTTACACCATCGCTCTAACGTGAAACGAGAAAGACACGAAGTCGATTTCGCAATCACCTCATACTCTGGTTCGTTCCGTTGGCAGAGCTCATCGGGGTCTCCCTCCGGGCCGGAATCGCGAACGGAACGGCGGCTTTGGTCTCCTTCTCTTTCGGCCTTCTCCTGGACCCAATGCGGCGGAAACTGAGCAACCTGCCGCTGGCTCTAGGCGGCCTCTCTCTGCTTATGGCCGCGGTCGTGGGCATAGCGTATGCGGGGGAAAGGTCGTTCCAAGTGGAAGATGAATACGAGAGGCTGCTCAAGGGAAAGCGAAGCGACCGGGTGTCAGGAACGTGGCCGGGTTACTCAGGTAAAAAGAGCGGCCGGTGCGGGGAGAAAGCCTCGCTTTGGCCTCTTGGTTGCTAAACGTCAGCGGAAGTCCGCAAGATGATGAAAGCCTACCAGGTTTGAAACTTGTGCAAGTTTGGCTCGGTTAGTGAGCGTTGCTACGAATTTGCAGGAAAGAGAGGAAAGGTGCACGCGCGGTGGCGACTGTGTTGCAGCGATCCGAAGAAGGCTGAAAGAAAGCGTTTGATTTTATGAAGACATTCAAATACAATTCCTGATTCTTAGCGTGACATTTGGTGTTTCGCAGCTTACTATATCTACTCTGTGACGAGATCGTATGATCAGGGGCTGTGACTCAACTAGGCTGGGTACAAAGGTCCGGTTGCTGTCCTGAACACGAAGACCTGTGCGATCGAGTTTCGTAAGAAGGGAGATCGAGAAACGCCGCGAAGAGCCTCGAAGGAAAACTTTGTCGAGGTATGTATCGAGTGGAAGCCAGACCGTTTGCTACCAAATCAAGAGGTCTTCAAAGATCTTCGTCGACAAAGCAATTTACTCTAATCGTGGCCCTCAAACCTGCAGCGGGGCTGTTTCTGGCGGTTCTGGGGGGATCCCTGACCGGGCTCACTCTGGCCCCCATGCAATACGCGCCGTACGATCAGCGCGGCCTGCGTTATTTGCCGTCGATGGCGGTCGGGATCATCGTCTTAGCCCCGGTCGTCGATCTGCTGGCGCTCGCCGCTCGGGGGAAGCGCCCCGAGCTGAAACCGGAAAAGGCGGCCGCCCCAGGTAACAAGCACCGTTGACCATTTTGCTCCGTTTATCAAAATAAGTTGGAATATTGGAAATGCGTTGTTCTGAAAAGCTGCAATTTGAGCCGAGTCTTGCACAGATGACCGTTTGTATTGGAAGTTGCAGGAATGTCGATCGAGTGTCCAAGAAAGGGCAGATACTTTGTATGTGTCATCTCGCAATACTCAGTTTCAATACGAAGCAAGCAGTGTAAGCTTGTTCGTAATCCAGAAGACCATTCTCCAACAAGTAATCCTGAAGGGGTTTCGTTCCGCGCTTTCGCTTCCGCAGGCCTCGCCGCCGGACTCTGCCGAACCCTGGGCCTGGGCTCCGGCATCGTGTCCATCCGGTACCTGGGCTACACGCTCGCGTACCCCATCTTGCAGTCCGCCATGTTCGTGGCCGGGCTGTGGGGCATCTTTGTCTTTCACGAAATGAAGGACCCACAAGCGCGGAGAGTCTACTGGCTGTCCGGCCTCTCCATGCTTGTGGGGGTGTCTTTGCTCGCACTCTCTAGGTAGAGGGAGCTTCTAGGGGGCAGGCTCCCTTAGCCTTCCATGCGAGATCCATGCGAGAACCTCTTATATTGATCCCTTGAAAGAAAGAGCAGCCGGAATGCTTCGTAGATACCGAGTTAAACGATATAGTAGGGTCCAAGGAAAGAGTATGAACGGCCGTAAAGGTAACTACAGCTTGTGAAGTTTTTCGTTTTCCTTTGGTGAAAGCTCTGATCGAGACGTGACCAGTACGCAAGCGAGCACATATGCGCCTCCCAATGGATGCTAATTCTTGCCCAGTCGCTTAGGCTGCACGCGGGTATAAAGGGAAGCGATTGCCTGCGCACCATGATAGCTGGAGTTGAACACCAAACCAAGGGCACTTACCTAGATTCAAGCCTTTCATACACTTCTCTTTATCCTCAATGAAAGCGCAAACTGTATCAAATCTTGCAAGGCAACTCGATGAGTCAACAATTTTGGAGATACTCTGGACCATACCCAGCGGTCAAGTGATGCAGTTGTGTAGCATATGATAGGGATGTGAAACTAGGATGAGGGCACCCAGCTTCATCGCGGAGATCGCCGGGCTGCCCGTGCGCGTCCTGGCGAGTAGTCTCAATTTTAAGTTGAGTTACGGCTAAGTTGAGTTAGGTCATGCCCGGGGGACGGGTAGGGTTGGTTTGGGGGTTTAGGGTGGGTACGGGTGCGGAGCATGTTAACTCTGGGTTTAGGTTTTTAGTTTGTTTGCGCCCGGGGTACTGATCTAACTCAACATACACCTAACTCAACATAAAATCGAGACTTATCTCCTGGCAGACGGATGCTCATCGTCAGTATAGCACGGGCCAAGGCGCCATATTGTGTGGGCGTATGCCAGCCTCGTGGTAGCATGGTACGACGTGAATTGGGACTGCGCAATCATTCTGCACACAGTCAAGCATTGGGCCGACGGGCCAAATCCGAACCCTTGAATGATCCGGACGATACTCGATGGACGGCCCGAGATTCTTCCAGTGGGCCAAATTCCCCTGCAAGCTCCGGATTGAGTGACTCAGAAGTCTGTTTGATTCTTATGTGCCGTTGGGTCAGGCGGGCAGGCTCGATCGAATCACAATGGACTGGGGGCATTTTGAGCGCCCTGAACCTTGGAGCCGGCACATGCGTCGGCCCGCTCACAAAATGCATAAGCTTCCAAATTCGTGGGGGAGTCGCGCGCGTACGTCGGAAGAAGCTGAAAGCCGAACTTCCTTCTTAGCTACACAGATTCTCCTTTCCTTAATCACGCTCAATAAAGAGACCAAAGGAAGATGTGAGGAGCTGGCAGCAAGAGTAACTCTTTTTGCGCGAAGCTGAGATCACAGCAGCAGATCGAAATCATCGAGAATCCAGAGGCAGTTGCAGATGTTGGACCGGCCTCTAATTTCCAAACCCTCACCTGCATCCCTGCTGAGTGTTCTCATTCGATTTGGCCCAATGATCAATATGGTTGCATGTACGCTGCTCCTCAATCCAGAGACTCCCAGAGCCGCGGTGCAGATGCGCACTCTGCCGGGCCTGCTCCTAGCTCTCGTTGCCGCGCTCCTGAACGGAACCACAAGCATATTCTCGAGAGACGAGGTCAAAGGGCCCGACGTGGACATCTTTGTATTCCACTTCTGGGCGTGCATGGGCGTCGCGCTGACGGGGCTCCTGTTTCTTCTCGTCACCCCGGTCGTGTGGACGCCGCTCGGGGTGGCCAGCGGGGTGCTCAATGTGCTCTCGTCCGCGTGCGCCTTCTGGGCGGCAAGTAAGGCTCTGCTTAGGCACGTCATCTTTTTCAAACGCTTTTTCCAGGCAAATATGGGGGCCAGAAGTGTATATCCGACCATTTCTTTACTCGTCTACTATGGTTTAGAATGAAATGCTTGAGTCTTGGAAATTCGGCAGTGCATCTGAAGGGTTACACAGTTCTGCGATTGCGTTCGATTCTCTCAACTCTGTTATTCAAAGCTTTGCGGCCGAGTATGAAACTTGATGAGAAGCTGCCACCTTCCCGTCAAAAATGCCAGCAAGCACTGGAGCAGCCATCTCAGACTCGCAGAACGTCGAAGCTCCTTCCAACAAGATAACCATGAGTCAACGTTCTTCGTCGATTACTTTTGGATCCGTTATTATTTCCAAGCAATGCCGTAGGCCAAGCGCGTAGCATTCACTTTATTCCATGATTGATGACACCTTCGCTCCTTTTTCATAAACCACGTGACGTCACTCCGGACGGCTAAGTTCTTGCAGGCCTTGTCGGCGTGTCCGTCGCGCCCGCCATCTGGTCCGGCGTTACGGCTCTGGTGTCTTCCCTCTTCGGCGTTTTGCTGGATCCCATCGGGCGGAGGGTTAGCGACTTACCTGCGGCTTTGGCGGGGCTCGCCCTGCTTATGGCGGGGATAGCGGGCATCGCTTATGCCTGTGAAAGGTCCTATCAGGCGGAGCGAGAACGTCAAGAAAGTCGACTTCTAGAAGATACGGGAGGGAGCGTGAGCGAAACAAGAAGGGAGCACAAAAGTAAGAAATCAATCAACCAGCCGACTAAGGACTGAACTTGCTTCTCTCCAGAGACTACAACCAAGAAGGATGTTCTTTAATTCCAAGATGTCTGCGTCGGATAGCTTCGGAAGTAGATTGTTTCGCGAGTATGATCGAACTGCTTGTGGAGAGCAAAAACGAAGCTTTGTATTTCCGGGGGGCTTCGACGAATCCTCGAAATCATCCGGGTCCAGTCACAAGCGTACCCCTTTCAGTCTTTAACTGTCCTTGAAGGGCCAATTTGATATCTGCTAAGTCTGCTCGCAATTACTCTCAGCTCCGACTCGCTCTGAGCTGAGTTTGTCTCGAGCAATATGCATCACTTCTCGCAGTAGCGCTGTATACTGGGAGTCCTTCAAGGGCATGCCTGTTCCCCCGCGTTCATTGTGTGAATCCGCACCTACTCAAACGTCATTTTCCCAATTTTCAACTTCAGGCAGTGCGCAGCGAATCTGAATAAATCCACGTGCCGCAATCAATGATTGAGCTCTCACCATATTTCCTTCCTCAGGCGGGCTGCTCATCGCTGCACTAGCGGGGTTCTTTGGCGGCCTGGTTCTGGTGCCCATGGAGTATGCCCCCCGCGAGGCACGTGGCCTCTGTTTCTTGCCACTAATGGCCGTGGGAGCAATTGTCGCAGCCCCGGTAGTCGACATGATGGCGCTGTTCGCCCGGGGGAAGCCCCTTGGGTTGAACTTGCGAGAGGCGGCACCCCCAGGTAACGAGCCAAAAGCATTGATTGTTGTCGCGTCCGTTGCATTCAAGCAGGCTTCGTAAACACAACTCAAATCGTCTCTGGTTTCCGCCTCTTTTCTGTGTCATAAGCATATCTGGTGATTTTACTGCATAAGGTCCTTCTGCGCAGCCAAGGTCTTGTCTTGCTCCTCGGCATGAATTGCCGGGCTTTGAGGAACTGGTGACTCCCAACACAATCAGATTCTAGTTTGACTGCTACGCGTCCCTTATTTGAGTGATATGAAAGTGCACGAAGCTGAGATTCAACCAAAAGTATGTTTTTGGCTCGACGCCCCCTTTCGCACTTGCAAACTACGAAGTATAGCTTAAGAAAGCCACTGCTAAGTGCTGACTGCACTGCTTCTAAGAAGCTAGATCGCTCTTCTAAGCTTCCTCGTCCACCAATATAAGGCATGCTGCGTGACCGCTGGAACCGATCACCCCAATTTGATGAACCTGACGCACTGTCGTTCCGTCAGGAATTGCCGCCGGAATCTGCTGGAACATTGCCAACGCCGCCAGCATCCTGGCCATCCAGTACCTGGGCTACACTCTCGCATACCCCATCATGCAGTCCAGGATGTTCGTTTCCGGACTTTGGGGAATTCTAGTCTTCCACGAGATGAAGGACCCCAACGCAAGAAGGATCTACTGGCTTTCAGGGCCGTTTCTGCTTCTGGGCGCGACCTTGCTCGCTTTCGCAAGTTAGCTACAATTTATTTAAGAATCTTGAGTGAAAAGGATCTCTTTTCGATACGATGATCGAGCCTAGCATCATCGCAGAATACCCATTGAGAACGACAAGTGCATTAAATGAAGAGGAAGGCCCCCCCCGTCCTCCCCCCCCTTCCTCTTCGGAAGTATCGCCAAAAATTTGCGAAGTGATGCTATGTCTTTGATGGTGGATGCGATTTGAATGCAAGATGACCATCCTCGTTATTAGTTATTTGAGAGGATGACTCTAAGTTGTTACTTGAACTTACCTTGCGATGTGGGATGGCAAGAGTAATGCTTGACGGCTACAGCAAGCTCATCACACTTCACTCATGTATGAGCTGTAAAATACGTTTTCAGCTTGAACACATCATGAATTGTTGTTGATCATGCGAGACAGAGCTGCCCACCGAGGCCGTCTGGGCGCCGGCAACGTTCGCATCAGACCAGCGAGTGGATTCACTTGCTGCTATGTTCCATTCTTTATGCATGCCAGTGTAGCTACGACATGAGAGGAGAGACAGATACGAGCTACAAGATTTTCGGATCCCAATTCTCAGATGATTACGGCAAACGTCATGATGCTGAGGTCTGCGCCCATTATTGTTTACCCAAACAGTTTGGATCGAAGGTAATCAAAAGGAATATCTGCTTTCAGGCAAGCGAGTGCTATCGAGCGCTGAGCTTCTCGATGAGAATTTTTTTGGAGTTCGATTCACTGAGCAAGAGATATTATTACATCTGACTTTCCAAAAAATTCATGAGTTGTCCTGTACATAGTGGGCTGCGTCAATCGGCCCCTCGCCTGGTTACACGTCAGTTCTTACAATTTGATGATTATCAAAGCAGCTTCAACACTCGTTCTGATTCGGCCCGCGTCATCCGTGCTGTATACTCGCTAGAAAACAACTAGATCGGCTGTATTAATGTTATGCAACAGCTTTCAGAGAAACTTCCACTTAGATTCTCGCTCCTTTTTTTCCACAGTACACTGTCAATCAAAGTTAGATCATTCCGATCTTGCCCGTAATCATCTCAACCCAATTCCTAAACCACCCTCAGTCCACCAGTGTCAGCTTCTCGTACTCTGGCCCCGTCACCGCCTTGCGCACGATGACCATCGGATCGATGTCCCCGTCGTTGTCCAGGAACAGCTTCAGAATGTTCTTCGAGAACCCGGACACCATGGCCACCCCGCGCTGCGTCGCGATCACGGGCGTGCTCGAAGTGTCCCGCAGGTTCCAGAACACGATTTCCGGCGGCGTTCCGTAGCCCGCCTCCCGGAACTTCCGCTCGATCTCCGCGTAGTCCGTCTGGTACGGCCGCGTGCTCGCTTCGTCGAACTCCATGTCGCTGAACACGAAGAGGCGACGCAACATGGCGTCCGGCGGGAGGTTGGTCGCCTGCGCGAGCGCCAGCATGTTGTCGAAGACCTTCTGGAAGTCGGTGTTCATGTCCCAGTCCATCTGCTCCACAAAGCTGTACTTCTCTCGCAGGCTACCCCCCCGCACCTCGTGCATCTGCGGGTTTGCGCTGAACGTGATCAGCTTGCCCCCCCACGGCGCCTCCGCCAGTTCCGCCACCAGCATTCCGAGCGCGATCGCGACCTGGATCGGCGTTCCGTACATCGACCCGCTGACATCACAGACGGCCATGCAGTTGGCGAGGCTGCCCTTCTGCTTCAGGTCCGCCACGATCCGCTCCCACTGCCGTTCCGCCACCTCCGCCCCGGCGCCGGAGCCCGTCACCGCCTCCTGCAGCACCTCGTGCGGCAGCACCGCCCCCGCCGCGATCTTGGTCTTCCCGGCCGCCACGTCCGCGAGAAACGCCTCGAAGCGCTCCTTGTCGTGCTTCACGAACACGTCCTTGTTCATGCGCATGCACACGCTCGGCACGCGCGCGTACTGCACCTCATGCCACCGCTGTGCCGCGAACAGCACCTCCGGCACTGCCAGCGCCGCGCGGAGCGGCGTCAGCACCGCGCGCCGCAGCTGGTCGCGCGCGCGTGCCGCGTACTCCGCCTCCGACAGCCCCGCCTCGGCCGCCCCCCGGGGGAACATCCGCCGCGCGATCGCCTCGCAGAGGAGCGTCGCGCGGTCGTAGCTCTTGTCCGGGCTGGGCGCCCACTTGGCCGCCAGGCTGACGTCATACGGCCGCCCCGAGCGCAGGCTCTCCACGTCCCGCGCCAGCTGCTCCGCGAACACGTCCGCCACCGCGTCGTGCAGCGCGCGGTAGCTCCCGTTGTGAGCGTACACGCGCACCGCGCGCGCCGCGAGCTCGTACTCGCGCTCCTTGCGCACGCGCTCGCTCGCCGCCTTGTCCTTCTCCAGCTGCAGTGCGATGCGCTCCTCCCGCGGCTTCAGCGTCCCCGCCCGCTTCGCCACCCGGGCAGCCTCGCCCTTCGTCAACTTCCGCCCCCCCCTCAACGCCAGCCAAACGAGCCCCCCAGAAGCGTCTAGCGCCCCCCCTACCCCGGCTCCCTGCCCCCCTCTGCAGAGCAAACACCCCCGCCTCCTTGAGCTGCTTCACGCTCTCCTTGCGAGCGGCGCGCGCCTTGCCGGCCTTCACCGCGGCGTCATGGGTTGCCTTCTGCTGCGCACGCTGGGCCGTTTCCTGCGGACCCTCCAGGACTCTGCAGGGGGAAGAGACACGATGAGAATCATTCATCTCAACAGCTGGCAAAGGTTCTGGTAGAATCAGACTTGAGATAAGCAACCTCGAAATATCGTCTGCTGAGTGAAGCTCTCGATGAGAGTGCTTAGTCTCTGAACAAAAGCACTTGTGCACTCAGGAGATTCAGAGGTATCTATCTTGGTTTTAAGTGCAAAAGTGATTTAAATACTTTAGCATGTGAAGCGACAATATTTGGAGGCAGACAACTATGTTATAGTTTTTGCATTTCTTAGTTCATCTTCGCATCAGCTGTTCTTTGCCATCAACTCACTAAGTCTGACAATCAACTCGAACTCCAGTCAGAAACGAAATGACTGATGCCATAAAAACTCCCTGGCCAATACCAGACACCAGCCAGGCAGGAACCCTCTTCTAGACTCATTGAACAAGACCTTCCCGAAATGTTTAAGTCGTAATATCTCCAAAGTCGCCCACAGAAGTCAACCAAACAGCATCTCCTCACTTCTGAACAAACGCAAAACGGGAACTCACTGCCAATTCTGTATGCACATCACAGAGGGACTGTCAGATCGAACGCGACGTTGGGATTGAAAGCACTGAGATTAGCAACGCACCTGAGCACGATTTCCAGCAGGTCCTTGTAGTACCCGAACACGCCGACCTGCCTCAGGTTGCCCAGCAGCGTCCCCGGGTGCTGCTCCACCAGCCACAGCCCCCCCGTGTAGAAGCCCCCCTTCTCGGACTTGCCCGTCCCGCGCACCCCCCTGAGATGAAACAGCAGCTTCAGCGCCAGCAGGGGGTCCTCCTTCCACGCCGCCTCCAGCAGCTGGCGCACCCTTTCGGGGGGGGTGTCCGCCACAACCTGGAAGAAGAAGTCCAGGCACGCGCTGCCCGACTGGGTGAACGTCCAGGAGCCATTCTCTGTGTACCCCATGGGGGGGCGCGGGATGTGCTGGAAGCCTGCCTGGAGCGCCCCCCCGGAGAGCATGCTCAGGAAGGGGTTGGTGTCAGACCCCCCCTCAGCGGAAGTGGAGGAGTTTCCAGCCTGCTTTTGCCGCTGCTGCCATGCTGCCAAACCCTTGGGACCGGCGAGAGTGGAAGGGGCGGGGGACGACGCGATTGGCAGGCTACCCTTGATTACCATGTTGTTGCCTGGGGGTGTGGCGCGGCTTCTTTGCAGAATGTGGGGGTTTCTCCAGCGCTGGAGAAATGCTCGCAAGACTTGCTGGCTGCGCTCGCTTGTTGAGAGAAATGCTGCTTCGTCACAGAAGGTCGGAAGATTTGTGCAATGCCGTGCAATGCTGCACATGCATTGCAGCCTGAGCTGCTCAGTGAGCAGGCAATTCCCTCTTCAGCCGCACACTGGACTAGCCGTTGCACTGAGCCTGTCGACTCAGCACGTCACGTTGGCGTCACCGGTCGCGTGACCAGGGGTCCCCCAAAAGGTTTTGAGAATTCCGAGCCCCGGCGCCGGCCGGCGCCGCCGGGTCGGCGGGCGGCCCACAGGACCGCATAAGGTTCGCGGCCGCGGCCGCGAGGTGCATGACCCGCGGCGCGCGAGCTAGGCGGCCAGGCTCAGGGCTCCATAGGCCCATAGCGATTAAGGCTGACCCAGGCGGTCGCGCGATTCGCTATTCTTACGTCCGCGTGGCTGAGCGCTCATATTGCTCTAGAGAAGTCAACGGCCAAGCCTAAGGCCAATCATGGCGCTCTTTGAGCAGCTGCCGGAGGACGTCAACCTCCTTATCTGCAGCTTCGTTTCTGCTTTAGACTTGGACGTAAAGCAGCTTGGCCTGCTGAGACGAGTTTCCCAGGCATGGAAGCAGGCAGTAGAGGATGGAGATATTGGAAGCGTGGGACAATTTTACAAATCAAGTCTACCACACTTTGCTTGCCGCGTGACCAGCAGTTTTGAGAAGTCCTGTCCAGGGCTAGGAGTACTAAGCGAAGATGGACAGATTCTCCATGTGTATCCCTTCATGTCAGGAGTCTTTGGGTCGGGCTGGACAGGGATGGGAAGTGCGCATCTGGATCGACATTCCAGAAAGCACTGTGATTGTTGTCAATCCTTGTACGTCCTGGGCGAGCCCAAATTGCCAGAGGATTCCCTTGAGATGGTGCGGATGATGCGCCTTCGGTCCTTCGACTTGAAGTCGGGGAATGGCTGGCAGGAAAGAGCTGCTTTGAGTTTCAACCGAGACGAGGCACCTTGCTCACCCGCTTCGGAGTGCTTCTTTCACGCAAGTGGCAGGGTCACAGAGCACACTAGCTTCAACGTCGTGGCATCTGAGCGATACATTTTGGTACTACATTTTGCCGCATACGCGCAAGGCGATGTCGCAGCCCTCAGATCTGCGCATGCTAGCCTCGATGACTGAATCGATGACATCTGGCGTTCGTTTCCTTTACCCTCTCAGATCAGCAGCGAAGGAGATGGCTTGCTTGTATGCGTATGTCGTAGGTGGTACTTTAGGCACCTCTTTTGCTGTGCAAGTGATAAGTATGTCTACATCAACTCAGAATGGGGCATCTTTGGACACTCGTTGGAAACTGATGAACTGGAGCAGCCTTGGGAATCTCTCTCCATCTTGGACAGAACCGCAAAGCCTGAGCGCTTCGAGGCTTTCTCGGCGACATCGGTAGCAGCTTATGAGGAGGAACTGAGCATTCTTTTGCATACATGGAGTCATATCACGAATACTGAGAGGGTACTTAGCTCCAGGTCTGCACTAGATCTACAGCAATCCGGAGAACATTGTAACAATCTCCAAACAAGGCCCTTTTTGACTGTAGAGGAGATTGACTGGAAGCCGCCAGAAGGTCCTCTTGTTGCTGCTGACATGTCTCATCTATTATTTCTCCCTTTAGTCGGTGGGGAGCCGCTGATTATGGACAACACATCAGGCAGGTGGCAGCGAGGTGGAAAGAGAGGCAAGTACCAAAGCCTCCTTCGAGGATCTCATCCTATTGAAATATCCTGGTCCACCTTGATCCCAGTAGCTGGAGCATCTAAGGGAGACACTAGCACTATCCTATGATGCAGCATACGTCCGATCATAACACGAATAAGCCTCTGAAGTTAGCTGCAAAAGTGGTACAGACAAGATCTGGTTGTAAAGTTACGGTGGAGAAAGATTTGCAGGTGTGGTCGAAGTGCCTGTGCAGACTCCTTGAGGACCGATGGCATTTTCATTGTACAGCGGGCAGCGGGCAGCGGGCACCAATGGTTGCCTCGTCATAGCGCCTGCAGAATCGAACGCTTAAGCCGTTTTGGCCAGAAATCATGGCAATCGACATGGTTGTTGTACCTAGTAGCTCAGATACTTGCATTCTCGAGTCGAAGAAGCAGCGAAGATTTGTAGATTGTACGACAATGAAGAGCTGACCGCCAGGCACACTTTATCAACGTAAGTGAGACTTTGGTGAACGCGAGTCCTTCGTCCATTGGATGCACGAGACAATTGTGTGCCTGTCAATGTGCCCAAACTCATGGTATTAGGAAGTAACTCTGACCTGGCCGACAGAGATGCTGAAGGCGTGAAAGAGCAATTGAAGCATTCTTCATGAGAGCCTTGCATGTCGGAGCCCTCAAGCCCTCTGCAACACGAACAACAATCAATGCAGCGCCGCGAAAAATCATCCGTAAACCATATAGTCGATCCATAAAACACAGATTGGTGCGATGTGGTTGCGATGTATACACGGCGACACATATGTGCATGCTGTTGAACCTTCAAGCATGTGAATCATATATTATATCTTTGTATCACACGTACCAGGCCGCGACGACGTCCGCTTGAGGTTTCCACATGTGGTCGCCTGTGCTCAACGCGTCAGTTGCATCCTAGTGCATGATCGCGCGATTAGGTAAACTCGGGGTACCATCAAATTCAACTCGTTCAGCGCCTCCAACTTTCAACTCGAGCTCGGTGTAAGATCGACTGGGAATATCGATGCACAAGTATTTTAAGCTGCACACATGCATATATGCACCATGTCGGACGCAGCTTGAAAATAAATGCCTTACAAATAGTGGTCACTATGCTGCTCTGAGCATGCACGGTGGTAATTGATGAAAGGTGCTTGAATCTTGGGTTAAAGGGCCTGCACTACGGTAAGTTGACAGGTACACCGATGATGAGCCTGCTGATCCCGGTTCATCCCGTCTGACTTGTAACACTGTGAGACGTGAACCGAATCTCGCAAACATGTTTTAGTGACCTCTGTAGACGAGTGCTGGGGCTATCCGATCAGATCTACCGCATACACATTGTCGTCCCTGCAACCGACGTACATGCTTCCTCCAATACCTACAGGCGACGAGAAGATTTCCCCTGGCAGCTTTCCTGCCGCTAGAACTCGAACATGATAAGAGCGCGCGCTGGATTTGACACTACCGCTCGCCCCAGTCTCGGTGTGCTGCCGCTTGCTCGACCGATCCTGAACGCTGTCCCTTGAGTCTCGTCTATAATGCTCTTCTGGAAGCGTGCTACTTGACTTTAACTCATTTCCGTGCAAAAAGATTGACTGTTCCAAGGATGTGCCGCGCGCGCGCACTGCAAGTGCTTTGACTGTCCCCTCGCTTCCGCACACCCACACAAGCCTGTACACGTGTTTACAACCGACCCCCCCAGAGCCCAAACACATCGATCCGTCGGTGTGAATGGCCACCGTCTCGTCCACCGCTGCGGACGCGGTAATGGGCTCGCCGACCCATTTTACATCCGGCTCTAGTTCCCACAGCTGCGCCCCGGTCTCCGCATCGAGGCCCCGTACGTAGCCGTCTCGACCGCAAATGAGCGCTTGTCCGTTCAGCGCGGCCGAGAGACAGGGCCCCGCAAAGACCGGCCCGCCCATCCGGCTCCGCCAAGTTATTCCGCCGGACGGAACAAGAGCTGTGACGTTTCCGTCGACTGAGGCGCAGATAAGCGAACCCGAGGGAGTGACGGCGGGGGAGGCGAAGAGCGGCGACGCCAGGTCGAGCGTCCACACAATCTGAGGAGACATTGAAAGGAAACGATCCGACCGATATCACACTTTCACCCGACTTTTGACGAGCTTTGTTGCGTAAAGACCTGAACAACAGTCGCCGCGAGAATGATCACGTGGCGTATGTTGACCAGGCGGGCTACTTTACTTGGTGCAATCATGAGGGGTCCCCGTCCGCAGTCTTTCAGTCGCACGGCGAACTTGGACGTCTTTCCGGCAACAGCATTAGAACGAAATGCACGTGCCTTAGGACCAAGATTCGCATCCCGTTGCAAGGGCAGACTCCGCCCAGATCTGGGAGTATGGAAAGTAGCTTATACACGACCTCACTCTTCAAAGTATCCTGACATGAAGACCCAAAACAAGCGCTTGCTACGAGGGCATGCCTAAAACCCTCAAGCTTGAAAAACCTGCTTTCTAAAACGCACACAGAGAGGCTGCTCACAGACAGTTCAAAACTCCTAACCTGGAAGCTCCGTCCGTCGAAGTCGATTAGGCTACTTCAAGGCACACAGGAAGGATGGCAAACTGCACAGAAACGGCTCCTAAGAACTGACCTGAAAGTTTCGGCCGTCGAAGGCAGTCACGACTCCCCGTGTAGTGACCACATACGCCCTGCCACGGCCCGCGTCAAACGCCGCCGCGCCGTAGACGGAACCCCCGCAGTCGTGCCGGAAAACGGCAGTCTTGGCCGCGAGATCGAGGACGTACATCTGGTGGTCGTGCGAGCCGCACCACACGAAGCCAGCCCAGGGGTCGGTCACCGCCTGGCACTTCACCTGGGGATGAATGAAAGGGCCTACACAATTTGAACCTTCGCGCAAATACTGAAGAGGATTTTGCGAGTGAGAGGGAAGGAGAGTGCAGCTGAAGAGGCTAAATCAGTCCGGCTCTGGAATGCGGTCAATGGGACGATATAGAAATGCAGTATGGCTGACTGTTTGAAGAGCAAATGGACCAAAGAGAACAGAAACGAAAGGAAGACTATACTGCGGCCTGTGACGTTACTATGCCGCACGTCTTCGCTGGACCCAAATCAGACTTTGGGTCATGCCAGCGAATACCAGTTGTGCAATGTTATGCAAGCCGGCGGAGTTTCTGACGCTATCAAAAGAAGTGAGCAAATCTGTCACACTGACACGGCGGTTCCGGGCAGGAATATTTCACACCTATGATCTCAGCAGAATTTCTAGCGACTGAGATCTGTCTAGCGCGGAACAACTGGCAACTCCGGGAGCAGAAAAGCTTTGCAAACACTTCGACTCCCTCACCTCTCCGCCAGTTTGGAACGTCCAGTCGATGCTCCCGTCGCTCGCATTCATTACGTAGATCTTCCCGTCGTAGCAGCCGACCACAAGCTTCTCGCCGTCCCTAGTCGAGCCCGCCGTCGCTTCCACCCGCCCCCCGACCTCTCGTTCCCAGACCGTAACCCCGGTTGCCGCATCCAGGCACTTGAAGTTGTGCGCATGTGAGCCGATGAACAGCCGGGGCGCCTTTCCCGGGGCAACTAGAAGGAGCGGGGACGCATCGACGCACAGCCCCAGCTTCGTTCGCCAGGCGACGTGCAGCTTGAAACTTCTGGAGGATCCCCCTGGGGACAGGGAGTGCTCTTGGACGACGGGACGCGCCTGCCGCGTATCTTCCGTCCGTTCACTCGTTCCGTTTGCCGCTGCTGTCCGCTTCTCTCGAGCGGTGCCTTCACTGCCCAACCGCGGACCCAAGAGCATCTCGACGCGGTTACACCTGGTTAGCGAGAACGGTCCCCTCGCTTCGATTACATCTTCCCAAAACTTGGGCACCGACCGGAGTGCGACTGACGCGGAGTCAGCCTCCGAGTCGTCAAGCGCTAGCGTGCCTGCCTCTGCAGCCCCTTTCGCGGCGCCGGCGTCTGATTTAAAACCAGCCATCCTCTCCCGAACCGGCTCCTCTGGCTGACCGCTCTCTTCGTCAGAGTCCCAAAAAGTGACGTCATCAAGAGCGGCTTTCCCATCCCCCGGGAGTTCCCGTCCAGGCGCGGTGGCCTCGTCTTCTCTTTCTCGTTCTGCGCTCCCCATCAATCTCGACCCCTCTATTCTCCCCCGCTCTTGAGATTGCAATGTTTCCGCTTGCCACTCTTCCGGCTCTCCGGTCTGCCGGCTATTCACGCCGCTCTTGAGCAAGGCCTCTGCCAGGCTCTCGGGCGTAGGGTGTGAATACACCCACCGCATGTCGACCCTCAGGCTGTGTGCCACCTCTGCCGCGGTCACCGAGCTCCCCCCGGCCGCGAAAAAGTCCGCATCAGCCGCCACTTGGCGCACCCCCAGCGCCTTCCGGAAGGCTCCCAGCACTGCGGCCCGCACTCTTTGCGACAGCTGTCCTGCTCCGTCCGCCAAACCTTCCAACCGCAATCCTTTTGCGCCGGCGTTAACTCTCGGATTTGAGAGCTCATTACTTGGCGAAAGAGTCAAGCAATCAGTAACGCCCGGAGATTCCTCCCGGGTTCCAGCAAACCCCTCGTGCATACTGTCACTTTCGCCTTGGGGGAGGGGTAAAGGAAGCGGGCTCTGAAACGAAGCGGGCGGCAGCAGGGCGGCGTAGTCCACTTTTCCGGAAGCCGTCAGGGGGATGGCGGGCACGACCTCGACTAATGCCGGAACGGCTGCCGGTAGCAGACGGCCGCGCAAGTGCTCCCTCAAGATGCTCACCACCGTTTGCTGCTCTCTTTCCGCCAGTGGGTCCGCTGGTCTGTGAAGCACGAGCCCTTCCGTAGGTCCGCTACGTGGCACTTCAGGTGTGCCCGACGCATCTGCTGGCGGAGCCATCGAGAGCGGTAAGTCTACTGGTGGCTCCGAAACTAGCTGAAACGACTGTTCCTGGATTTCCCTGGACCCGACCTGGCTTTGAGGAGGCTTTGACGTGAGGGTGACGTAAGCGGCCAAGCCGAGCTCTTGGCTGGGCAACGGCCAGGCCTTGACAGCGGCGGACTGCACCAGCGGACAGTTGCGGAGCGCCGCTTCGACCTCCTCTAGTTGCACCCGGTGACCGCGAACCTTGAACTGGAGAAGATGACAGATAGCTTGGGAAAGATAGAGATGAAACGCCGCCGCTCAGCCCTTGTTGCTCTGGATAGCTGGGTAAAAAAGTTCGTCTTACAGAGAGATGACGATATCCTGTCGGCGGCCTTAGGATGGGCTAAGAGCCTTTGCATAAGCAAAATCTTCCTTGCAAAAGCACGTGCAGGGAAGGTTCGAGCCGTCGTAAGAGTGTTACCCCACAGAGTATTACGTCACGGGAAGCGCTTTTTCTGGAATAGAGCCGTTTTGAAGCGAGTCTCCTGAGTTCCCGAAGCGGTCCGTCTGCTTACCTGCCGATCTCTGCGCCCCACCCACGCGTAGTTCCCGTCCAGCAGCCGTGTTGCCAGGTCCCCCGTCCGGTAAAAACGCTCTGCCTCCGGTCCATCGGCTGTGCTTTCTGCAGTTCCGTTGCGTTTGCAGAGGAAGAAAGCGTCGCGACTCGCCTCCTGGCTGTGTAGATAACCAGAGCACAGACCGGGACCAGAAACGCAGAGCTCGCCCACCTGAATTAAGACACGAAGAACGTTTGCTTGGAGCGAATACGATCTTTTCATAAATGTCGTACTTCACAGTGTGTCTGAAAAGCATTGTGTTGATTGCTGGACCCTGCGACGGGGCTTGATGGCGCAAGCACGAGCCAAGCGAATCGCTGGGCCTGGCAACTCGACGAGCAACAAGTCGGACACAACAGGTGCGCTTTGAACCAAGGAACTTTTCTCGATTCAGCGATCTTTGTTGAATCTTCAAAAGAATCGAAGTGACAAGACAAAGGCACAGTTTGCTGCGCCTCACCTCCTCATCTACTGTGACTTCCTCCTCATTGTCCTTGATGAGCATTGCCCGGTGGTTAAGTATGGGCTGTCCGATTGGGACGGTGCATGATGACGTCACCAGGTCCGCTTTGAGCAGCTGTTGTGTGACATTGAAGCTCAGCACGTCCCCTGTCACCTACGCAAAGCGCACAGACTTGTAATCAGATCAGAGTTCAGCCGGGACCCAAAGAGGCATGCGCCCGCTCAAGTTGTGTCACAGGCCGATGAGAACAAATGTAGCTCAAATCATTGCGTGCACTTTTTGTTGTTGCACTCAGGAGGCAGCAATTCCATGTCGATTTCTGGCAGTCTGTTTTATCTCTCAGGAGTGCCCATAGCAGTAGCCGCATCAATATGTGGGTTCTTGCAAAGCCCAGGAACCTGGGCTGGAGTCCTTGCAGACAGTCCCCCATGTGAAGACAGTCCCCCATGTGAACCACCTCCGTTCCTCAGGACCAGGCAATCAACGAACGTAGCCCTTACATCCTCAAAGAACAAGTGAAATACTCTCCGCCTGCTACTCACCTCCGTGCTTCCATAAAGGTTCAGGATCGTCGCATGCGGCAGGGCCTTCTGGAGCCTCCGTGCCAGATCCCAGGAGAGGGCCTCGCCACTAGAAACTACTAGCCGCAGCAAGGACAACTGTTCTGAAAGCAAGTGCGGGTCGAAAGAGGACAGCAGCATCCGTAGAAAAGACGGCACGGCCACAAGGCGCGTGATGCAACGCTCCTGCAGTGGGGGAGAGGGATCGCTCAACAATGACAGGAAAGGAGGTGGCTGACTTTGCCTGGCGGGCTTCAGTTTACCTGCACTTCAAGACCTGACATGTAATGACTGGCATAATCATGTGTGGCCCAGCATATCCTTCTGTCAACCGGTAGACTGTGCGCTTCCAAGATAAGGCTGAGAGATTGTCATTTACTGAGACTGCACACCATGCTTTTATGAAGAAAGGACATGAAGAAGGCTACCCGGTACAGCAAAGCATCTAGCTGCTTTAACGTGATTGAGGTCTTGCATAGGAAGTGCTCAACTCACTTGGATGCAATCCACCAGGGAGAGGGGACTCTCTCGCAGTACTACCGCTGATGGGATTACCACCGGCACTCCCGCAAGCATCGGCCCCAGCAGCTCTGTGAGGTGGTCAATGAACCCGACCCCCGTCTTGAAGCAGCACACATCATCCAGCTGGTAAGGCTGCGCTTCTGCCATCCAGCAGAGGCGGTTAAGCAAACCGCCCAGGGTCCCACAAACCCCTTTTGGCTGGCCGGTGCTACCAGAGGTGTACAGGACATAGGCATAGGGGAAAGGGGGGAGAAGGGGCGGAGGCGGGTTTAGAGAGTCAGGTGCTTCTGCAGGCCTGAAGGAGTGGTGCAAAAGGGAGGCATTCGTTTCTTCGACAGAAGGCTGGCTGACATGATCCTTGCCAGGTTGGAAGGACAGTATGAGGAAGGGTTGCCCTAAAACGGTCGATGATGTAGTGGTGTAGCTGTTTCCTGGTGTAAACTTTCCGCTAAAGGTGCGCTTATTGCTTACTAAGCAATCATTGCATCCAATTCCCTCTGCCGCAGCAGAACAGGCCTCTTGCAAATGCGGCAGCAAAGCGGGCGTCGTGAGAATGAGCTGCGGTGTGCAGTCCGACAGAATGAGCTGGACCTTGCCTGGCGGCCAGCTGGGATCAATTGGCACGAAAGCTGCGCCAGTCGCCGACACCGCCAGCAGAGACACTATGTAAGCTGGGCTCCTCTCTAGAAATAGTGCCACGTGGCCTTGTGATGCCCTTCTATCATTGGACACTGAATCCTGGTGCTCGAGTGAATGCTGGCCTTCTGATTGCCCCTCATCATCGCCCCTGCTGGCTTTTTGTTCAGAATTGCCCAGGCCTTGCGGGGTGATATCGTGACTCAGCAAATTCTTGCTCAGGTCTGCCGAGAGTGTGGCAGCCGCTGCTTGCACCTCGCCGGAAGAGAAAGGCTCTCTGTCTGTAATTAGACAGGTGGGGGTCTCTGGGGCTGCGCTAAAGACGTCCAGAAGAGACGATTGTGCCCCCCAGCGCTCCATCTGCTCCGCATTCTTCAAGCGCTGCCAAAAAACGGGTATTACCGGTAAGCTCCAACTCGTAATCCTATGCCTGTGGCTAGGCTTGAGCATGCATGCAATGCAGTGCACTTTTGCCAATGCATATGCACTTTTGCAGGCAACTTTTTGCAGACAGATCCAGGGTTTCCCACGGACTTTCGTCCCGGCCGGCCAGCTGCCGGCGGCCCCCCGGTTCTGTCGGCTGGGTAGTCGGTAATCCGCTTTACCGGCCGGCTGTACCTAGCAAGTGCGTGCATTTCCTGCCGGCCAACCAGCGGGGTGCCTTCGGCACCGGCCGGGGTCCTGTCTCGGCCGGCCAGGTCCAGGTTCTCTTGCCGGCTGTGGGAAACCCTGGACAGATCATACTCCGGCCGTCATTCTTGGCTTTCTCTGCGCCGGAACGGAAGTGGGGCCTGCTTGGGAAACCGGTTTGATCCTCGTGCCGGTTTTATGGCAGATACCTATACTGTCGGAGTAGGAGTCACTGAATCTGACGTCGGTACTCGACGGTTTTGGTATCGTTGCGTGCTTCTCGTAGTTCAGTGCAAATCCGCCTGCGCCGGCGGAATCCGCTGCGGGTGCCCGAGTAGGTACCAGCCTTGAAGGACAGCGGAAGCAACGTACGCAGCTTCCCCAGCCATAGACCCCGGGGCCGCGGAACTTCCAAGTTTCGACTGAGTTGATCCTGGTTGATTCCCCAGCTTGGCAGCGCAGGTTCCTGGACCTAGGTATGGCGTAGCCGAGATCTGAGTTCTTGTGTCCAGCTCTCCTGGGGCCACCCAGCAGGCATTGAGCAATTCAAGACTACATAAGTTGCTGCAGGTTCCTGCAATTCCTTGCATTTCCCCTTCACATTTTCAGTTCTTGATTGTATGCTAGCTTCTTGCAAGTAGCTTTCTGCAAGCAGGGTTTGGAGCATTCTAGGACGTTGATATCTCATCAGCACTCCCGAGCTGAGGGTCCCAAATCAGAGGCCGTCCTTGTCCTTGAGGAGTCTCCGCAAGTTCTTTGGTCAAGCACAGCAAAAGACAATGGCAGCTCCCAATGACCATGCTGTGGAGACCGCTTGCTTTGCTGCAGGTATGCCCTCCTCACCCCTTCTGCTTGCAGCTTGACAATGTTCCGGTCCCTTGCAAACTCTCCACCTTGCCGATCCTGCCCTCCAATTCAAACTTTTCTGAGGCGCAGCTACAATGCCCTTAGGAAGGGCTTCTCTGACGGGTGGTGTTGAGCATTTCACGTTGAGTTCACTTCAGTACAACACAGTCTCCAATGCTGCTTCTTTTCTGCAGGCTGCTTTTGGGGGGTAGAAACCACACTGGCGTGTGTACCCGGAGTGATCACCACAGCAGTGGGGTACACTGGAGGCCATGTGGAGAATCCCACCTACAAGCAGGTAAAGCCGAAACTAACGCTGCGGGTTCAGATTCGTCTTAGGCCCATCTCGTTGAGGTGGAGGCCAACACTCGACATCCTAGGTCTGGACTCTTTTACGATTCTCAGAAAAGCAATGCTACTGCTTCTGTGGCTACCTATCTTACAGTCAGGTCATAGGTCCAACCGCAGATCTCCGAGTGCATCGAGCGGCGCCGGTCGTGTTCAGGTGCAGCAGCTAAGTGTGGGGTAGGCCGTCGCTCCGCAACTTCTTTATACAGACAACGCTCGTTTGTTTGGTGGTCTTGTCGCTCACGCAGTGCTCTCATTGCCTGCAGGTGTGCTACAAGGACACCGGGCACGCGGAAGCTGTGCTGCTGACATTTGACCCTTCCAAGGTCTCGTTCAAGCAGCTTCTGGAGGTCTTTTTTGAGAATCATAATCCGACAACTCTCAACAGACAGGTCAGTTGAAGGAAACGAGTAGCGCTCTTCTTGTTTTGGTTTGTTGCTGCTTTGTCACCTGGCAACGATCAGCTTTCAATGTTTATACTCTACTCTTTTGTCTTGGTCGTCGAGGATACTGTTAGGTAGAAGATGCACCCTGAAGGGTGCAGGGCGACAATATGATTTAGATTCTGACTTCCAGTCTTCTGCCCTCATGAAGACGTGGGAAGAAGCCAGAAGCTTTCTGACGATGTCAGTCATGCTGGACGCAGTAGCTTCGAGCTGTTTTTCGGTTTGAAAGGACACCCAGAAAGAAGATACCTGGCAGCGTAGACAGTGTTTTCGCATGTTTTCCTTATCATCAGTCACGTTGCTTCGTCTTTGCTCTGTAAAGCCGGGGCCGGGTTTCATCAGCCTCGATCTTCTCTTGTTTGCAGGGGCCCGACTACGGCAGCCAATACCGGTCTGCTGTCTTTTATTACTCGGAGGAGCAGAAAGAGGCCACGCTGGCCGCTAAAAAGAAGTACGAAGCCCTCCTCAACAAACCGGTAGTCACTCAGATTGTGCCAGCTGTCACCTTTTACAACGCAGAGGACTACCACCAAAAGTATGCGCTCAGGCTACGAGATCACAAGCCTCTTCTTACCAGCTTGAAAATGTCGGACAAGGAGATCCTCACGTCTCCAATAGCGGCCAAGCTGAACGGGTGAGAATCAATTTTTCTCCAAAGGCATTTGTGCCTGCTCGTAGATAGTGCAAAACTTGCTTCTTGGAACCTTTGCTGCGAAACCTAGAGCACGTACTCCGAAACGAGAAAGATCCTTGATGTTTTTACGATCTTCCATGAGAAACTCGGGGCAAGACCCCACCATGGGACGATGTTGGGAGTTCGTCATGGTTGAGTGGCTGCTCAAGTTTCATCCGCTTCAAACAAAGGTGCTTACACATGTGGGCAGGCCGTTGTCCGGGTTCCTATCGCACGACCATCACGACTCTCTTCATGCTTGTACCACTTCCTAGTGCTGGCTGTTTTTGCAAGAGAGCGTAGATACTACTCTGTCTCAGGGCCTGATACCCCATTTTGTCATTGGTGCAGGTACGTCACAGGCCAGGCTCCCCCGGAGGTCCTACAAGAAGTGGAGGCCCTGCCCTTACGCGACGAAACCAGGAGACTGCTCCCACAAATACACTTCGCTGGCCCAGCCTGTCACTACAAAGCCTTCAACCACTGAAGTTCGAACACGAAGATATGGGGGGAAGGGGGGATGAGGGATTGGGCGAGATTCCGCTGTATGCGGCTTTGTAAAGAGGTTCGATCCGAAAGACGAGTCAGTGTCTGGTTTTGTTGTTGTACAGTATGTGTCGTTGATAGATCGAGTTGAATGCCTTATTGGTGCGCGGGATCAAAGAAGGACCGTGTGCCAGACCACATGTACAAGTTCTCTAACTTTCCCAGCAACATGCAGGTAATATGAATCAGCATAAGAATTAGGGTAGCACGCATCCACGGCGTCCGGGACAAGTGGCCGGACATTGTCCGTATGGAGGTCAACGTGGAAATCATACTTTTATATAAGAATGTTATGAAGCAAGCACTTCATGCTAACACAGCTACGTCCGTACAAATGGATCATGTACGTACTGCTGATGTCACTGGAATCATAGTCTATCTAAGAAAGCTACGTACGAATACCCGACAAACTCCAATCGGTCATACACTCTGCTTCGGCAGCCACGCCATAGAGCGTTACAGATACATATATACCAAATATATGGTTACTTCGGTACGTACGTATGGCTTGATCCTTCATGGTCGACTTCATTGAAAGCTAGTCCGTTCCCAAGAACCTTACGTGCTAGGAAAGCCTCGATCTCTGCGCGGCCCCTCCTTCACATGGAGACGTTGACAGTCTAGCTCGTGCCCGTATCTATATGGTTTCTATAACTTCATCGATCGATTAACCGTTTGCTTTTCCCAGGCGTCTAATTGAATGAATGGGCCCATCGGTTGAGCCCTATAGATATCATGCCGCGACGGTCGGTCACCCCATGGCGCAACGGTCACCCCGTGGATCGATTTGCATGAGGACTTCCAGTAAGAGCATTTCGATCACGCTTGTTGTCAGAGAGACGGTAAGGTCCATACATACCCCATGCAGCTCTTCAAAACTTGCACCTCATCGGTTAAGGACGAGCTCGCTGTTCATCCTCGCCTGTTCGCGTATTGAAGGCCGCATGTGTGCAATAGTCCCTAGCTCGGCGGCCAGAGACGACTGCATCAACCTCTGATCTTGGGAGTCTTGGTGCCCCTTGGCATGCCAGAAAGCGCCTTGGTTTTCTTCTTAATCAATGAACCGGCCTAGCGCTGGTTGTGTGCGGGGCGCACGGATGGTCCCCTGTCATAAACACGTCATTGAGATCTCCTGCCAGACTCCTTTTGCAAAACCCCTACTGAGCACGTCACTAACATGTCGCAATAAATACCTGGTAGCCAGTTATCAGCAGCTAGTTTACCAATCGCAGAGTCTATATTCTGGTCAACTTTTGAACTGTAATTCTTGAGGTTTGCATCTATTGAATGATTTCTGACTTCGACAGCCCTGGTACCTAGTTTTCTGAGCTGAATATGATCAACCAGAGCAGATCGGCGCCTGCCGATTCTGAAACCTATCATTTATGAGCCTGCTCCCAGCAACTTCTTTTCACAGAAGATATGATCCATTCTAGCGGTCAGGTCGTGGAGAAGATTGTCGGGCACTTCTGATGCAGGACTCGGGTCCTGCCCACTGGAGACATCATGTTGATTGGTGTGCAGATCGTTGTTTTCCCGTTCTTCGAGCTTTCCCGCTGCCGAGGTCTCCAGAATGGGCTGCGTCGCCTTTAGTCTCTCCCTCAAACGCTGTCTCCTGGACCGGAGACTGACGAGTCCATCTTCTACCTGCGTGTACCGATCAAAGAGTGTTTCAAGAAAACTGCGACGACGACCGATTGCCCTCTTCGAAATGAAATCGTTTGAAACTTTAAACGTGCTGCCACCACTGTGGTTCTATGAAGAAAATCCTGAAGTATCTTTGCGACCAGTCTGAATAGAAAGTTTCCAGTGAAGCGTGCGCAACTTTGCGTCTTCCTGGTGTTATGAAAAGATGGGGATTAAAGAGCGGAAGGAATCGCAAGTGGAAGGAACCAACAGCTTTTGATCTATGCTCAAGTGTTAACATCATCGAAGACGGACCAGCGCACGCAGAAGTGGACCCAAAGGATCGCCGGAGAAATGAGGGATAGTCTCGAGGGTTCTTTTCCTGCTCACCCCAATTTGCAGACAGAGGGACAACTCAAGCTCCGTTGCCTGTTGCCTAGAAAGCCTCAGATTCAGCATCGCAGACTGCAAGGAGTGGAAGCGTTCCTTTGCTTCGAAGAGCTGCTTTCTTGCCCAGATCTGCTCAACGTCGGACTTCGCCCACTCCCGTATATGCTGCCAGGCCAGATATTCACCCTTAGCCCTGAAAAATGCGACCTGATAGGCGGCCAACGATTCGCTTGTTGGTCGCGGAGCGCCTTGCTGGATCTCTGGTTTGTGGATCGAGGAGCATTCAAGCTCAAACCTTGAAGATTGTTCTCTTGGTGAATCTGTTTGACGCTCGTCGTCAACATCCTCCTTTGGAAGCATGCAAACAGAGGGAGGAGCTCTGCTGATGACGTCAGTGCTCTTGGCCCTCTCAATTTGAGCACCATGTCCGCTTCCACTGTTTTTTCCTGCATGCTGCGGCCTCAAGGTTTCATGATCTTGTGACTTATCGTCCCTCAGTTTTTGCCTCTCTCCTTTTTCGGTGCCAGGATCCTGCGGAAAGCATCCCCGACTCACATAGTTTCCCAACGCTGAAGCAAGCTTCGCTTGATCTTCAAGACCCCAAGATTCTTTTTCAGAGGCGTCTGCCAAGCTTTTCATTCTTTCTGAGTCTGCTTCGAGAGCTTGGTCGAGCAGGTGAACAAGGGACTGTCTAAGACAATCCTCTTGAAACAGACTCTTTGGAGGAGAACAAAAGTTGCAAGATGCAGATTTTTCGCCGCCATCGACTCGACTTGTTTCTCCAGCAACTTTTGCGATCCTATCTTCAAGCAGGCAGCACACATCAGAGATGACGCTGGAAGCCTCTTTCTCACACCAACGCCTGCATGTGATAGTGGATGTGCGCAGCTTTTCAGCAAGTTGTTCTAGCGCTTCAAATTGTTGTATGCCTCTGAACATGCCCAACTCCCCCACGTCTGCCTCCGGAGTAGGAACTCGTGGCAGAGGCTCTTCCTGGTCCGGTACTAAGAACTTCTTGAACTTTGCTTGCAGATTGGCACTTGTGTCCGAAGGCACCATGTGCTCTCTTGCTGGTGCCATAGGGCTTCTCGCCTGGTGAGAATGCAATCTGGCAGGAAGGCAAGCTTGCTTGTGCTGTTCCGTAAAAGGGCTGCGGATTGACGTAATCAAGGTTGTGCTTGATTCTGCAGGCGCTCCAGGATCGTAGAACACGGGGATGTTCTCCTGGTCTTCATCCAAGGCTTCATCCCAAGCCAGGAAGCCATCTTCTCCTTGATGTCCTCTGTCATCAAGGCTTTCAAAAACCAGCGAGTTCTCGTCCGCATCAAGGCTGCGCTCACTGGCATCGTGGTCGTTGCTGGCAGTCAGCGGATCTTCCATCACATGTGCACTGGCACATCATGACTGAGCTTCGTCTTCTGCAAGTCCCTTCGACACCGCCTCGCCCTAAGGACAGTGTTGAGGCTGAGGCCAGAGGCATACAGCCGTTGCGTCTCTGTGCTCTTCAGTGCGCTACAAACACTGGCTGCCCAAGACTCGCTCAAGCCTCACGAGCTTCTTCAGAATCATTTCGCAGAATGCCAAACTACAATTTCGCACCAATGGTTCCTCACTAAATATCTTCAGACTTCTGTGTCTGCTGCCTCTGGGTCACACTCGGCTGGTCCAAGATCCTAGGAATCTGCCCTGATGTCAGCCAGCAGAGTCAGTCGGAGGTTTTGAATAGGGTATAGCCGTTAAAACGAAGGCACGCGCCTCGATAGATGGCCGCCAGCTGTCACGTTCTCCTTGCGCTGATTGGGTCCTTGACAAATGAGGATCTCGTAACCATGCCAAGACCATAGCCTCAAATCTCCGCCAACGTCGGCCAAGATTTGTACGGGGAGCACGAGTACTGGGGCCTAATAGTTGTTTCGCGATCGAGGACTTCACTGTGCTGGGTCGAATGAGCGATTATTTTGTGTGAAAGACGTCAAGTAGTGTGATATTGAGGTCGCAAGCATGCAAAACTCGCGTGATCTCTGTACTTGTTTGCTACTTGGCATTGCTTGAATACTGGACAACATCATATGTGACTCGGAGCTGATTGGCTGAGATTCAGCACGTTTTGAAGTCTGAACTGGTAATTCAACCATGGATGTACGTTCACACACTTGACTATCTTTCTTCGATGGTATCGAGAACAGACTATCCTCAACACACAGGACTTTGAAGTACGTTATAAAAGTGCAGATCGATTGAAGAAAGGCTCTTTGCAGATCAGGATTATCTGAATGATTTGGAAACTTATCCTAGATGCCGATCATCAGGGCCTGTTTCGCATGCGGAGCAAAGTCGGAAGTGCATGTGCAAGGCGTTTTGGCCAGGCATGCACATAGGATAGCATGTGCAAGGACACGGGCAATCAGCTACATATGCGACAAAACTCGACGGAGCTATCGATCGTCACTCTGTAGCATGTACGTTGCGGCTGCGGCTTAAGATTCTGAGCATCCGACCTAGTGCAGAAGAAAGTGGAGGCTCCAGCTTGCTGCCGTGATACGGATGTTGCGGTGCAGCCTAGTAGCACACGATATGCTATTTACTCACATAATGCTTGGCGCCTGGCTGAGAGTCATTCGTGGGCATGTCCACTTTTGAGTGCTATCTCCTTGTAAATTAAGAGCTCATGAATCGATTCTGCATGGTTACAGTCTTAATTTGGGCGCGCGCAATCAGCCCGTGCACCTCGACAACAAATTGCCTCTGACTTGCACTAGCATGTCTCCATATTGTCAGATTTGCTCATAGACGCCTTTGAGCTAGATTGGCAGCTGATGCATGTGTCCGCAATGGTCTTAGCAAGCGTATGGCAAAATTTGCTCAATCGCAGCAAGCTACAGTAGTGTAGCATTTCAATATAATAAACTTTTTGGGCATCCTTGAATGCTCAACGACAGGCAGACACCGACAATCCTCTCCGCTTTAGTGGTGTCGAGTGGGTCCGTCTGTCTTATGAGCTCTCCGTCTTTCGATCGTGGGGTCGACATAGTGTCTAAGTCCAGCAAAGACGCCCGCGTAATAGCACGACTGCAAGACAAAGGCTGGTTCGTCAAGCCTCCAGAAAGTAGGAGAAAATGGCAATCAAGAACGAAAGGGGAAGAAGCAGCTTTCGGGAGCAGACCAGTCTGTCAAAACATCAAAGAACAAGGACATTTTGCAACAGTCCCAACAAGGCAAAACGAGACCTAAAGGACTGGAAGGCGGCTAATTCCCTCACCTCAGGAAGGCCCAGTCGCTTGTGAACAACGAGAACCTGCCTCCCGAGCTTGACGGCGACTGACTGCTTCTCCGAACATTTCGTGCACTGCGGGAACAGGCGCTGGGCTACCCGCTCTGCAGCCTTCAACGTCCCCGAGTTGGTGCGGGCTGGACCTTTTCGTCTTGTTACCTGTCTCAACGCTTTCACGAAAACATTTTGACTGGCAGTCACTACCTTCGAACGAGTACCTTCGGGCCAGACAAACTTGTTTGGTGGCATGTGGTCGCCAATACTGCAAATGAATGTACTTGTGTCAGATTTACGAGGGCCTGAGTGGCCGCACTCTTCGGAACTGTCCACGTGAATATTATCAACTCAACCGTCCATCGCTTCATTATCAGAGATTTCTGTCCCTTGCTTCGACGACTACTTTTCTGCCCCAGAATATGGTGTCCAGGCTTGGCATCCTTGAGGTCAGAGTGACACACCAGGGACCGGCTTCGAGAAAGAGAGGGGTCTTTTGGTGTTCCTCACCACTCTCCAGTGCGCCTGCCACAGTGATGGCACCCATACCGTCGGAAGAGGCTAACGATGTCCTTCCGCTGCTTTACGGTGCTGTACTGGGCACCGTTGGCTGCACACTGTGCCAGAATTTTAGTGGGCAACAAACGCCGTCGCACCGCAGATGTTACTCTCAGCTTCGACTAAGAGCACCAAGTAGGACAATCAAAGTTCAACTTCTTACGAGTCTTTCTGAGTAAAAGCATGAGGCGCATGCTGGAAACTCACCAGCTATTGAACTTCTTGCAAATGAACCAGGATAGCGGAGGTCGCTTGGATTCACGTTCTTGAACATGCCTCCCAGGGCCTGATAGACAGGGGAACTTAGCCAGGTCAGGTCATGGCACCAAAGTCAGATTTTCAAACCAGAACCTTTCTGCCCCTGAGGGTGATTTAGAATGTTCAGTGGAGGCTTGAAAAGCTGAAACAAAACCAACGGTGACTCCATCTTTAGAGACAAGCCATTTGCCTAAAAGAGTCCTTCCTCCGTCCTTGGGAAACGACACACCTTGTACGCTAGGATGCCGAGCGCAGCATCCAAAAGCACTTCCTCTCCTCTAATAGCTGCCAGACCTTCTCGGGGCCAAGGCTCGAGCCCTGCCTGCCACCGGCCAACAGCCTTCGACACCTGCAATCACAATCAGGATTTAAGCAGACTTGTGTGGATCGCTCTACATCGCGACCAGCCTTATCCCGAACACTCTTTGCAACAAAAGCTGCGCGCTGCATGCTTTCGAAGTTTTGCAAAGCAGAGTGTTTACATACCTGTCCGCCAGCTGCTGATGCCAGTCCAACCCCCACCATGCCAAACAAGGGACCAATGTGAGGTGATGCGCACGAAATTCTGCAAGCGTATGCAACCCCCTGCAAACAAAGCAGATGGCCCTCTTTAAGAATTGCATACGATCAGTTTCCAGCATACCGAAGGTACAAATGTTTGGAGATCAAATCTGGCGGTGCACAGGTCAATCATCAACGGTTACATTACTGATAGGGCATTGCAAAATGAACCCTGCTGACCTGGATACCAGCTAACCCCCCCACAAAGGTGATTCCAGCTGCAGCTCCTTGGATCACATATGGAATCCCGGGTTTTGCGACCCTGCTGCCATAACCCCAAGCCTCCTGGAGCCGCTGCAGGCACGAATCACGCGCTTCCTCCCAAGACCACAAACGATCTGTGTCACTGTTCATTGCAGATGTCGTTTGATACTGCTCTCTAATGGTGCAGCAGGCGATGAGAGCCTCTGCAAGTGCTTCCAAGTGTCATGAAAGCTGCGTAGCTGCCACCAGCTCCAAAGCAGGCTTATGCACAGGAAAGCTGGATGTATTCGTCAGACGACCACTGCATTGCAGCAGGTGGAGACTGCAGCGCCCTCTTTTGTCAATAAGTTGGTTGAGCCATGCGGTGGATGGCCGCGATTCTCCAATCTGAGAAGCCACTGTCCGTGGTCCAGACAACATTTCAAACTTGGTTGGATAGAAATATCTCCAGCAAGCCCCCAATGCCCAATGCACCCATGCCGCCGCGCCGCCCCAAATCCCTGCCAGTGCAGAGACCAGTTGGCAGTGCGGCGCTGCGCAAGCACAGCAAACCCTAAAATCCCTTTTAAAATATATAAGCATTCTGTGCTTGCAATTAAGCTCGCGAGAATTTACAAGGCCTCAGAAGGTTTCGAAGTCAGGAAGCAGTTGTGGCAGCCACACCCCCCGGTGCTTCCTTCAATACCAGGTGCTCTTGATGCGGGTGAAGAGATTTGGCCGGCAGTCCTTATTTAACTAATGGTAGCAGTAAGCCCCCACCCCACCGCCCCCGGTGGTCAAGAAAACCGGCTAGGCTCACCATCTTCTGGGCATATCAACCAAGCAGCTAGTCGATTGTAAACAAGCGGAGCTCTTCGACGTTGTCCAAAAACACGCGGTTTTGCCTTCGCCTCGCGATTTGGAGCATTTTGCTAGTTTGGACAGACCTGCATTCACCCGGCAGCTGCACTCCAGAATTTGAAAGCTGTTCAGAAAAGAAGTGGGCAGAACAGAACTTGAAGAATGCAGCCTCAGGGACGTTTGTGAACGGCGCATTGACGAGAGAGCTTCCAATCGCAGCTAGTAGCTGCGCGAGTGTCTTCTCAATCCTGTGGTTTTCACCAAGCAGGCTAGGATGGAAGGACTGGAAATCTCTGGCGATCGTCAATCCGGGCAAGATGTCAGAACACAGAACGGTAAGGGCAGCCTTTGCTTGTACAACTGTTTTAACAGGCGTGTGCACTGCGTCGTGGAGCGTTGCTGGCATCGCGGAACTGGGTGAATTCTTGCTGCAGGCTGTTTGATTAATCGAACTTCCATCATGACAAGTCTCCTTAAGAACACGCAACACTTATTTGACACCTTCGAACGAACTCCACAAAAAAAAATTGGTCACTGGTGCAACCTGCTGTCAAACAAAGCCACAGTTTGACACACAATATTTGATCCTGCAGCCACTGCCGTCCAAGCGATCTCCAACGTAGTGAAGAGCTCCTTGGGTCCTGTGGGCCTGGACAAGGTGAGTATTACTGGCACCTTAGTGCAAGAGAATCCGTCCTTTTTCTGGTGTTTGATTGGTGCACTCTGCAACAAAGTCATACACTCGTACTTTCAGTGGTAGCAGACACCTGGTTTCGATCTTACCTTGTTGATGGTCTAGAAGTCAAGAGTATTTGGTTTATCTCCATTAAGTGGTGGTAGAATACCAAATTGATACTTAATTGATTGCAAATTGGACTTGATACCCAAGCCTTGCTTCTAAGGTGATTGATTGAGGTCAGCGGTGCCTCCACAGATGCTGGTGGATGACATCGGTGATGTCACTATCACAAACGACGGTGCCACAATTCTGAAGATGCTCGAAGTGGAACATCCAGCCGCCAAGGTAAGCTGCCAGGGCTTCAATGAACGAGAGGTCCAGCATAAAAAACTATCTGATGCACAACCGACTGCAGATCAACCATCACTTGCATCCGACCACTTTCTAAGCCTTGTCGAGGGTGGTGGCATCATTGTAAGATCAGAAGTCCGGCCATCAAGTCGTCAGGTTCCGGCAAGTTTCTGAATTAGAAGGGCGTTCTGAGTCTGGGTTATCAAAGTACAGGTTCTTGTTGAGCTGGCGGAGCTCCAAGACAGGGAAGTGGGCGATGGCACCACCTCCGTGGTCATTGTGGCAGCGGAGCTGTTGAAGGTGAGTGTGTTCTAGTGGCAGCGCCAGGGCTCATAAAAGTTTGTGGCTCCGGTGTTGGTGGTAGCGCCAGGCTTTTCAAGATGTCGCTGCTCCAGCGTTGGTGAAAAACTTGTGAAGGTTGGACCTTGTGGTGTGGCGATTGATGACGGAGGCAGGATTCAGTACGGGGGTATGTGTTCGTGTTCTGATGGACTATGTGCAATTCCTGCAGAGGGCCAACGACCTGGTTCGCAACAAGATACATCCAACATCCATCATCAGTGGCTACAGGGTAAGTTCAGATTACTGTAGTGCCAAAAATGGTGTAAGTTAAATGAGCCAATACTCCTAACACTAACACTCTGAGTTGATGTCGCTTTTGAAAACTTGATGTCAACGGCTCTGCTACTTTGAGAGTCGGCAACTTGCCAATTGAAGATGAATAGGTGCAATTTTGCAATGGACGTTGATGAAAAGCGTACAGTATACAGAATCTAGATGTACTTGCTATGAAGCAATCTAGACCTTCCAATCTTGGTACAGGGGACAGACATCCAAGTTTCGAATCACAATGCTCACATGTGTCTGTCTTTCTCTTTTTGCAGCTTGCTATGCGGGAAGCCGTGAAGTATGTAGATGAGAAGCTGGCCATAAAGGTGAAGGGGAGGTCTTTTTGCCCATTTTCATGCATTTTGGTGCTTGTTGCTCGACTCCAGCATCATATCACCAGGTTACGCATCGTCCCCTCCTATGCAGTCATGTTTTTCTTGATCTGAAACCTCGCAACCTCACATGTGCCCAACTTGACTGAAGAACATTTCTTTGCAGGTTGACAAACTGCCCAAGGAGACGCTCCTTAATGCCGCAAAGACCAGCATGTCCTCTAAGATCATTGGAACTGAGAGCGACTACTTTGCCAAGATAGTAAGTCACCGACCACAAAGGAAAACGGTACAATCGGCCAGTGCACTAAGGTGCCTGATACTTGTTCATGGACTGCGCTTGGGACCATTGGTCTTGTTTTAGGTCCTTCTGTGCACCAAAAGCTTTCGTAGCAACCGGACTGAGCCTCGTGATTGCATTGCAGGCGGTGGATGCCGTGCAATCCATCAAGTCAACAAACGATAGAGGAGATGTGCGCTACCCAATCAAGGTCAGTGAGACTGGTGGTCAGGACTCCAAGTAATACGTATTTTGGTGAAATTCGGAAAATCTTGCCCGCACTGTAGATGCTTCCAGTTTTCCTGAGATACCTGACCTAGCTACATCATCCTTCTCCTCTTTTATGGACAAATGCAGCGCTGGTTTCGAGTTGCCGGCTGCTCAAATCTATCCGACTTTGGTAAATCATGCTTACGTCTCCTTTCACAAGGACTCTGGGCTGAACATGGATCGCTCTAACACCGTCCTGCAGTCCATCAATATTCTGAAGGCACACGGGAAGAGCGCCAAGGAGAGCCAGCTGCTGAAGGGTTACGCAATCAACACGACACGTGCAGCCCAGGGGATGGTCAAGAGCGTGTCACCGGCCAAGATTGCATGCCTAGACTTCAACCTCCAGAAGACCAAGATGCAGATGGGAATACAGGTGCTGGTCAATGATCCAAGGGAACTGGAGAAGATTAGGGACAGGTGAGCGGTTCGAAAGCCTGAGGGCCCCACTCAGATGAAGGAGATGAGATCACGGGAGGTGCGTTTGATTGCAGTTTACGTTTTTGTTTTTTCACGTGAGGGTGCTTAGAACTGGTGCGAAGATCATTCAGCAATCAAGAGCGGCTCGATGGGTGCATCTGACGCGGTGACGCTGACCTTTTGAGCTATAAAGAGCGTTCTGCCCATGAAGTGAAGAAACGTAACAGCGTGACTTAAACATGCAGAGAGTCTGACGTAACGAAGGAGAGGATACAGAAGCTGCTCAAGGCGGGGGCGAACGTCATTCTGACGACCAAGGGGATAGACGATATGGCACTCAAGGTAGGGACACGACTGCTTGCAACTAACGTGTTTGTGCAAGCGATGCAAGCTGTTCTGAGAAATAGTGCATAGGGCGAGGTTCTCATGCAGGCATCTGCGATTCGCTCTGCTTATTAAACCGAGCCTTGTGAGGCCACTGATGTACTCACGGGGATTGGACATTGTGAAGTGGTTGCAAAACTCTCTGGTTTGTAAGCGCAGGCTTGGGGCTCTTGCTCCGAGCGAGGCCTCAATCTAATTTTGAATGTTGTCTGCAGTACTTCGTCGAAGCCGGAGCGATTGCAGCACGCCGAGTGAGCAAGGAGGACCTTCGGCACATAGCAAAGGCGACTGGGGCCACGCCGGTACGTCCTCCTGAATTCGATCCGCAGCATAGCGCTCAGCAGCGAATTTTCGGCTCCGTTTTTTTCTGGTCCTGTTTGGCCGCAAGAATTTGCGCAGGTTGAGGACAACTATTGTGAAACATTCTCCTAATCGCGTGTGCATCGAGATGTTGAGCTCCTCTGCTGACACGTCAAATCCGTCGCTTCCTTCTAGAACGTTATCTGCTGGGTAGCTTATTGATTACCTTACGTGCAAGTTTCACCGAAGCGGGGGCCTCGAAAAGGTCTCCATCTCTTCTGAACTCGTGTGCATCACTCCAGATGCTGACCTTCGCCGACATGGAGGGCGGGGAGACGTTCGACGCCTCGTTCCTGGGGACAGCGGAGGAGGTTGCAGAGGAACGGGTGGCAGACGATGAATTGCTAGTCATCAAGGGACCCAAGAACTCGCGGGCGGTAAGCATTAGTATGCCTTTGATTGGGCCTGTGAACAGCCTCCATGGCATGACAGCACTGGGGCAACAATTTTCTGTCTAGTTCCTCGTGTCGCTGTCGAAAATAACTGCAACTTCTGCTTTTTAGAGGAGTGAAGCTTGCACTAAAGAATATTGCGGCGTGGAACCCGCAGGTCCTTGCCTGCATCAGAAGGATTTTCTCAACTCAGTTGCTCAACCGCCAGAAAGATGTATTTTCGATGTTATGACTCATCGTGTAGGAACTGTGTAGCACTTTACTTTCTGACTTTGGGACATTTGCCTTTGAAGCAGGCTCGCTAGTTTCAAAGGCGAAGCTCGTGTCTGCATGCGATGCAACACTGCAGACTGCGAGTTGGCATCTGTTCACTCATTGTTTACGGCCTTTTTGCGTGCAGGTGTCCATCCTTCTCAGAGGCGCCAACGATTACATGCTGGACGAAATGGAGCGGTCGCTGCACGACTCGCTATGCATAGTCAAGCGGACTCTCGAGTCGAACACGGTGGGCCTTCCGTTGTGCCGCTTTTCTATCTCCAGATCTGCGCGTTCTCTGAGACATGCCGTCACGAATTTCAGTCAATTCCCATTGTCTGGTGTCACACTGCCCTTTTCATGGTGAAATAAGAAGGCCGGTTCTATAAGTCGTTTGCATCGAAGCGCAGGTGATCTGAAAGCTTGATGCTCTGCCTCCTGCAATTTCCCGCTGGTTCATTGTGCTCGCATTGTACTCCTGATCTGTAATGATCCGCGGCAATCCTATTTGATGCTCACAGTCCAATCATTGGCGACCTGTTCGCGTCCCATACCGGCAATTGTCCTCCAACTTTTGAAAGCCAGTCCGCCCTGTGCAAAGAAACTTCGTTTTTCAGCCGCCCTCTCACAGCCCGTACTCGCACTCAAGACGACGCGACGGCCTCCATTCTGATCGACGACATTGGCCCCCTCAGGCCCAAAAGCTCGAGCGCTGATTTAGCCGTCTTGTCTTCCGTTCCAGGTGGTCGCGGGGGGGGGCGCCGTGGAGGCTGCGCTGTCGGTGCACCTGGAGAACCTGGCGACCACGCTCGGGTCGCGGGAGCAGCTGGCCATCGCCGAGTTCGCGGAGGCGCTGCTGGTCATCCCCAAGACGCTGGCCGTGAACGCGGCCAAGGACGCCACCGAGCTGGTGGCCAAGCTGCGCGCGTACCACCACAAAGCGCAGACATCCCCGGACAAAGCCCACCTCTCGGGGTGAGTTGGGCTTGAGGTCTTTGCCCAGGCGTGGGAGGCATCAATAGCCGAGTCCAGAAGCAGCGTTTGCGTAGTGCTGGGAGGCTGGGAACCCACTCCGTGGCCGGTCGTCGAGTTCGACGCATCCAGATAAAGCAACCCGCGAGCATTGCTCTAAGAGCGAAGTCGGAGGGCTGATCTTTTAGGGACCTCTACCTGGTTCTTCTGTAAGGCGTGAAGCTACATCTGCTTGATCGGGATCACCGATGTTAACAGCCGCTTGAAAGGTTTGAAAACTCGAGAGCGAACAATCCAGCAGGCTTAGCCCAAATGACCATATTTGCCAGTTCACTAAGTAGGTTTATCTGGTCTTCTGTATACAGGACGGGTCTGGACCTCGTGAACGGCGTGGTTAGAAACAACATCGAGGCAGGGGTGATCGAGCCGGCTCTTAGCAAAACCAAGGTCCTGCAGGTGAGAGAGCGTTACATGATTGTCCGAATACCCCATAGGTTCGTCTTCATTCCGAATCATTTGGCAACTTATTTTGCATGTGGACTGAGTCGAATTTCCCCCCACTGTCGATCCTTTGAGCTTTTGCTCGATGAATCTCTACATTTGCTTTGAGCTTCAATGCGCTCGTGGTTTTCAATGCCTAGTTGCAGAGGCAATGCCGTGAGAAAAACAACTCGTCAGGAAGATTCGCAAATTTGTCGTTAACCTACGTCGCCACTGAGCTAGGGATGACTTCCTTGTGCAGTTTGCAACCGAAGCAGCGATCACGATCTTGCGAATCGATGATATGATCAAGCTCCACAAAGAGGAGGAGGAAGCTGATGGGCATTAGGAGGAAAAAGCAGCAATGGTGATCGCTGGACGTCTTTAATATGGTTCTTCGGAATTTCGTGGCACACGGATGGCCAGAAGTGGTGGAGCTTGATTATGAGTCTTCTAATGCTCTGCGACCTGATTTATCATCAGGAGTGTCCAAGTACTGGGATTTTGGCATGCGTGGATCACAGACCGTCTCTAGGGCATTGATGACGTCATGGGTAATAAACTATCAATATCGAAGCAGATTGCGATGCAAAGGCTCATGTATTGCCAAACATCTTACCCAAACAGGGGCTAGTCAACCAGCTTCAACAACCCTTTGATCTTCATTGGCGGCCGGTTACGGGTATCGATCAAGTTGAACAACGGTGTTCGTACGTCGGTTCAGTACGTGGACATGCAGTCGTCATATGCATTTCACATATATCTAGTCCAGCTTTGCCATTCGCTCCGAGTGCACAAAGTATTGTTCAACCCACACAGCGTCACGGAATATACGCATCATTTTGTATCGTGTCGAGCTTCTCCGGAGCTTGTCTTTCATGCGAAGTCGAATGCATCATGGTTCAGTGGCACACAATGTAAGGTTATTAGAATTGCGGCGATGATGCGCATGCTGCTGCAATATAAGCTCATGCGGCCCCGTTGTCTCCATGCAAAAAGACTCAGCTTTTGGCGACTGCCAATATTGAACGATATCTCCTTTGATTGAAACCGAATTGTGGTGAATTTGGGATTGATTGCAGTTTTTCCGCCGACCGGCCATGAAAATCGACGACCACAAATCATGTTACTAGCCTAAATTAAGTTTGACAATATTTGGTAATAGATGCGCGCGCAGTTTCTCAGTGCGTCGGTTCCAATCCAAGCCGTTCGTTAGAATTCGAAACCGTAAACGGACGGCCAGTTGCGAGACCTGGCGAGAATATAACCGACCGCCGAACTTGAGTGCACGCACGCAATGTTCATAACATCCATTCTAAAACGTAACGGCCTGGCGGTGGTAGAAGCAGTGCTGCGTACATGCAAGGCGCACCCATTTGATGTCAAACCCCCAACACGAGCGTGTTGTGACTGGCAAGCAAAATAAGAACTAGGTAGTTCCGGTGATGTCTGGTGTTGTCAACCGATGCAACAGCTCGAGAACCGCTGTCTGCTGGGCCATGAGGAGCGCAGGATTCAGCTCCCCTGCAAGACTCCCTGACTCCTGAGGGAACTGCGTGTAGATGCAGCATCCAGCAAAGGATGTCTCATCTGGAGCAGCCTGGCCTTGCAGTACAGCGAGATCGAGCTGTAGCTCATAGTGCTGGCGCCCAGCTTTGAAGAGCGCCACTTGAACACAGAGAGAAGTCCGCCCACTTCCTGCCTGATCGGGCGCTCCTTTCAGCAGGAATGGCTATCGTAAAGAGCACAGGGCGGCGCACTCGGGTCACTACCAATGCTCCACCCAAGAACTACCGGCAGTCGTCGCCCAGCTCAGTCCTCAGAAATAGATCAGACTCCGACTCAGACCAGTCCAGAGATTACACAGTTATCAGCGACACGAGCTCAGAGGGCCCGGAGCTGGAACTAGAAGCAGAGGACGAAGTCGGCGAACTGACGGAGCTGGACACGTGGCTGAAAAATGGGGCTCCGGGTGAGTTGAGATTTTTGGCACTTGGCTTGCGCGGCTTTTAGCGGAATGGCAAAATCTGTTGTCGAGAGGCGCAATCTGATGGACACACTGCTTTCTATCCGCTTCAGCCCACCGCTCGTTTTGCAGCTTCGGTGCTGGTGACAAACTGATGAGTCGCGACTTTGAGTTGCAAATCCCTGTTCAAAACCTGTGCTTTGGCGGACGTGCGCGCATATGCTCAGCCCTCGTCTAGCTCCAACACTGAACCTGCCTATTCTAGCTATGGTCAAAGTAGCTTCAATGTGTTTGCGAACGGTTGGAGCTCTCACCAACTGTATGCACATGCCTTGACATTCAAAAGTCAGCCTGATAAATTTGTGCAAACAGTTATGTACCAATCTGCAAAGTGTGTGCGTTCAGCCCCAATCTGGCATGCTAAGAACCCATCTGGCCAAGCAGTGCTGATTGCAACTTGTGCTGGCCCGCGGCACCTTCATCATGGAAGGACTTGCCGGCCTATATATGATTGCTCCTCTTCTTCTGCTCACTCGCCCACACAATTCCTCACACACCTCTCACTCCTTCTGTTCCCAGGTTGGAAGCTCCTTTTGCTGGTGTTTTGCTGCGGCGCTTTCCTGGGCCTCCTGCTCCTGTCTGCACTGGGGGGCGACAGATTTGCAGTTCCGAGCTCGATCCAGAGCACCGGTGTCAAAACTGCGAGGCAAGGTGGACGGAACCTTCCGAGTCCGACTTTTGGGCCTGACGGAAGGCCCACCTGGTACGGCAGGATAAAGCCGAAGCAAATGGTGGCTACACCTAGGGAAGCAATCCAGTGGGCGGCAAAGGAGTCCCTCTGGGAAAAGGTGAGCTTCAAAGGAGGTTTGGGATTCTCTTAGAATAGGGAGACAGAAAGATGGTGGGAAAACAGGCTTGACAATCTTATTCTTTGCACGTTGCTTCCTATCAGTTGTGTGAATAGCATGTTTGAGATTGAGTTTGCTTACAAACTAGTTGGGCGCTGACGCATAGCTTCCTGGCACGCTCGTTTCAGATCTCTTCTCGTTCCCGATCCATTCAAGTCTGTCTTTTTTCGATTTGGTCGGCTGGTTCGTTTCTTGGACAAAAGTGGCGTTGTAAGACTGTTCGCTGTTCCTCGGGCCCAGGTTCCAGGGCATAGCATCTTTTTCTTGCAACAACTGTGATGCCTGAGCGAATCCATTTGCAGCAGCAAAGAAAGCACGTTTAAGAAGATTTGACCATCTACTTTTTCAGCTCAGACTTCCCCACCCGTCCTCTCTGCCAGGTCTCCAGCCGCGTTGCCATTGCCGTCCGAACAGAAGCCTCCACTGCCGCCCACCGCCTGCCGGTCCTCCAATCCACGTGGCTCCAGGAGAGCCGCATCCCCAACCTTCTCATCGTGTCCGACAAGCAGGGCCCGGGGGTTCCCCCCGGGGCGAAACTCGCCAGCAAACTCCTCAAGAAAGTGGGCGGGAAAGCTGCCCAAGAGGAAGGAGCGCAGTCAACGTTCTTGCCCGCGCTCAGGCTGCTTCACGAGACGTTCCCGACGGCGGAGACGTACCTCGTAGTCGACGACGATGCGTATCTGATGTTAGAAAACGTGGCGAAAGTGTTGTTGTCGAAGCTGCCCACCGCGACGGCGAACAGTATGTGCTTGGGCAGGGGGTACCTGGTCACCGGTTGCGGGGGGATGCACGATTCAGGCGTGACAGCTGGCAAGACGAACGCGATGTTCCCCCAGGGCGACGCAGGCTTCGTTTTGTCTAAGAAATCGCTCGAATTGGTCGCCCCGTTTCTCGACGGGTGCATGGTAGACTTTACCGACTGCTGGGCGGGGGACATGCGAGTCGGGCTGTGCCTTAACCGGGCAGGCGTGCCGTTCGACTACCAGAAAGACAACAGCATGGGGTGGTTCTTCCCGGGCACGTTGTCCCAGTTAGTAAGCGACCCGGCGTATCACCAGTACCGGGCCAGTACGGACCGCCCGGTGACGATCCCCAACGTGCAGCCGTTGGACATGGCCAAGCTGTGGCGGTTCGAGCAGGAATACGATTTTGGCACCGACGCTAGTTATCGGAACCTGGCACAGTATTGGAAGTCCGGCAAGAAAGTGGATTGGAGCTCGGTGAATGCGTCGAGCGATTGGGAGGGGCGGCGATGGATACGGGACGCGGCTGACCTAGAAGAGTGTGGGCGGATGTGCTATATTCGGTCGGCCAAGAAACGATGCGTGGCGTGAAGGCCGAGCTTGCTTCACATAATACATATTGCTGAGTCGGAGGCGGAACTGACGTTTCTCAGCCGAGGTGGTAAAGTCGCCTCCACATTTGTGTGGTCAAAAGATTTTAGATTTAGTTGATTTAACGTCGGTTCGGAGCCGTGGTCGGCTAAGTCGACGAATGTCTCTATTTACTAACTCTGCACTAAACTCGCTCTTAATGCAAAGCTTAAGTGCAAATACTTTCCTATCACGTAAGTATCTTGTAGACTAAGGAACGTTCTCAAGTTTATCTCTCCTCTATCCTGAAAGATATATGGGAAGTCTATCCTGAGGTCAGTATACACTGGGCAAGTGAACACGAAGTGATGTTCGTCCTCTATTTCACCCGTTGCACACAAGGCACAATACCTTTCGGCTCTAGGTACCCCCTGCCAGGCTCCGGTCTCAATAGCCAAATTATGAGCTCCGACTCTGAACTTGGCTAGCGCATGAAGAAACGGCGCATGCTCTATCTGGTCTAAGTAGGGCTCATACGAGTAGCCTTGCTTCACCTCCTCAAAATACGTGCAGTACTTACGACCGTGCTCTTCTCTCAAATCTTGCATGTATGCAAATTCTGATAGACTCCGGAGAGACTTCACATCAAAGCCCTGCACAATTTTGTCGTCAAAAACTAACTCTCTGGCCTTTGCCACGACTTCTGCAAACCACCCTCCCTCACCATCCGCCCACATGCGCCTGGATTCCTCTAAGGCCAACCGAGCTAGTCGATCCTGCGGAAGGTTCGCGGTTCGATTAACAAATCTAAAGATCTGCTCCCATCTAGGCAGAACCAGAGGGAACCGGCCGAACTCGCCTAGAACCGCCTTGGACAGAGTCGACTTCTTGACCCGCAAGAGCCCCCGCAAAAACGCCCGGTGGACTTTCTCCACACAATCCCCGTCCCCGTTCCACCCCCACCTTGGACCGTACCCCGGGCCCCATACTTCCGCCCCGTACTGCAGAATCGGCCCTACGAGCACGTCAAACAAACCGACCCGCGTCCTTATCCTTCGCGCCCCCAACTCCGCACACCTTTGCTCCAGAGCGAAAGCTGCTTTCCGCCCGGCCGCCGCCAGAACCTGGACCCCCTCCCGAAAATTGCCGTTGCAATGAAATTGCACCCCCAAATAGCGATAGCTCTGCGCAATTGCAACCCGCTCTCCCGCATACTGAAACTCGTTCCTCACTTTCTGCACAGCGAACTGACCCCCAAAGACCACAACTTCCGTCTTTTGAAGGTTTACCGGGAGCCCACTCTCTTTACTGAACTCTTCCAGAAGCCCCAACTTTTTCTGCAGCCCCGCCGCACTCGTCGACAGCAGAACAACGTCATCCGCAAAAGCCAAAAACGGAACTTCGACCCCGCTAAGCTCCGGATTGTCTGCTGTCCCGCCTATCACATCCTCTAAACCGTCAATGTATAGACCGAACAGAAGGGGACTCAACGGGCACCCCTGTTTTACCCCACGGCTGCTTTCGAAACTTTCTTCCGAAACCCATCCGGCCCCTCTCACCCGGCAGCGCACGTTAGAATACATGCTCCGCACCGACTGAAGCATCCGGTCCCCGACTCCCAGCTCCTCCAAACGCGTCCACAACTTCTCTCGCGGCACCATGTCAAACGCCTTTCTGAAATCTACAAAGCAGGCAAAAAGGTGCCGGTTCCTACCTCGTCCCCACCGACCCGTCAGAACCCGCAGCGCCAGCATATGGTCCGCCCCCCTAAACCCCTTCCGGAATCCTGCCTGCCCCCGCGCCCGGACCTGCTCCTCAAAAGAGTAGAACGGAGATGCAAGCTAGCTGGCAACATTAAGTTTCAGATTGCTATTTCGATCAGGATTAGGTAGGCAGAATTCTCGCCAGTCTGGAAGGACACGAGAATCTCTATAACGTTGTTGTGTTCGTGAGAGCTGGGCAGAGCCGCATGCGAGTGGTTTGTCACTCAAAACGTTACCCAGGCCAGGCGATAGAAAGAATGAACGTGACAGACCAAACGTGTCTGCGAGGTCCCTTGCGTGCACAATATAGTCCGACCAAACTAATTCAAAGCAGAGTTTTGTACATAATGGAAGCGATAAAGCACTGCGATTGCAGTTGCTGTATTGAACCTTTTAAATGACAACCATCTTTGAAAACGTGCACACTTTCTTTTCGGACGTTGCATATCGCAAACTGCTAGAACGATTTTCCAGATGCACTTGGAGGCGGTGCACGATTGGCCGGCTTTAATGCACTTCCCAATCTGAATTATACTGAGCAGTACTATAACCCGTGAGATTGAGATCACATGAGCCGCAACTGGCCGGCCCTGCCCTCAACATATGCCGTCTGCACATTACACGCCCATAACATCTGCGCTACTACCTCCCTTTCTCAGGATGTTCTCTGCTCTGTTTCGGAAAAGATCTTTCACATATCATGGTACAAATCATTTTGTCATGCCAAGGCCAACTTGAAAAACACAAGAGTTTTGAAATCTTGCGTCGCATGCCACACGATGGTATTGCATGAAACAAACGTGCAAGAAAAGTACGAAGGAATTCGGCACTTGGTCCCAACGCATGCTAAGGTCAAGTACCTCTTTACGACTGAACCTGGACAAGGATGTACCTACGTTCGCAAGCACCATATGAAAAGTAGATGCTTACAATGCTCACGAGCTCCTTGGGGTCCGACACCCATTCGAAGATTTAGTACCAAGTCCAGTTGGAACAAGGAGGAGCAACATAAGATGTTTTCCGGCTGCACTGATGCCAATCAGATGCGAAATACTGACAGCTACAATAGTCTTGGTGGGGCCGAGGTTACTTGGAGTGACTGACGAGACCTCTGTCAAAGCTTACAAGGCCGGCCGGCAATCAACCAGCATGCTGGAAGAGAACGTATTCTTGATAGTTGCCAGCTTCCGAGCTATTTGTAGATCGAAAGCTTCCATCCGTCGGACTCTTGTCTGTTCGCTCCTCAAAAGTCGAGATGCTGACGTGAATCTACAGGATGTTCTCTACTTCCCTTCAATCGATCTCATATGAAGAACTTCCTCTATACAGCAGTGCCTGAGACGACAACCTTTGCCGCATTATCCAGTGTCTCATTCGCTTTTTGCGGAAATAGGGAGCAAAGCGGACCACCAGACTTCGAGCGGATGACCACATTGGGAAGCTTTCTGATAGTGGATTGTCTTTTCGGCATGTCGCTGCCACCTGCCTGCTAATCGGCCCAAAATCAGTGGCTCTCCTCCTACTACATGGAGGCGATGAAGGGAGTACAAGTCGAACGCACCGAGTAGCGGCTGCTTCCATACGAACCCCTCTACCAACGAGAAAGGCTTGGATGTGAAGTGCCGAATTGAATCCGCAAACCTTTGCAGGTCCGGTGCAGCTCGAAATCTTTTGACTCTGATTCTTGCACGCGCTTCCGAGGTAGCACCTTTGTACAACGGATGTGCCAGGACGCTGAAATCGTCGAAACCGCCGGCCGATTTTGAGATTGCCAAAGAGAAGGCCCTGACATGTTCCGGTTTTCCGTCTGCATCCATGAAAGATATGGTCTGCCAGGGCCTGTCTAGTTCTTCAGCTCTTAAGGAGCGTACGAAATATGTCCCATTCAACAGGAGGTAGAGCTGTTCGCTTCTTGCAGTACCGCAAAGGAAGAGCTCGGTCAGACCACTAGAGAACAAAGAGAATCCTTCAAGTTGGCATCCAAGCGCAAAGGGACGCGGTAATGGGAAGGGACTCCATGTATCCTTCAAAGTGTCGTAGAGGCTCCCTTGCAGACACTTGGTAGTTGAAAAGTGCTCTTTGTTCGCTAGTGCGAAGCTTAGCACAAAGATGAACTGCTTAGAGGCCACCACAGTGAAGCTAGTCTGCGCTGGCAGCTCGATGCGTTTGCGTGCGCGATGAAAGCACTCCAATGCGGGTGAAAATGGTGTCCTTTCTTCATCGTATAGCAGACTTGCTCTCTCCTGCCAGCCGTTCCCTGACTTCAAGTCAAAGGACCGAAGGCGCATCGTCGGTACCTTCTTCAAAGAACCTTCTGGGCATTGAGGCTCGCTCAGAACGTATAGAGTATGACCAACAACCACAGTGCTTTCTGGAATATCAATCCAGACTTCGTCAGAATGCGCACCCCCCACGCCTGTCCAGCCCTTTCCAAAAGCTCCTGATTTGAAGGGATGAACATGAAGAGTCTCTCCGTCTTCACTTAGTATTCCAAGCCCTGGATAGGTCGTCCTCTCACTGCTCCGGGTCACCCGACAAACAAACTTTGGCAGACCTGCCTTGTGAAAAGCCCCTGCGCTTCCCAGGTCTCCATCCTCCACTGCCTGCTTCCATGCTTTGGAAACTCGTCTCAGCCAGCCAAGCTGCTCAAGGTCCAGGTCTAGAGCAGAAACGAAGCGGCAAATGAGAAGGTTGACGTCCTCCGGCAGCTGCTCAAAGAGCGCCATAGCTGCCTATAGGTGCCTGTAGGCTTGCTTGACCTACTTGTATGTCAGGAAACGATATCTGATGTCTGATTCTAAGCCGTCCCTGCCCAAGCAGTGAGTGACCGCGGCCGCGGGCGCCTAGGTCAGCGCCGCGCGCGGTACGGCAGGGCCGCGCCGCGGCCGCGCCGTGAGTCGACCGCGCACGGTCCGACCGTCCGGAATTCCAAAATCTCTCGGGGGACCCCTGGTTGCGCGACCGGTGACGCCGACGTGACGTGCTGAGTCTAACTTGAAGCTAGCTTCCAACGGCTGACTCGAGTGTGCGTTGTTGTGCTAAGCTGCTATTGAAAGCGGTCGCAAGCCGATGTAATGCAAAGGAGCTTGCTTAGGCTGCAATGCATGTGAAGCATTGCCCGGCATTGCACAGGCTCACCGGCTATCTCAAAAAACCTCCCGACCTTCTTTGAGGAAGCACATTTCCCCTCAGCAAACATCAAGGGCAGCCAGCAGGTCTTGCCAGCATTCTCTCCAAAGAATCAGCGCGACGTCCAGCAAGAAACCCTCGCTTTCGCGCTAAGAAGCCACCTCTCGCGAACATGGTGATCAAGGGCAGCCTCCCCATTGCCTCCTCCTCCGCCCCCTCCACTCTCGCGGGTCCCAAAGGTTTGGCAGCGTGGCAGCAGCGGCAGAAGCAGGCTGGGAACTCCTCCACTTCCACTGAGGGGGGGTCTGACACCAACCCCTTCCTGAGCATGCTCTCCGGGGGGGCCCTCCAGGCAGGCTTCCAGCACATCCCGCGCCCCCCCATGGGGTACACGGAGAACAGCTCCTGGACGTTCACCCAATCCGGCAGCGCGTGCCTGGACTTCTTCTTCCAGGTCGTCGCGGACACCCCCCCTGAAAGGGTGCGCCAGCTGCTGGGGGCGGCGTGGAAGGAGGACCCCCTGCTGGCGCTGAAGCTGCTGTTCCATCTCAGGGGGGTGCGCGGGACGGGCAAGTCCGAGAAGGGGGGCTTCTACACGGGGGGGCTGTGGCTGGCGGAGCAGCACCCGGGGACGCTGCTGGGCAACCTGAGGCAGGTCGGCGTGTTCGGGTACGACAAGGACCTGCTGGAAATCGTGCTCAGGTGCGCCGCGGATCTCAGTGCTTTCAATTCCATGTTGCTTTCGAGTTTAGATCTGACATGCAGTCCATGTAAAGCTTGTGATCTTGTTTGACAAACCTTTGATACTTTGCGTTTGTTCAAGGAAAAGACTGAAAGAGGAGGGTGCCTGATGACTCTTGTGGGACTGGATTCTGAGAAAGCACCTAGATTCAGAAGAAGAATGAGTTTTTTTGTTTAGAGCGGCTTGGAAGAGGCTACTGACTGGCTGGTTCCCGGTGTTCGCTGGAGCGTTTTGCCAGCGTTTGCATGTTTCCTGATATCTTTTGCCAGAAAATGAATGACGAAGTTCGGGCGTGGCGATTCGTGAACCAAGTTTGTAAATCGTATCTGGTTCTGAGTGGTATTCATTGGTGATGGTCTATGTCTTCATTTTGGAATCTCGCAGATTGATTGAAGGCTAGTTGCGTTTGTGTCTCCTTGTTACATCAGTGCTTTTGTTCAAAGACTCTGGTCCTCGACCTGTACTTCAAAGCACTCTAGTTCATAGCTTCCCTCTGCACTCTACACTTGAAACTCAATACTTCAAGAGTCTAATTCCACCAAAATCTTTGACAGCCTTCCAGCTCTGTCAGATCTCGGTGAGTCTAACCCTCATCTTCTCTTCTCTCGCAGAGTCCTGGAGGGTCCGGAGGGGACTGCCCAGCGCGCACAGCAGAAGGCAACCCACGACGTGGCGGTCAAGGCCGGCAAGGCGCGGGCGGCCCGCAAGGAGAGCGTGAAGCAGGCGGGGGTGTTCGCTGTGCAGAGGGGGGCCGGGAGCCGGGGCAGGGGGGCCGGCAGACGCTTTGGGGGGGTCGTTTGGCTGGCGCTGAGGGGGGCGGAAGCACAAGAAGGGCGAGGCTGCCCGGGTGGCGAAGCGGGAGGGGACGCTGAAGCCGCGAGAGGAGCGCATCGCGCTGCAGCTGGAGAAGAACAAGGAGGCGGGCGAGCGCGCGCGCGTGGAGCGCAAGGAGCGCGAGTACGAGCTCGCGGCGCGCTCGGTGCGCGTCTACGCCCACAACGGGAGCTACCGCGCGCTGCACGACACGGTGGCGGACGTGTTCGCGGAGCAGCTGGCGCGCGACGTGGACAGCCTGCGCGCGGGGCGGCCGTATGACGTCAGCCTGGCGGCCAAGTGGGCGCCCAGCCCGGACAAGAGCTACGACCGCGCGACGCTGCTGTGCGAGGCGATCGCGCGGCGGATGTTCCCCCGGGGGGCGGCCGAGGCGGGGCTGTCGGAGGCGGAGGACGCGGCGCGCGCGCGTGACCAGCTGCGGCGCTCGGTGCTGACGCCGCTCCGCGCGGCGCTGGCGGTGCCGGAGGTTTTCTTCGCGGCGCAACGGTGGCACGAGGTGCAGTACAAGCGCGTGCCGAGCGTGTGCATGCGCATGAACAAGGACGTGTTCGTGAAGCACGACAAGGAGCGCTTCGAGGCGTTCCTCGCGGACGTGGCGGCCGGGAAGACCAAGATCGCGGCGGGGGCGGTGCTGCCGCACGAGGTGCTGCAGGAGGCGGTGACCGGTTCCGGCGCCGGGGCGGAGGTGGCGGAACGGCAGTGGGAGCGGATCGTGGCGGATCTGAAGCAGAAGGGCAGCCTGGCCAACTGCATGGCTATCTGTGACGTCAGCGGGTCGATGTACGGAACGCCGATCCAGGTCGCGATCGCGCTCGGGATGCTGGTGGCAGAACTGGCGGAGGCGCCGTGGGGGGGCAAGCTGATCACGTTCAGCGCAAACCCGCAGATGCACGAGGTGCGGGGGGGTAACCTGCGGGAGAAATACCGCTTCGTGTCGCAAATGCAGTGGAACATGACCACCGACTTCCAGAAGGTTTTCGACAACATGCTGGCGCTCGCGCAGGCGACCAACCTCCCGCCGGACGCCATGGTGCGTCGCCTCTTCGTGTTCAGCGACATGGAGTTTGACGCCGCGAGCGCGCGGCCGTACCAAACGGACTACGCGGAGATTGAGCGGAAGTTCCGGGAGGCGGGCTACGGAACGCCGCCGGAAATCGTGTTCTGGAACATGCGGGACACTTCGAGCACGCCCGTGATCGCGACGCAGCGCGGGGTGGCCATGGTGTCCGGGTTCTCGAAGAACATCCTGAAGCTGTTCCTGGACAACGACGGGGACATCGACCCGATGGTCATCGTGCGCAAGGCGGTGGCGGGGCCCGAGTACGAGAAGCTGACACTGGTGGACTGAGGGGGCAAAATGAAAGAAATCAAAGGACAAGTCTTGAAAAGAAAAGGAGTTGAGTTTTGAGTTTGCAGAGTGTACACTGAGGTTTAGAAGACTGCAGCCATTTTTATTGTAATTGACGGGAAAGTGGCCGTGCCAACTTTGAATCTAGGAAAATAGACCGACTGTATCATCGAAGTAAAGTTGTCTGAGAGGTCCTCGAGCCGGCTGGTGTGTACGTCGACAAGAAGTGTTTGAAACTGTCAGCAGATAGGTACAGTTGAAAGGAAGAGGGCAAAGCCCTGGACGATCCTGTGAAAGTGAAAGCCAGAGACCGATACTTGCAGCATATATTCGGAAAATCTGTAAATCTGAGTCTTGAATCGTTTAAAGAGCTGCAATAGCCAGGTCGCATCTGTCATTAAGTTCATCAACCGCTGGCAAAAGCTTGCATCCCAAAGTCCTGGCACTTTCCCCGGCTTTTCCAAACGTCTTGTTACACCTATTGCGCTAGCTGTCGGCACTTCGCCCTGAATTCGGCACACGTCCATCGTCAGGAACTTTTAAAACTTAACACGATGACATGCATGACGTCTATATGCAACTTTTACCGGACAATCGCGCAGCATTACGCATGTGGAGTACGTCTTTGCCAGACACGTCAGCTCTACATACTCAATCGACCGTGAAGTTCACCACAAGACGCATGCAAGAATTGTATGATGGCCGCGGGCGAACGCGTACCGGTGGCCTGTCTTGTTTTGCGGACAGCCATTCTCTTGATCACACATGGTCCATTGTGTTGCTGTACCTTTTGGCATCAGCCTGCTGCCCTGCATCCATGACGGGCCCGCAGATTCGGATAGCGTTCAGGTTTACACATAGATCGTTGTACGCGCAACCGTTGAACGTGACTCCTGGCAATCGGGGCGAGCATACATGTCGGTACCGCATGTGCAAGTGGCCTAGGCCATCACAGGGGTAATTATGCGCTGCCGGCGCGCAGTCGATGTATATCAACATCGTCGGACTAGGTACTAACTCAAAGCTAGCCAGCTCATTCAAAGTAAGGTTTGACGCCGGCGAGGATCGCGATCTGTTGTTACGTGCATGACTGATCAAATTCTACGCCTAGCATAGCTCTGCATCATGTTACACTGACTTCAATGCACATGTCACCGGGTGCAAGCTGGAGCGATTCACATGATCAAAAGTCGCTCTGATCATGCGCGTACAGAAAGCGAGGACATTAGATACATTTCGAGGCTCGCTCTTCGATCGTACATTTTAGGCGGCAGTAGGCTCGCGTTTGAAGTACTGTTCAGAACTTCTGAGCGACATGAGTACTTCTTTCTCACTTTGAAAGACTGTCTGTAATTAAGACACCTACGTTCTGCCTTCGGTGCTCTGATTATAAGTGGCAGCACAGAGTCTTGTATCGCTCGACGTATCATCAGCGATATCTCACAAGCTTGCATCTAATCAGTTGATCATTTCGTCAAAGTATTCCCGTGCGTCATAGAAAACCAGACAGCTTTCTGGGCTTCTGCCGAATGGCTTGACTCTAACCAAGGCACTCAGGCTTGATCTCGATCGAGCAAGGAAGTTAACTATCATTTCTTCCATTCCAATGATGCACTGCCACGTGGCATTCTCCGCCTCAACGAGGCAGGCCACGACGTGGTTGTACGTGCTCAGGCGGTGCTTGTTGATCTCGAGAATGAACGCCAGGAATCCAAACACAATCCTGCGCAGAGCTCCAAACACCTGCAGAAAGCGGCAGAGAGCAGTCAATGCGCAGGTGTTTGTTACAGAAGCCAAACAATGGCCAGCGGGAGGAACCAAGAAGTTGGGAAACCTGAGAAGAGCATCAGCTTCATGATACGCCCCCCATCTACCGCCAAACAGTCTCCGTGCCGTCAGGAATGCGAAAAGTTGGCGAATCGCTTGGAAGAGCAGGCGGCGAGTCTCACATTGACCACTAAACCCTGAAATTTTCGGTTCTCGTACCAAACACTGCCACCAACGTCTGTTCAGCGTGGCAACACATCACGTGGCTCAGTAAAGCGGCGTGAACGAGTCTGGCCTGTGTTCGCCGCTTTGACTCAGGGACTATGCTTCTAAAATGAAAACGAAACATTTGGGCCTGTTCGAGATGAGACTGGATTACTCAAGTTGGTAATGACCAGTGCCAATCACTGATACCCTTTTTGAAATGGCAGGCGGCACGATAGACCCGCATGATTTGTCATGCTCTCCGCCGAATCTACAGATCAAACACAACAAACCTTCTCCAAGCAAAGTAAGAACGAAGGCTCACCTTCCACAGCAGGTCGTTCCACACCGTATAGAGGCTCATCCAGAGCCCACGGAACACCCCGTCGTTCCCGGCCTTTGACGCAGCTTTCGCGGCCGACACGGCCTGCCGGGCGGGGACCCGTTTCACGATGCTCGCCGCTCCGGCAACGCTCGCGTAGGTCGCCTGGAAGGACTCGGTGACGGCCGAGAAGAGGGGGGCGAGCCCGGAGAAGAGGCTGGCGAGGAGGGTGAGGGGCAGGAGGAGGGCGGAGGAGACGGCGGTCCAGAGGGGGTACACCAGCTCGAGACCTGGAGGGTACGAAACGGTGGGTGTGGAGGCAGGAGTGACAGCCAAAATCAACAACCGAAACAGGAGTTGAAGGGTCACCAGAGGCGAAAATGAGTGTGCCCGGTGTTGGGCATATTTCTGAATCGATCACGGAGCCTACCAACGTTGCTTCTGTTGAGTATTCAGACGGCGAGTTGAGCTGCACTCAAGTGTGGGACATCTTCAGAAGAATCTTCTGAGCTCATGCGGGGTTCAAAATACCGAAGCAAAAGGTAGCAAATATCGCAACAGGCAGAAATTTGCATCTTGGAATTGCACATTGGCGCGGAGCTGTTGCGACCCGACTTCGCAAACAATCTGCGTCGGTTCGGCCAGCTTAAGTAACAAGTCCGACAGGAATTGTGCGTCTGCACAAAGGGGAGGCCATCGCTTTAATTTCTCACCTGCCATTCCCACCATCTGCACAAAGCCCACCACGGGGCTGACCACATACGTCACGACGAACCAAACCGCCCCCAGCAACGCGGACCCCACCCCCCCGAACAGCGCCCCCACTTCCCAGGTGAACCCCCAGATAGCTGCCCCCACCGGCCGGAAAAGTTCCGCTGCCAAGCTCAGCGGAACGGCCACCGGGCGGAACGCAACGGAACCGAGGTAGTGCAGGCTGCGGGCGACGCCCTGGGCGGCGCGGAACGCCTTTTGGAAGTTTTGGAGGAAGAGCATGGTGCCCAGGTAGCCCAGGCGAGCGCCCATCTGCCACGTGTCCACCCACTCGTACAGCGGGCCCAGCAAGCGGTGCAGGGAGTCCTGGACGAACGGCAGGTTCTGCACCGGGGGTAGAAAAGGGGGATATGTAATGGGTTTCCCTATATGAGAATGGTGTACAGAATTAAGACTTGAGAACATGCGAAGGATTCCAAAAAGTTTTTCGCCGTTGGAGCTTGAGAAAGGGAGTCCACGTAAGGGGTGTGTTTCCGAAGGTGCGAAGGTGAACGCAAGCTTCAGATAGAAAACAAAATTACCTATGTCGGCGAAGGGTGAGTGTCGATTATACTCCAAGAAATTTCGACTTCGTAGATCCAAGTTCTGTAGCAGCATGGCCTTCAAGCAGAATAAATGAGCACCTCAAGACCACCTCCATTCGCCAGCCGTTCGATCAAGAGACACTTTTTTCCAGAACAAACCAATTCAGGTCTCAACATTTATATATCCGCGACCACCAACTGTCTCACAAAATTGCTTGAATGCTCCTAAAGAACTGCAGTTTGATGCAACCTCTTATAACCTTGAGTCTATCTTCGATGGCCCGTCGACGCCCCTCACCTTGTACAGGTCGTAGAAGCCAATGAGCACCGTGACTGCTGACACGATAAAGTACAAATACCCCGCTACCCTCCGCATCCAGGGCCGGTACACATGGCACAGCGCCGGGTAACTCTGCACCAGAATCGCCCACGTGGGCAGCCCCGATTCGAGCATCTTGAGCAGCCGCTGATCTGTCGTGATCGCTTCCCTCAGCGCGTCTGGGAGGAGCGGATCCCGGAACCGGAACACTACCAGCCGGTCTGTGTAAACCTCACCCACCGGGGCAGGTTTAGGGGAGGTTTCGGTCGGGGAGGCTGGTTCCGATAGGGATGGTGAATCTTTTTGGCGGAATCGGGCTGTTACACGCAATCGGGGCAGCGTCGGTGTCAAACCGTTTGCGGTCTGCCAGTGCTGGGCTTCGCTGACGCCGGCCGTAACTAGCGAGGGGCTGGAGTGCCGCCGGACGTCCGAACGTAGAGCCGGGAGGCTGGCTCGACGAGAACCGTCCGAATGCTTTGGGAAGGTGGCGATGCGTGCAGCTTGTTCGGCCACCCGGTCGAGAACGGCTTTCACGACCGGATCGTCGAGCGACCGGCTCCGCTGGCGCCGGAAGCGCAGCTTGCTGTGGGAGGGCTGGAGGCTGGACAGGAACGCCCTTCCCCGGGTGACACCATCGGGAGCCAGTAGGGAGGAACTCGACGCCTTGGAGGGCCTATGGAAGTTTGCCGCCCCTGTTTCTGACGCACTTGGGGAGGGACCCTTTGTGACTGTCTGACGGCTGACTTTGACTGCCAAGGCTGCTGAGGAGTCCGCCGACAGAGGCTTGTGATTGGAGCCCGTTTCAAACGCTATCACACTGACTTCCGCTGAAGTTACTGTCCCAACTCTTGAGGGCTTCTCAACGAGCCCGTTCTCAGCGACACCGGCCCTCACCATTTTGGTTTCCTCAGGATCAGAGCCCTCTTCGAACCCGACAGCACCAAACTCAAGCTTCCGACTGGCTCTACAGCTTGCAGACAAAGTTTCGAAACCGGGCCTGGCAAGCGAGGGGCTTGCCGCAGCAGAATGATAAGCGGGGCTGGTTACTGTACACTCTGGCACCTGGAGGGGGCCCCTTAATGTGAATGGGGGTTCAGCCGAAGCAAAGCCCTCTCGCCTCTCTGGCGTTTCTGCTGTCTCCACCCAGACTTTTTCGAGGAAGCCACCTGGACCGAGGGACAGCTCGGTTGACAGCGGCTGTGCCGCTGGCGGGCTATCTGTACTGGAACTGCCTACAGGAGGATCTTGGTCAGCTGCGTCAGGTTCTGCACCCTCCCCATACTGACCATTCGAATCTCCCACCTCGTTTCCTACTTCCGCGCTTAACCTTCCCCAACTGCTGCTCCTTCGCACAGCGGTCGACGACACCTCGATCTGTTCCCCTTCCAAGGCATCACCCCCCCAGGGTTGGCCTGGCCCTTCGATTTTCGTGCCCTCCGGCGCCTCACGGCTTCCTAAAGACACTGCTCCCAGTTGCGCTCCCAGTTGGAGATCACCTCCCCTGTACCAAGCAACTGCTTCGCACAGATCCCGAAACTCGCGCTTCACGACCTGGGTTGCTTCGAGCGCCAGGCAGCCCCCCGTTTGCAGCTCATTGAGGTAGTTAAGCCCAACCACGTCCGCTAACCGCACCTCGAACCCGAGGCAGCCGTAAAGCCCGTGGACCTTCCACCGCTCCTTGACAGCAGGAACCACCCCCCCGAGCCAATAAAACGGCCCCCTCTTAACAGGGGGAAAGAACCGGTTGGCGGCTGAGAGAAGGGGGCGAAAGAAGCCGTTTGCTTGGCCAGCGAGGGGGCTGTTGCCCTGGCTTTCAGACCCCCCCAGATTGTCGCTGGAAGCTCGAGAGCGGCGCACCTTTTTCAGCTCCTGGTGGTTCACAAAGGGGGAGCGCCGGGACTGCATAGGAAGAGTAAGAGGCAATATGAGCTTAGAGATCGCAATCAAACACCTTCAGCTTGGTTTGCATCAGATGCCCATTCGAGTTCCTTGAGAACAACCAAGAGATCGCAACATCCGCAATCACTATGCCGATTTCGATGCTGCCCCTCTTCTACACAGTTCACACGGGCAGGGTACTCTTGCAGAAGAACAAAAGTATTTAGTTTTAGTATAGACAAGAAGATGTGCGAGCCGTAGTCCCATGTCTTACCTGGCTTACAAACCTCTGCCAGACCTCGAATGACTTCTTCCATCTTCTAGTGGGAGGGCCATAGTCCACCAGAAGCACCAAGCGCTTCTGGTCGTGGTCGACAATTATCCGTAGGCTATGGTGCACATAGGACACCATATCCCTGCAGCCAAGACCAAGTAACCTCAAAGTTGAGTTCCATATCAGGTGAGTCTGGTTGACTGCTCCAGCCAGTTATGCGGCCTCATGAACAAAAAGATCCTGGAAGATAGCCAGATGCAATGCTGTCCCACAATTCAAGTCTAGCTTGGCAGAGCTACTGCACTTGTTTGAGCTGAAAGCAAAAATCTTCCCGACGCAATGTGTAGCTACCACCTTGAGCTGGAGATGCTCATAACTGGCAACTCCACAAGTCCCCGTTTCGCAATCCTGCCTGACCGGAAGGCAGCTCAGAGATCATTATGCCACGTATGCAAACAGCTTGCCATTAGCAGGACCAGCTTACCGGTTGACTCAGTTCCACGATTCTAGCGATTACTGACATGAAGCAGGAAGAACCATCCGAGATTCACCTGATTTGTAGTGAGGTCAGATTGTAGGCGCCCTCCGGACGCTCGTCATCCTTCTTAGCGCTCATGATACACATCAGATGCGAAGCTCAGAAAAGAGGTTTCTGTCAGTTTCTCCCTCCCCATGCAGACCCTTGCCCTGGCAGGTGGTGTTGCGAGCGGCCAGCAATGAAAGCCTTCATCGGCCCCATGCAGAAGAACACAGCAGGCCAGGAAGATCAAAAGAAGCACGTGATATAGCTCTCTGGGCAGGGTGCTCAGAACCAACTTGTAGCCGCCCGATGTTTTTTTAGAGTCATCAACGGTTAGATGAACAACAGCTTTGTAACCATCAGATTACGAGATCTGGCTATCAATGGTTGTGATACAAGAGCTTTCGAGAACACAGTGTTTTGCGCATGGGTTCGTAGCCCAGGGCCAGCTCGTTGTGTCCGACCTCCATCTTGTCACTGGGCTTCGCGTCATGGTGGTGGCCCTGATTCGTCAAAAGGAGGATTGATTCAGGCATCTCTGCAGCATTGATTGGCTCTTCACCTTGATGCTAGCGGTGCAGAAGGATGCTGTTTTCCACAGCACTAGAGAGCCTTGAGTACAAGAGATTTTGTAGCCTGGAGTGCTGCAGCTAACGTTCTGGGGACACCCGAGCCTGTACTCATTCACGATTTTTGAGGTTATTGCCTGGAGGAGTAGCTAGGAGGAGCCCAGGTAAGCACGAGCTCGTATCATATCAGAAGCGATGTGTTTGCTGCCACTCTTTCAATTGCTCAAGCTGTGATTGTTTTCAAAGTTGTGAGCATTTGAGGAAGACGCTGGTGGTTGTAAGTAATTCTGGCGGTGCAGCATAGATGCTTGCAAGCTCTGCAGATGTACTTGGAGAACATGGCATCTATGCTCTCAAAACCTCTGATAGATGACACCTTTTAACAGAAGTCAAAAGATGACTGTTGCGGGTCTCTCATATTGTGCTTGCTCCTCGTATCAAGAATGAGACTCTCTGTATCTCAGCATGTTTTGTGTTTGAAAGGACACTTTCAACCAGCACCGCTACTACTGTACCATACTTTTCAGACGTGGTGGTCGTCGTCCTTGATGATATCTGAGTTTGAGTAGGTCAATTGCCCTTGGTGAAGGCCGTCAGATCTCAGGGCTATCTTTCATTTTGGGAACTAATGGGCCGTGTGTTGAAAGGTTTCAAAAGTGTTGCTGTGGGTATGGATGCAAGCAGCCCAATCAAGGTGACCCAAGGATCTGGTCTGAATAGAGCCGTAAAACTACCTTCATTAGCACAGCACGTACAGGAAACTTAGACGTATCTGTGGAGCGTCTGCTCTGGCGCTCTTCAGGTTGGCAGCTGCCACGAGGCTCACCGTCCTCCGCTTCAATCTACCATACGCATGACCCACCAATCATGACCAAGTAAAGCATGAGGATTTTCAATACTTGTGAGACAGCATTGTCCTTTTGCTGCAGGCAGTTCTTCAATTGACGAGCATCAAAAGGACAGTGAGATTCAAAGAAACCACACAGAAAGGGCGGATACAAGTGGTGAGAAGAGTGTTTCAAAGGGTTTGAAGTAAGAAGAGAGGAGGCTCGCATCGAAGGAAAGGGCAAGATGCACATCTACAACGAATGGCTGCCTCCGGCAATCGCCGACCAAGCGGCCGAGGCAGAACCCCGCCGCTTCCACTCTCTGGTCCTGGCGCTCCTGGAGGTTCAGAATCAGGGGGACGTCAAGAGCACTTTAAAGTTTGTGTCGCCCATCGTCAGTTTCATCAACTCCCTGACGGAGCTTGAGGCGGAGGATGTAAATGCAGTCGCTAAGGTGGCCCTGCAGCTACTGACGAGCTGCCCGGACAATCTGTTCGCGCAGGTGAGCAGGCTTTTTGTGTGGCGCCCAGGCAGTCTGATTGTTCACACAGGTTTTGACATCCAGTGCATGCTGTTGCTTCGCAAAGGCTTGTCACTTGTATGGGCTTCCAGCGGTACGGAGGGCTATTAATAGGAAAGGTGCAAATTATAAGATAGGAGCGCATGGGCGGATTGCCTAAATGGTTTCTTCCGGCAGCTTCTACTTGGTCATTGCAGTGTTGCACAAGTTCCAAAAAGAATTACGTAGAGGGAAGAATGCCGTTGGTCGATTCTGTGGTAGCTCCACAAATTCTTTATCCGATTTTATGTCACAGATCCGGTGGGGCAGCGTCCTGTCCAAGATACTCCGTGAGAAGCATCTGCGCAAGCAGCTGCAGCTTACCATCCCCTGGCGGCCGCTGTACGAGCTGCTCACAGACGTGCACCTCAGGAGGTCAGTGGGGCTCTCCTCTCAGACATCTCTATCATCTCTGCAAACACTGACAATCTTTTGCATACGAGTCTCCTCATTACGGTTGACAAGATAGGGTCACATCTTCTAAAGGGATTTCGACCAGCTCGATGTAAACTTGCGAAGATACTACGGCATCGAGTGGCTTACAGGATCAGATGGAAACATAGTATTTCCAAGAGTTCGTACCTTGAGGCTCGAACACGTTACCAAGCGCGGTATTCCCTTCTGCGCACAGAGTGAATTTTCCATGAACAGATTGCTAGTTGAATGGCAAGTCGGCATTGAATTTCTTGGTAAGAGTCTTCGGTTATAAGATCCTCGAACTGAGAAACTCTGTACCGTACCGTATCAAGCGATCTGAGAATATTCTTCAAGCGCGCCTTCTCGTCTTCCAGGCGGCACACCTACGAGGGGCTGGCTCTGCACCAGGTCCACGAGCAGACGGTCCTCACTCTAGTTCAGCGGGCCAGATGCTTTTTCCCCCCAGGGGCCGCTCAGGAGATCTGGGCGGAGCTCAGGTGAGCAGCTTTTTCTGCATGCCCGGGCACGCCTGTTGTTGGGTTCTCTGATCGACCTTGCTGGCGCTTATGCTCTTTCGTTTCTGCTTCCGTTGCAAGCTTTACTCTTATTGGCGCGCTTATGTTTTCTGTGTGCGGTTTCGTCCCTGCATGTGCTTGTTTTTGTGCGAGCCCCTTTGCGTGCTTCTGCACAACCTCTTCTTTCCATGAACTTCCTTTGCTGAGCTTTCTTTCATCTTTTGTGAGATCGCTGACGAGGACGCTGACTGCAGAAGAGGTACGTTTGCTGGACGGACCTTCTCGAGCTGAGGCTTTCAACTGACGACGCTTCGTAGGTTTCGTCTTCCCATTTCACGAGTATAGAGATAGACCTTCTCTTTGCTTTGCAGCCCGGCCTTCAAGGACCTCGCTCACAACGACGCCCTCGAAGCGGCCGGCCTGATTGCCCTCTTCTTGCCAACCAAATCGCGCCAGGGGGGTGCCGAGTCCGCCGAAGCTTCCCCCCCGCCATGGAAGGAATGGGTGGCCGAGTGGGTCCGCCTGTGGGCGGCGGTCCCCAACTGCAAGTACTGGGACACGCAGTGGGGCGGCCTGGTGGCACGTGCCATCAAGCACGTGGCCCCTGCTGACGTGGACTGGGAGCCGCACCTACCGTTCCTTTTCACCAAGTTCCTGAATGCAATCGAGGTGCGGCACTTCGAAGCTTCAATTTTTCTTTTTTTACAGTTGACAAAGTGCGTTTCTTTTTGGATCGACAGAGTGCGGGCTTTGACAATCAAGCTACTAAGGCCCGTCTTCCTTGAGGCTGTTTTCGGGCTGCGACGAAGATAGATGTCTACCTCTTTGTTTTTGCTTTCAAGCACACAATAATGGGGGATTTTCTTGCTCTCAAAATAATCACCACTGAGACAGGCAAAAACGACCACTTTCGTGCCTGTGTCCAGATGCCGCACAATTCCCAACCGGTCCCCTTGCAGCGAAAGGGATCTGTAGTCGTGTCCGGGTTGGCATTTCCTGAGGACAGGTCCCATCTGAAGGCCTAATGCTCCTCTTCCGTGTCCAGGTCCCGGTTGGTAAGTCCCAGGCGCAGTCCCCGATCGACCGCAGCGCCCCCCGCGAGATGGCGCGCATGTTCGCGGGGCAGAGCTTGTCCGAACACATTGCCGCGTCCGTGGTGCTCCTGTACGGACGCTACCCCAGCGTCCGGCCGCGCTTCGAGGCGTTCGTCGACTATTTGGAGCAGTACTACCACCCGTCCAACGGAGGCACGTGGACCAATACGTTGGAGCGGCTGCTGCGGTACCTGGTCATGAGCTTCCTCAAGCGGCTGGCCAGCGAAAAGTAAGCCGGGAAGAACAAGTGTCGCATTTCTGTAGATGTGTTGAATGGACAACTTGTGGATGTCATTCTAATTCTCGATATCATTGCTTTCTGTAGCAACTTATTAGAGTGAGGGTTTCTGGAGCTGCTTCTTGTGTCCCTTCTGCCCGACTTTTGTCGCAGTTCACACTCGTCAACTGAATCAGGTGCTCTTTAACCTTGGGGCGTTTCGGTCATTGCCAATTGACTTGACACAGGAACACTTTTGCTTCACGATCACCACCAATATCGGTGAATGACCGCTCGTCTCGTACTGAAAGATATCGATCTCTGCCTGAATCTTTTCGACTCACCTTCTGACCCAGACTTTGTTTTCGGTCCTAAGTTTAGTTTCAGAAAAAATAATTCTAATTTCCATCCCCTTTGTGAATATCAGGAAGCACGCGAACGACCCTGCCGAATCCAAGCCCCGCCCGCCCCCGCTGACGCCCGAGCTCCGGCAAGCCTTTGTGACGTCAATGATGCGGTTTGTGGACCGCGCGCAGTACAGCAAGAGCCCGCTCATGGTGGGCCAGGCTGCCAGCGCAGCCATGGGCCTTGCGTATGCGGAGCCCACCGTCGTGCTGCCGCTCGCGATTGCACGCTTCCAGCAGGCCGTCGAGACGGTGAGCACCTATTGATCCATGGATAGTGGGGTCGTTTACAATCGTAGTCAGCTGGGGGGTCGTTTACAGTCGTAGTCAGCTGTGATATTGACACGCCTGGTGGCTTTCTTCCGTATTGGTCGAGCGTGAATTTTAAAGGTTCGCACACAAATGGCCGCATTGGTGATGGCATCCAAAAGCTGAGGACTAGAAGCAGGCGGCAGCAGTCCGAGTGGAGGCAGCAGTGAACCTGGCAGCAGTGGAAGTTGTTTGATCGTTGCAGTGAGTCAGAAGGGCTGCGCGAGTCTTCAACTGAAGAACCACTACTCTGTGGCGACATATACCGAAGCCGTTCACCCTTGCTGGCTAAGTTTTGGTTGCGGTCCTTTGCACTCCCTTCCTGACATGTTGACCCCCACAACGGTATGCATACGACGAGATTATTTTGTTGCCCTGTTCTCCAGGTCACGGCAACCCACCAGCTCGAGTCTGCGGTCACCACGCTCGCCCTCTGCACGCGGCCCATCCTCCTCGCGTCCCCCCCCTTCGGCAGCCCTGGAGCTGACCCCATGGAACTGGACGAGGTGCCCCTTGGGGCCGCCCACGTGGGCCAGCTGGCAGCCGGCCGAGCTGCCATCGCCGACGCGCTGATGCACACGCTCCCGGGGATCGATGCGAACGATCCCCCGAAGACGCTCGCGACGCTGCAGCTGTACGCATCGGTCCTGTCTAGCGTGAGTGCTGATTCCTTCCAATCTCGCCCACAGGGCCCTGCTGCTTCGCAAGCGGGTTGTCACTGTCCAACGCGTCTTTTGCTTGCTTCGCTTTGTTGTTCACCAACCATCTTTGTTCTTTACCTTGAGCCGAATCACTCCGCTCAAAATAATCTTGCTTGCGTGGCTTCACGGCTTCATAAGTCTGCACAGACGGGACAGCAAGGCTCCATCATGGTTTTTGTGGCGCGAATCTGGGTCCTTGAGCTTTTCCCATGTTCGGTAACAATGGCAGCTCCTTCCTCCACGTCCTGATTTTCCTGCAACCTCTTCGGTCTTGTGTTCAAGCACCCTTTCCTCCTTGGAACCAGTTGTACCAATGGGTACTCACTGATGTTTGCCTCGTTGTCCAGGTGGGAACCATCGGCGACCCAGAAGATGGCGGCAGCGGCGTGCTCCCGCTGGACTGGTCGGACTGGGTCGCCGAGTTCCTGCGGCGGCTGCTGGCCACGCTGCAGAACCTGGAGCCCAGCTCGGCGGCCACGTCAGCATCCGGAACGTTCTTCATGTCGGGGGGGTCCATGTTCCGCCCCATGCTGGAGCTGCTCTTTGGGCGCCTGACTCTGCCGCTCTACAAGCAGGTGGGGGCGGGAGCTTTGTTTTACGGACTTGAGGGTTTACCTTTTGTGGTTTCCGGACGACCCAGTTGTGTATGATATGTCCCTGACGCTTTCTATGTCAAATGGAAAGCAGTGAAGTAATACGTACTTTTAATGTAAAGTCGGCTTTACGTCTCGGAGCCTGAATGGACGGAATGACGAGTTTCAGCGGAGATCTGGACGGAATGACGAGTTTCAGCGGAGATCTGTCTACACGCGCATGATCGCAAGGGCTGCTCTTTCTTGTTTTGAGGTCTTTGCAGAAGTCACAGCAATTCTCTGTGTTGACGGGCAGAACAGGGGAGTGCGTGTGCTCCGGATAGATCTCGGAATCGGTGAAAAAAGCATCTTCCATCCATGTGCAACCAACCGGTCGCAAACCGTTTGCTTATACACACCCTGACTCCTCCTCACAGGCCCTTCGCAAAATCACCGAATTCGTGACCAGCACCGTCGTTCCTGGGGCCGAGGCTGAGGTGGGCTTCCTGTGCGGCGCGGCTATGTATGCGCGACCGGAGCTGGCCGCCCCCGCTCTAGTTCCCCCTCTGGTGGACAAAGTGCTGCGGCTGCTGGAGGGGACCGAGACCACAGGGGCGAGCGGGGCGGAGTCGGGCTGGGTCAAGGACCAGGGCAACAAGAAGGTGGGTTGAAAGCTTGCAGTGGTCTACTTTGTCTCCTTTTCGGTCCCGGATGGGGACTATGTTCTGTCACCCGGCTGGTTCTTTTCAATCCTGGTGAGAAGATTGAGAAGAGTGATGACAGGGTGATTGAGAAGAGTCCGGAAGAGAGCACGGCCCAAGCCTTCACGTGATGATGCAAGGCAAGTTCTCAGGGCTGGGTTTGGGCCTTGGGCTGGGTTGTCGTCCTTGGACGGGGTTGTGAGATCCTGATTGAGTGGTCAAGCTCTCAGTATAAAGACCTACTTCATCAAAGAGAGAAGGCGGTGTTCGGGTCCGTCTTATCTAAGGATTTCGAAGCGATTGCGCCTGTGATTGTAGCGGCCACAACGCCCGTCTGATGAGTGGTGGAAGGGGCATCGCTTTGTGGCCGGAGCATGTACAACGCCGAAGATGAAAGCGAACATACGGACGCTCCTTTTGGAACCCGGTCAGACAATCGGGAAACGAGTGCCGTGCGCCTTGGTTGGAAAGACGCTCAGACGCGCTGTCTGTGCCCTGTGCAGGTCCCCGCCCTGTCGTCCGCTCTCGCGGGCAGCGTGGCATATCACCTGGACGTGCTGTGCACGCTGCTCATGTTCGGGGGCCCTGGATTGGTCGCCTTCAAGGACAGCCTCGTCAAGCTGCTGGCGGCCGCGTTCGACGCACCCGCCACAAAGGTGCGGTGTTCTCCGATACGCTCAACGTCGATCGCGTCAATTTAGAAAATTAAGTGTTTTTAGAACTGCTTAAGGAGCTAAGGTTTCGATTTTGCAATGACACACTTACGATTTGCCGTGAGCCACAAAGTGCGAGTGTTGAAACAATCGTTGACAGTTGTGCAATACTGCTTTTGACTCTTTAAGACCTGGCTCGCGCACTTTGGGCCGTCTTTCCTTCGTGCACCTCGAGTTGAGGAGTTTTTGCTGTGGCCACGAGTCTGCCTTCTTCCTCGTGCAGCCCCAGACAAGAAACGATCATGCTCACTTTGTTTACTCGGTAGGGTGGTCGAAAGGTGTGAAAAGGCTGGTGGTCGACCGGTTCTCACAAGGCGCCTGAGTCTACTTGAAGGGAGTTGTGAATGAAGCCTCGTTCCCTTTATCTGACACGTGGCAAGAAAATCATCCATTGGCAGGTGGTGGAGGCCGCCAACCGCGTCCTCCAGAGCCTCCTGAGCAGCCTCGTCCTCTACTACTCCCTGGACGAGTACCGTTCCGTCCCGGGCCTCCCGGATTCCGGCGGAATCGACCGTTGGCTTGGCACCAAGGGCGCCACTCGGGCCTCGCCAGGGATGAAGCCTACTTGGCACGTGCCTAACGACGACGAGGTCGCGTTTGCAAACGAGCTGCTGACGTTGCACCTGACGGGGGCGCTGCGGGACCTGCGGGCTGTGGTTGCTAACGGGGCTGCCGGTGAGGGTCCATACGAGGAAATGTAACGTGATATCTGCAAGTTTCAGAGAGAGGCGTTGTTCTTCTGCGGGGACGGCGAGTTTGCACTGACAGCCCGTGCTCAGTAGTGCAATCATATTCCGATCATGTGCCCGTGTCTGTGTTGTGTTCCTCCACTCGTCTGGTCTTGAGGGGGTTATATATGGAGAGTCTTCGGTCCGGATCGTTACTCTCGACCACCTTGGCAGTCATTACGATTTCTGGTGACATGGTGACGGTTGAGTAATTTCAAAGGTGGCATCGTTTGAAGGTATGGTGAGCAAGCCCTTGATGCACGTCCTGGAAGGAAGCTCTGAGATTGTAGAGAGGCCCTCACTTTGTTCCCTCTCTTTCCTGTTTCAGGCGTAGAGAAGGACAACCTGCGGGTGATCCTGCTGCGCCTCGACGGCGTCGTGCGCGGCGCCCGCGCCTGCATCCCCGACTTCCGGTCCGGGGAAGAGCAGTCCGGAGCGGAGCCCCTCACTGTGGTCGGGTCTGCGGGGGCCTCGATCGGGAGCCCAACGATGCGGGATGAGGCTGCGGCAGTCTTGCACGATGCGTGCAAGTGAGTGGACTGCTGGAGCTCCAGGGCATTGATTTTCAGACTGAGCTTGGCAAGATCTTGGTCCACCTGATGTCACATTCCCCGTACTGTGCTTTTCAGTTGTTATTGGATGAGACGCAACTGTTCTGTTTGTAGACCAGTCGTTGTTGACGGGCTGTAAGCCGCTTGTCCACCAAAACGACGGTTTAGTCGGACTCGGAGCCCGCCGTGCAGAATGCACGCCCGGAAAATAATGAGATGAAGCGTCCGAGGACGGTTGCAGCGGCCACGAGCGCATCATGTCTATCCATTAGGTGTCAGCCGATAATGTCCTCATCATCACGCTCCACCGCCGTTTCTGACGAGAGTGGCGGCGACAAGACGGCCCTCATGCAGCTACTGCTCCACGCGCTAATTTTGGCCATCTGCATCTTTCTTCCGTACGCCCAGCTTCTTCTTTGTTTGGCGCCCCTCCACTTTCGCCTGGCGCACAATAGTGGCTGCGGGGGGAGCTTCTTCCGAAAACCTCGACAATCTCAGTTTGCGATGGGGGGGCGTCTGTACTTTGGCCTTTGAAAAGGGGCGCCCCAGATTAGCACTTATGTTGATTTGACATGAGCGCAGAATATATCACTGCGAAAGACACCAGCTCTTGTTATCACCCTCCTCGTTTCCTCTCAAGTACATGACCGAGACGTGCTCCGACGACATGGTGAACACACAGCAGCTGCTGCATGGGACGGGTCTGCTTGGCCAACTTTGCTGCTAATCTCATCGCCATACACCTATACCGCACGTTTTCAATCTGTTCGCATCTGTTTTGATATCATCTTTCTCGAATTTGTCCAGGTACATGACCGAGGCGCGCTCCGACGACACGGTGAACATGCAGCAGCTGCTGCGCGTGATGGACTGCTTCGCCAACTTCGGCTCCATCGAGTACTCCACGTGGGCGCACGGCCGCCTCTCCTGGGCCTCCGACGCCAACGCGCTCACCGAGCCCAAGTTCTCGGTGCTGCCCGGTGGGGACGATGCGCAGTCCAGGAGGAGGTCAGCCGTTAATTCTTGCAATCTTCTTTTTGGAGCATCAATTTCGGTGTTCAGAAATGCAATCGCTAAGGCAAAAGTCTAGGTTCCGTCTTGGACCGGGTGATAAACCTGTCCACCGTTTGCTGGTTAGGTAAAAGTCAATTCTTCCCATCAACCACACGTGGGTCTGACTCCTTTTTAAAGGCCCGATATTAAAGATGCGTTTGCTTTCCGTTGTTCGCTAATGCATTTCTGGACCTCCCACCGCATCGTTCCTGATCCGGCACCGCTTCTTGCAGGCCTCACTGGCTGCTGGTCGAGAAGTCGTTCCTCCACCTGACGTGGCGCGCCTCCCAGGCGCACTACCGCCCCTTCTTCCCGGACCGCCTCGCGGCGCCGCCGCCGTCAGTTGTCACGCTGACGCAAGACCTGCTGCAGATGTGCCTCTCCCGCTACAACGCCGTCAGAACGTAAGGGCCTCTTGCTAAGCCCGGATGGGTCTGCGCTAGGAACCGCCCTAGTGAAGTGAGGGGCGGCTGGCCTGTGTTGTTGTTTCTGATGGTCAACAAGTGCTTCGCCAGCACGCTTCGATTCTTTGTTTCTCTTATACATTAGCGAATCGGCAGACGCGTATTTCTTTGAAACGTCGAGTCTGCGGCCGCGTGTCCTGTATGTGTTGCCAGCTTGTCCGAGCTTGCGACTTCGGAGAGCAGCGCTTGCACGCTTGAAGGTACACTCAGATTATTTCACGGAGCCCGTTGTCAATTCACCATCTCCCCCCTCCCTTTCAGGTCTGCGCGTGGCCCCCTGGAGCGTATCCTCAAGCGGTACCCCACGCTGGTCGAGACTTGCATGCCCACGCTCTCTGGCGCAATGGGCGGCCCCGACAGCAACGAAGAAACCGCGATGGGCGCGTGCGCCCTCTACTCGACACGTGTCCTCATGCGGCGCGTCACCCAGGACTGGCCCGCCATGGCGTCGTTCCTCACCGCCATGCTCGCGAGCGAGAAGCAGGAGTCAGTGCGCGCGCAGGCCGCGATCAACGAGGTGTTCGTGGTCTTCGCGCTGCGCTTTAGCCGGCCGAGCGTCAGCGGGGGCAAGGGGCCCAAGTACAGCGACGTTCTCGAGAAGATTCATTCGCTTCTCGCGGAAGATAAGCCGTCGGCGCTGCACTGGCGATATACGATCATGGCGAACGCGTTCCTGCTGCTGCTGACGAGCCACGGCGCAGCGGCCCCGCTCCCGGGGGGCGGGAACGCCAGCGCGAAGAGCCCCCTAGAGCACTTCCTGCGGAACCTGAGCAGCGAGCTGCCCCCCCTACGGCCGTTGTCAGTGGTCGCGCTGCTGATGCTGCTGCAAGGGGGGGACGAACCCGCGCTACAGCTGAACCCGAAAGCCCTGAAGCTGACGTCACTCAAGGACGCGGGGTCGGAGATGGACGTCGACGAGGCCGAGGGCGGTGACGTCAGCGGGGGGAGCCAAGCTGCGGAGAAGCAGCCGGCCACTGTCTCTGGGGGGCAGGTGGTCGCTGCTGACGTCAGCAGCGCGCAGCCCGCCGGGGGGTACGGTGTGCTGGCGGACATGGTGGCGTCAAAGGGCTTTGCGGAGAAGGCGCTGCGCAACCTGGCGCTGGACCACAACCTCTCCGAGGGGGGCTCCAACTCAGCAGGGGGCCTCGGGGCGGCCGCCGCGAGAATGTTCCAGCAAGGGGGCGCGTCGCTGATCAAGGCCATGGGCGCGGTCGCGGCCGCAAAAGAATGGCCGCACACGAAGACGAAGGACGCCGCGAACCGGGCCGTGGCGGCGCAGGCGTTCAACCCGACGTACGCGCAGCTGTTCGAGCGCCTGGCGGGGGTGTGCAGCGCTGAGGCGATCGCAGCCTTGCAGACCCCCCTGGAGGAGGCGGTGGGCGCGGTGCACGACCGGCCGAGCCAGTGCATCGCGGCGGAGGCGATGGCGGGGCTGTTGCACGGGGGGGGGCACGCGGTGCGGGGGGCGTGGGACACGTGGATGAAGGGGCTGCTGCAGCAGGCGCTGGCGGGGGCGCTGCCCGAGTCGCAGGGGGAGTGGGCGGCGTGCCTGCGCTACGTCGGTGAGTGCCTGATTGGATGTATCTTTCGCATTTGAGGGGTCTTCGCTACCAGCAAACGATACGAATCCTGATCTTGCAAGCCGTGTTCCAATCTGCCTGTGCTATCGAGGTAAAGATTACCGCCAATAAGGACGAATTCGTCGGTCGTGATACCGAAATGGCTCAACGAGAAAATTGTTGCAGCTCGCGTTGTCGTCCATTTAGTGGTTGCTGTTAAGGCCAGCGGGTTGCGACCATGGACTGCACGCTTGAGAAAATGCCTCCCTACTTGCGGGCCGCATAGGTCAAGAGGGACTGTCGGCATCACTGGACCTATATCCTGGTTTAGGATGCATATTGAGTTGCATTTTGCAATTGGTCATAGCTCCCGCATTAAGGGTACGACTAGTCCGCAAAGTCCACCTTATGAGCTGCATGGGCCAAACGATTCACAGCATAACAAGCAATGGACTCAGTTCTTAACTCCCTGCGGTAAAGCTGCCCCCTAACCTCCTCCTGTCGCCGATTCCACAGCTACCGGCGACGGTCCCTGCGGACATCAATCTCCTTCTCTGCGGTCGGAGGTCTTGGCGTGCGCCGCGGAGCCCGTCTCCTCGACCGCTGCCTCCGGCCAGGTGGCAAAGCGGCTGATCTTGCTGGGGTCCGTTCTGGCGGAGCTGACGCAAGCGGGGGAGGACGACCCGGCGCTGCAGTTCAAGGCGGCGCTGCTGGAGGAACTGGAGGGGAGCATGGCCAACCCGGCGCGGCAGGTGGGTGTTTGGGCAGCGAGTGCGGTTGGAAGCAAGGAAGGGGCGCAGTTGTTTGCGCGGATTGGCGAGGGTCTCATAACGGAGTTTATGATTTGGTATACGGCTTTCAAACTGACGAACTACGTTGACTGGCTCCACAGTTGTCAGAAGGAGTGGGATGGCGTTCTTGATTATCAGGGGGAGTAGGGGGAGCTGCGCATTGTATCTGCAACCGGTGGTATCCCGTCTTAGCAGCGACAATTGAGCTTCCATGGACACCGGGATAAATGCCCATCTTAAGATCGCAGCCGCGAGAAGCCATCAAACCGACCACGCAACGGTGGCTGCAGGTCCGAGAAAACGTGGGGCGGCTGCTGGCCATGCTGTTCGCGAACCTGGCTCAGTCGCCTGCTTCCGGCTCGCCCGCTGGTGCCACGTGGCCGACTCTACAGGCACGAGCGGCCGCGCTGCGGCAAAGCCTGGTGGAGCAGGCGCCGGCCGCGGTTGCCAAGGTGCAAGAGATAAGCGGGGGAAGCGAGAGCGGCGAGCACGACGAGGCGGTCCGCTGGATGGAGACGGTGAGGAGCCGCGGCTTTCTTCCCTGTTACAATAACCTGCTCGAAGCAAAGGATTGGCTCGGCGCTCCTGCTTTTGCTGCTGCCCTTTCGTGCGCGGATTTGCGCGGTTTATTCGGAAGGCCTTAATGCGGACTCATGGGAAGGCCTTATCTGACTTTGCCTGAACCCACCTTCAGGAGCTGTACCCCTTCCTCGTTGCGTGCTTCTCTATGATTCAGATCGATAATGTCATTCCTTTCCTTCTTCGGTGCCCCTGTCTCCCCGCCCCTTCCCTCTGGTCCTGTGAATCCCACATTACTTTCCTGCCGCCCTTCTTTTCAGTCTCACTTCGTGATCCCGCTGCCGCCTCCTGACGGCCCCTCTCCCCCTCCAGGTCCTCTTCTTCGTGATCAGCGCCGTCAAGTCCGGCGACGCCGCGGGCCTGGCGCCCACTATCGTACCCCTCCTACACCCCATCATGGCGGTCCAGGAAGTCTCCGACCAGGACTTCGCGCTCCTGGCCAAGCAGGCCCTGGCCTATCTCAAGTACCTCCCTCTGCCCGGTTCGTCCCTACCGGGCACCGCCCGGGAGATTGTGGCCGCCTGCGGCGCTGCCAACTGGCACACCCGCGCAGCGGCGCTGGTGTTCCTGCAGGCGTTTGCGTACCGGCACTCGTTCCTGCTGGAGGCGGAGGATTCACACCGGCTGCGCGAGGCCGTGCTGCAGCTGCTGGCGGACTCGCAGCTGGAGGTGGGAACTGGTTCTTTTTGATAGCGGCTTGCGTCCATGGACTGCTCAAGAGCATGGATGTCTGCTCACAACAAGGAATGTGTGACCGAAGGGTCCTTAGCACAAAATACGAGGCGAACATGGCTATATTGCAGACAAAATACCGCGCAAGCAAGCCAGCGGCGTTCCGACGAGATCTGCGTATCTATGTTGTGCTATACAATGTACGCTGCCAAAGAACAAGAGACATCTGAGAGGTTTGCCGACCACCCGGTCATGACGACTTATCCAGTAACCCAAAAGGTTGGGCAATCTTCTGAGCAGTTTTATGGCTTTTTCGTGTCGGATAGTTGGGGCGTCTGCATGCCACATCAGAAGCACAGCTTGAATGCAGAGAATCGTCACAAATCTACGTCTCCTACAGTCGTGCATTTCAACGTTTTACTCCAGGTGCGAGAGCTGGCAGCGGCCACTTTGACCGGCCTGCTGAAGGGCGACGACGGGTCCTTTGCTGCTTCCGTCCGGGAGCGGTGCACCGCGGCCGCCAAGGAGGCGCACGCCTACTCCAAGAACTCAAAAAAGAAGAAGGCCGCGGGTGGCGGCGCAACGTCCCCCTTCGAGTCCGTTCCCGCGCGGCACGGTCCCATCCTCGGTCTGTCAGCATGCGTGCTGTCAAGCCCGTACGATGTGCCGAAGTGGCTCCCGAAAGTGCTCATGACGCTGGCCGAGTCGGTGCACGAGCCGTCCCCGATCAACACGACGGTGACGAAGACGTTTGGGGACTTTAAGAGGACGCATGCGGACACATGGACGCTGCACCGCACGGAGTTCAGCGAGGAAGAGTTGGACGTCTTGGCGGATCTGACCTCGTCGGCATCGTACTTTGTCTAGGTGTCGGGCCCGTTTGGTGGACGTAGGGGTCTGGAGACCAAGCTACAGACGCTAATGTTTGCTCGCTTAACCGCCGCGTTTCTTGAGATCGTCGAGCAAACATGATGATTGCAATACATGGCTTCCATGAATTCGTCTACGTGCATGCGCTTTTCGACAAGGATTAGACCTTACTTTGGTCTTACCAGCCTGTGCACTGGATTGCAAGAAATGGTGTTTGCTGCATTTCGGCAAATCTTTCCGGTCAAAGCTCAAACCAGGACGCATCCGTGTCATGAGATCGAGGAGTGCTGCGTGGCCTGGTCCACTGACAGCGATGCCCATATATAAATTGAATCAGCTTAGCGCGATGCTAGCAATCGCTAGCTCATCAGATTTAATTGCAACACACGCGATGGAGTCAAGAGAATACAGAAGTTGTGGAACTTCTGTGCATGCCCTTGCATAGCTAAACTAAGGCCCGGCCGCCATATCAACATAAAATCCTTATTACGCGCACGCGGATCCTAGGTTATAAAAAGGATACTACCTATCACTGATCGGCTCGCGGTTTGAATGTCGCTGCGCAGCTGGACGTAAGCTCATCATGTTCGTTGTTTGCAATGAAGGAATACATGATCGGCCGTCTGTGCGACGGCAAGGGCTTGCCTCTTCCTCGATTCCAACCGCTATCAACGGTTGTAAATCGCAGGTGGCATCGAATGGCAATCTTCGTTTCTACGGTGTAGATGTCTTGGTCGTGAAACCAGCCAACCGATCAAGCGCGAAATTCCGACGTCGTATCGCGGACATGCACGATCGAAGGCCAACTTCAAGACTTGCACCATGGACCGCTCGGACCAATTTGTTCGATTCGTAAGGTGTAACTGCGCCGCATGCGGGGCCCCAGTCCAACAAATGTCGCACCGTTATCCGGACAAAAAATCGGCTTGTACCGTACGTTTTATCGTCGAGCCAAGCCAACCCAAGCACCTCGAGCAAGTCATTTTGCGGGCCCCGCGCCGCGGCGTCGTACAGCGGCCGAAATCGCTATTCCTATGGTTACTCTCTTCCTAAGAGGAAGAGGCTGGCAAGCCAATATGGTATTCGTTTGCAACCAGGCCAAACTTCTTACGTCTCATGAAAGGTTGCGTAGAGCCACTTGTCCACCAAGTCAGGATCTCATTGCAGTCCCACACAAACAGATCTGTAACACTGACAGGAAACCATCGCATACTCATGTGGCCGTCAGCAATGCGACCTGCCTAGAGGAAAAAGGTATATATCATGGCAACAAATGAAGGCCTGCCATGTTGGAGGCTTGGCTAAGAGCCGGGCTCAGACCATACGGTAGGACTAGGTACAGGAAGGCCTTTTCTGAGAATTTCAGGCCCACATGATGTGTATGGTGTATCCTAGTTTCGACATCGGAAAGAGTAAAAGGATATAGCGCTCGAATATGTGTGTACAAAAAAAAAAAAAAATGCTAAACCGCTGTGCGGTGTGAATGCTCGGTTTTCGCCTATTGACGCTCTTTCTTTTGGGGGGGATTTCCATTTTTGAGCGTATTGACGCAAAATTTGATAAATAAATTATTGCAAGTATTAGATTACTCAATCGAAGCGTCTCAAACGCGTGGGAAAATACAATCGGACGGCTGCCGTTTGCTCCGATTTACGACCGGCCGGTTATCCAGCGTATGAGAATCTACCGGGCACCCGTCTTATCTAAGTTATCGAAGACCACTGACCGGTACTGTAGACATAAGGAGCTGACCACTAGTAGTGAGTATAGCTTACAGAGCAACCGTCGTCGTAGGTCCTATAAATCCTGCTACCGGGTCCACCTTCTAGAGTACTCAAGTCGACAGAGTTTTGCCCGGTGCTGACATAAGCAGGCAGCCACGCCCAATTTCACGCGTGCGAATATGTAATCCAACCGATTGGCACAATACCATCGGACGGCTACCTTTTCATACTAGGAAGATGCAAAGCACGCGGCCGGGTGACGGTCCCCTGCGGGCGCTAGCACGCGGGCATGATCGCAGGGTTTTATCGTACGTATGGCGGTCACGTTCCAAAAAGGTTCACCAACAAAAAAGATTTTTGAAGCATCGAACTCCAAAACCCGTCGAAAAGCCAAGTCGACTGATTTCAGATCGTAGTTCCGCCAGAAGCACCGTTCGATGGATAAAATCGGCTTAACTGAGTGACCCAGTCTGGAGCGCCACTTTATCCCAAAACCAAACTACCCGGGTAAAAGCGAGAGCTCGTTTTTTACAAAATAAAAAAACCGAGCTACAAAAAAAAAGTGAAGGGATATCATTGGAACGCAGGTGCTGAAGGTCAGTGTTCTCAAGGCCGACCGTCCGATCAAGAAATCCGGATGTCACGGCTTCTATTTAACAAGCACTATAGCATTGGTATAATCGCAGCCAGTGACTACAATATTGTGATCGACGGTCAACAGTGTAGTTGACTTGGTACGTGGCCAGCACCGATTCGCTAAACTGTGAAATTTGGCGCCAATTTTGGTGGTTCAATTCGAATTTTGCTTGACTCGGGATTTCTTCATGTTGGACTCACGAGCGGCTGCCCCGGGCCGGCCGTGACGCATCGTGCGGAGTCACCTGTCTCATGAGCCACCCATGGCTCCTACGGGACTATAAAATAAATTGATTGATTGATTGACCTGCTACTGTCTACAGTCTACTGTCTACCGAAAACCACTGGACGGGAGGTTCGGTTCGACACCCCATGCAGTGACAAGTTGCGGGCAAGTTGCTTTTGACCTTCCTTGGCGGCCAAGTGCAGTCCTTTGTCAGCTCTGTCACGCTAGACGATAGGTAGTGCCCACCGTAGACTGTAGAGTGGAGGCTCAAGGGTGCAGATTGCAGGCAAGATATCGCCGGTGGTCTTTTGGCATAGGTAGATCTCCTTAGGCACAAGAGCTTTGGACTAATCAACGGAACGTAAGCTCAGTGACCAGAGGGTTTCCAGCATACCACCACCAGCAAGTTTACGTTCCTGTTGGTCACATCGTGACCATCACAGGCGCAATGAGTACTTTTGGAACAAGCTCTCAAGCAGGGTTTGCAGCAGCTGGTAATGTATTTACAGCCCAGATGGCGGCTGCCAGGGCGGCGGCAAACATGACTGCCGCTCAAACAGCAGCAATGGCTTGTGCTCAAGTCAAAAAGGCTCGGGCTCAGCAGAAAGCCATGGACAGGGACAATGCAGAAGCCTCTGAGCAGCAGCAGGCAGAGGCGCATCGGTCGGCAGTGGATGTGAGATCACCAACAAAGCAATCGTCATGAAACAGACAGATGTACCCCAACCCTCTCATCATGTAATATGTAATTTCAGATGTTCAGACTGCTCGAGTATTGTTCCGGCACTTTGCTAAAGAAATACACCTCTAACCTGCCTCTTGATGCAGCTTCAAAGCCTTTGAGTGATTTTTATCTGGGTCACTGCTGACAACAATTGCCCTGATAGTCTTCTGCTTGGCTACATCCCTTGTCCTTCGCTGCTTTTACAGGATTCCGCTGGAGCAGAGGCAGACCAGGCAGATGATTTGTATGCCAACTATGTTCCTCAGAAGGTCACTGAAGGCATCCCGCATCCTGATCCCGTAAGTCACAAGATTGTTCCAAAGGGCGTGCTTTCCGTTCTATCTACTCGTGCTTTTGAAGGCTTCTTCACCGTAGACAGTGACTATTTCTAAGTGCTTGTCCAGCTTGTGCATGGTTAAGTATTGTACTGTCATATGGATGCAGGTGGTGGAAACCGCATCACTTGCAGAGGTTGTGCCCCCGGATTTCACTTACAAGCATGGTCTGCAGAAACAAGTTTCAGAGGGCTCCATCAGCTCTCTCCAACTGGAGTCTGTTATCTATGCCTTTGAAAAGGTGAGCCAGTTTTGCTATTTCAATGCTGATCTGGCTTGATGTTTACTGCCGCATCTCTGTCGTATCTATCTTCGATCGTTCACCCCATCATGACGCCTCAAGTGCCTACTCAAGTAAGCTTTATCCACTTTGATTTTTGCACATCTTAAGCAGGATCTACATCACGAGAGCTCAGCACACAGCATTGGCATGTTTGCAGTTTGAAAACGCTCCCCGCTTGGCCAACGGAGATCGTCAGGGGTACTTCATTGGTAAGCCTTCCATCTCAATCCCAAATGCTGAATAAACTATTGGGATCCGCCTGAACAGTCGGCACCAGTTTTCTCATATGCAGGCAGCAAATGGCTGCTTGGACAAATAGAATCGTAGAATCTTGTTTGAAATGTAAAACAAACGGACTTGGAACATAATTCGGCCGATGTGACAGCATTCTGGCCAAACTCGATATACTCTTCTGTACAGCCGTAGTTGCTTCATTCTGATGCATTTTCCTTCAGGGGACGGCGCCGGGGTCGGCAAAGGCAGACAAATAGCAGCCATCATTGCGGAGTACATGAGAATTGTGGGACCTTCAGGACGTGTACTATGGACGAGCACATCTACTGATCTCAAATGGGACGCGCAGAGGTAGATTACCATTTTGTTGGCCTCATCGTTCTTGTTGCAATGTCGAATAGTAGTCTGTTAGAATTGATAGCTCTCAGCGTTGTCTCCCTTGGAGGCTACTCGCTTGCCTGTGCCTCCAGAAAACAAAGCCACTGTTGAATAGCTGTGGGGCTAACTCACAGCAATGATTTGATACAGAGACCTTGAAGATCTGGGCCTCAACATCCGACTATACCCCGAAGGAACAAGCGTGCTACCCAAGGCAAGCCTAAGGCTAAGCGCAAATGGCATCGGGAATGGAGTGCTGGTAAGACATCACGATCCCTAACAGTAGGCCGTATCCTTCGGTTTTGCGAGTTGCAAAATCACGTCCCCTACCTCTCCATAGCACGCCTGCCATGATAAGAGCAATTTTCAACTATTGCGTCATAAGGAATAAGTCAGCCTTAATTTGCCGTCAAGACAGGAGGTACATAGCATTTCTTCTGACAGGGTGAATATTCTGTGCGATTTTCTGCAGTTCGTGACATACAGTTTGCTTGTCTCAAGCGATGGCATCGCCAGTTCACGACGAGAGCAGATTGTGGAGTGGCTCATGGGCAATGAAACGCATGAGGAGGCCGGACCTTTGTAAGTGACTCATTGCGATGGACTCCCTATGATCTTAGCTCTTCTATGCCCTACTTTCATTGCTCTGCTTGGAATCATCAGATTGCTTAATGAAGACAGCATCTGGAAGCCAGTTCTTATCCTCAGCCTTTGCTTCAAGCTGCCTAGCCAAGGTTAGCTTGGCTTGTCCTCACGCGCATTTCCCTTGCAGGATTGTACTTGATGAATCACACAAGTCAAAGCACCTCGTCCCCAAAAACGGTGTGTACCTTTTCCTCTTTGCAAAACAGGTTTTATCCCCTCTTTTGAAACGATCCTGCCTCGCTTGCACCTCCTTTTCTCCAAACGGCAATATGCTATCCCTCTTGGCACCAAAAAGTCTGCCTTCGCTAGTAGGTAATACGTGGCATAATTCATGATGCAGGGAAGCCAACAAAGACGGCACTGGCAGTTGTGGCGCTCCAGAATGCACTGCCCAGTGCCCGCATCCTATATGTGTCGGCCACAGGGGCATCCGAGCCAGAGAACTTGGGTGAGCCGAAAGATCCGTTTGTGTAAAGTAGGCTTTTATAACAATTAGGGTGGCTGGTCAACCGCCGTACTGCTTCAATTGGATGTAATTCGTCAAACGTCTATGTTTAACACCAAGATTTTCAATCGTCTGTCTTCACCACTCTATTCACGGATTTCTGCAGGGTACATGGTGCGGCTTGACATGATGAGGGGGTTTTCGGGTAAGTCCCTCGATTTTCGTCTCCCTGAGCATTGCATCATTCTGACATCCTGCCCAATGAGAACCCAAGGCAGTTGAAATAGCCGGCTTCTCCACATTTCATTCTTGATTCCCTTGACACAAAGTCTCTTTGTGCCTGCAGATTTTCCCGATTTCTTGGATACGATCAAGAGGGCTGGTTTCGGAGCCATGGAGGTACGACTGTGTTTCGAATGGTCAAATCAGGGTCGTATGAATCTTAGGAGGGAAAAGGACGTTTCTTTTCAGAACGAGCTATCACAAGAACATTGGGTGAAAGATGAGCCAAGGAATTTTTTGATGACCTCCTACGTCTGCAGATGTTTTCGATGGGGCTCAAGGCACTGGGAGCTTATGTCAATCGAACTCTGAGCTACGACGGCGCTGGTGAGCCCCTCACTCTGAATGTGCTGAATCCACTGAATTTCTGCTTGTGTTGTTGCATTTTGGAATGTTTATTGTGGTCGAATTTCTTCCGATCTGCAAGTTGCTTCACACAGACAGCCTGTCTTACTTGCATGTTCCTCTCTTGTAACAGAGTTTGAGGTTGCTGACGTCAACATACCCCCTGACCTGGAAGTGATGTACGACAGGTAAGAGATGGCATGCTTGGCTCTTCAGTTCGGATCAGCCCGATCCACAGTCGCTGGTCCGCTTTTCAGTTCGTAAGCAGACCGCAGGAAAGTCTCTGGCCCTTTCAACTCCCTTTAGTTTGCTCCTCTTTAATTCGCCTCTAATACGATTGGACCTTCAGAATCGTCTATATGATCTTCTTTTGTTATGCACTTCAGATTCGTTGAAAGTATCTCCTTGGTTTTCCTGTGCAGGGCTGCAGGCTTTTGGCAGCTCTTGTTCAGGACGATGAAGTCCGCCAAGGCTGCAGGGGCCAACGTTCCAAAACACAGCTGGGCGAAGTTCTGGTCGGAGCATATGCGGTTCTTTCGGCAGGTGAGCTTCCAGTTTCCTGGCAAAGAGGACCCTGTCAGTCCGTTATCTGCTTATGAAGCCAGAGAGGCCTGCCCAGCCACGAAAGCACTTTCATTCTTATCGGATCTGGCCCTTTTTACGAAAAGCTGTCAAATTTTTGCAGATGCTGATTGCTGCAAAAATACCTGAACTCGCTGCGATCGCCCAGAAAGCTGTGGAAGAAGACAACATGGCAGTCGTGGTAAGCGATCGTTTATTTTCGATTGTCGTCAGGTGTTTGACGCTGCACTGTCAATCTTTAGTTTGGCAGATGCTTTCAAAGCACAGACTATTTGGGAACAGCGGCGATTGTCATCTGGCTGCTGATTGGTCATGTGCTCTGCCTAATTCCGAGAGGTCATTCAGAATTTTCCGTGCTAAACTTCACGCGGTATCTGGTTCAGGTCGGTCTGCAGTCAACAGGAGAGGCGGCGATGACAAGACAGCAAGAGGTAAGGGTTGGACGAATTCTGCTGGAAAGCTCTACGGAAATCTGCTTTTCAGACTGACTCCTTGATGAGTGTCTGGGATGTAATTCTGCTGCTTTTGGCCCACTTGAAGCACTTTGAACAACCGACATCTTTCGCAAGATTTTTGAAGTTTTCTGTGAACTCAACTGATGGCCAACGCCGTGCTTCGACCCGTAGTTGAGAAAAGCGAACAAAACTTGTGGCTGCAGGAACTTGGAAGCGAACAGGACGAGTTCGTCTCCCCACCGAAGAAGATTCTGATGGAGCTCATTGAGAACACCTTTCCAGTCTATGCCCAGAGCATGGAGTCTTACGAGCTGCAAGCTTTAGAGTTCAAGGTACGTATCGTTACTCCTTGTGCGTGCCTCACAACTTCAGGTTAACTTTTCCCTTTTGCACGGGTCGAATAATAGCTGGTAGATGAATCGTTTTAAAATCAAAGCAGCGGGCGGGCCCTCTTGACACCGAAGCTTTTCCGTTTTCCTCAGGTTCGCGAGTGCCGGAACGCGTACCGAGATCTCCCTAACGCAGCGGCTGCTGGACGGGCTAGAGCTACCAGGGCGCGTCAAGCTGCCGAAGAAAACGACGAGGACGACGGGCTTGAGGTGTGCATACATCATTTCAGCCTGCCGTGGTCCATCTTTGATGGCCAGCTTAGCATCCTTGTCTGGTTTTGATTGCTTTCTCTCGTATCGTTTTACGAAGTCCAAACACGGTATGCGCTGATGTTCCTTGCTCGTGCACCAGTGTTGAAATACGCACAGTTTGTGCTAGAGAGACATACTTGCTCAAAGTCCATATCTCGCTTTACGTAGGTCTGGTTGCCGCGATATTGTTGTGGAGACAGCGATTCACATCGCCACTAGCCTTGTGCACCTTTTAAAGTATCCATGAAACAATTGCAGGTCCTGGCTGCAAAGACCTTTGACGAGGTTGAGGCGGACAAGCTTGCCAAAGCCAAGCTCACCGGCGCGTTTCTGGATCTAGACGATCACGTCGATCAGGAGGAGATCAACCGCATGGACAAGGAGACGAAGAAGGTCAAGAAGGAGGCCGCCAAGAAGGAGGCCGCCGTCCTGAAAAAGATAGAGCAGGACCAATATGATGCCCGCCGCAAGCAGAAGGAGGAGACGCGCAGAAAGCTCCAGCAGCAAGCGGAGTTGGAGCGGAAGAAGGAGGTACGAACCAATACTGGCTCTCTTTGCTTGGGTTACGGCTGCTTTCCTGTTTCAAAACAAGATATTCCGTTGTCGCTCGCTGGTTTTCTGCCTCTGTGACGTTAGCGGTGCTCCTTCAGGCCAGCTCGATAAGAATTACACGCCAGATTATGTGCGAGGTACTTGCAGAGTCTTATCTTTACTGAAGTTGTCAAGGAGGAGAAGGCGACTGCGCTTCTGGTATTACGTTCTTGCTTCGATCCGGCACTAAAGCCTCAGTAGGATGTGGCAGCTTGAGGAGGAGAAGGCGTCCTGGGACGGTGAACCTTGCCAGATCTGCAAGATTGACACGGGAGACGAGATGATTTGTGACGGATGCGAGAAGCCGTACCACAAAGGCTGCCTAACACCTCCCCTGGAAGAGGTCCCGGAAGGAGACTGGTTCTGCGCTGAGGTGAGAGTGGATGCCGATTTGGGCGCTCGAACCATCCTGAACTGCTTCGACGATTCGAAAGACAGAGACGTCAACCTGACGGTCAGGTCAATAGTTGGGCCACCTTCTGTTTGGGACTGTGCTGCTCAAGTTGCGAGCTGGGGGCCTGCTGGTGTTGAAGTCATATTGAAAGGCACTTGAGTCAAGAGCCTGCTTGTCGGATGAGTTACGGAGCTTGTTTTCTTGGTTCCCTGGGGCGATATCCAGGTGCTTACACACGTTTTCCCTTTCAAAGTCTTGATGACCAAAAGTTCGACCTGCAAATCTATGCTGCCTTCAGTGCCAGCAGAACGGGCGCACCAGCCCTGGCAACAAGTCCGCCGGCACCGCAAGCCCGTCGATTGTTGCGGCCACCGACGTCGAAGACGAGCTCGAGGACGAGGACGAGGGAGACTTCAAAACGCCGGCGAAGGGCCGGGCGCAGAAGCGGAAGGCAGCGGGCAAGGGGGTCGTGGACCTGTCTGACTCAGAGGACGACTACCAGGCCAGCGCCAGCGAGAGCGAGAGCGACGATGACGAGGATGACGACAGCGACAGCGACCTCGAGTTCGATTGGCGGCAGGAGAAGGCGGTGGCGGACAAGAAGGGCAAGGGGAAAGCGGCGGCGCCGAAGTTCAAAAGGTACGTCTAGAGTTTGGAATCGAGATTTCAAGCAGCTAAAGCTCTGCTTAGAAGAAACCTTAGCAGACGCCTCCAAGCGCTTGCGCTTCAACTTTCTCTTCTGGGGGCTGTTTGCTTGAAGCCGCTCGCCCTAACCTCTCACATTTCATTATTGGTTGGGTGTGTGCTAAGACTAGCTGCTTACGTTTGCTTGTGATTATCTCATACGATTGCTTTCAACGTCGTCGGCCTTTGTGATCGGGCTTCATTAAAGAAGTGCTGCTCATCTGCCGTTTTCTCTTCTCCTCGCGCAGAGCAAAGACTGCTTCTCCAAAGGACGACTCCGACTCTGACATGGAGATGTTGGCGGCTCCACCACCTGTTCGGGTCAAGGCGGAAGGCGAGAAGAAGCCGGCCATCGTCAAGCCCAAGCCCCCTACTCGCAGAAAGAAGGCCGTGGACATCCCCGAGAGTGACGATGAAGAGATCGACGACGCGGGCGCGTGAGCTCTCCTCCAGTTTCTCGCGCTACAAAGCTTGTTCTGCTCAAAAGCTCACGTCGGACCCACGCTATCACATTCCGCTGAACTGAATGCACGCTACGCAGTCCGGCAGAATATTTCTGGATCGGACCTGAAATTTCTTGGCTGAGATTGCCTTGCCGTTTTTGTGTTCTGCAGCGGAGATGATCAGTATTATCACAACGCGAGACTGGAGCGCGTGCAGAGACTTCTCAAGCAGATCGTTGAGCTGCTGGAGCTCCCCCCCAACCCGGTGAGTTCCCGTCTAGTCTGCATACAGTCTTGCGTGTTAGGGAGAAACTTTGGTGGGGTGTGCTTGTCAATTTTTGACTCCGATGTCGTTGACTCCCAGATAAGCCGACTTTATCCGGTACCTTGTTCGGTCAATCATTACGAGAGCTACGGATCATAAAATCCAAAATGTTTGTGGAGAGAAACTCACGAAGGCTCCGCTGCAAGGCATCACAGCGGAGCAGAACTGTGTGACTCATCCTCTCCCTTCTTATGTGCAGCTGGACGACTTGAAGGCGCGACTCGGGGGGCCCGACGCTGTGGCCGAGATGACGGGACGTGCGTCTCATCAGGTCCGGACAGAGGACGGGAGCGTCGTCATCGAGAATCGCAACAAGCACTGCGCCCTCAAGGTATGTGCTCGAGCCGGGCAGTACGACTGTAATTAAGTGGACACAATCACTGAAAGGGTTGCTGGCAGGTTTTTCCCCAAAATAAGAACAATAGCGAGGCAAGTGACAGCCGGCAGACTCAATGCTGAGCTCGACTGCCTGTTGCCGCCGTTTCTGTGATTCTAAATTGCAATTTCTTGCCCCTCAGATGTTGAACATCAACGAGAAGAACGCCTTCATGGCCGGAGAGAAGCTGTACGCGATCATCTCGGAAGCGGCGTCCACGGGTATTTCGCTGCAAGCAGACAAGCGGGTGGAGAACACAAGACGTCGGCTGCACGTGACCCTGGTGAGCTTCTATATTCTCCTAGGACAAATGCGGACGGATTACGCCTCTTGACAAGTGGCAACTGACATCTCGTGGCTCGAAGTCTGTGATCAAGATGACGAAAAGAATTAACCGCTTTGATGCTTGTGAAGCTGGTTGACTGCTCAAATGCTTCAGCAGGCTTCAAAACCGAGCTCAGGATACAGGGGTTGGCTCTCTTGAACATCTCTTTGGTACCTTGATACTTCTTGCAGGAGCTGCCATGGTCGGCAGAGAAGGCGATCCAGCAATTTGGACGAACGCATCGCTCGAACCAGGCGTCGGCCCCAGTCTATCGGATCATGGTGACGAACTGCGGGGGTGAGAAGCGGTTCGCTTCCGCGGCCGCCAAGCGTCTACAGGTAAGCGGAAAGCTCTGACATCCTTCCAACAAGATATGTATCAGTAAAGCTAAGAAGGGAAGCTGCCACTTTTCAAGATATCGGCTCCCTTCTGCCAAGGTTCTGGTTCCCGAAGCAGCCGTTTTGCTTAGCTAGAGGTGCTCTCCGTCAGAAGCATCACGATCTGCTGAGCTGCCCCAGGTGCTGATCCAAACTCGGTTGCAGAGTCTGGGAGCGCTTCTCAAGGGCGACCGTCGAGCACTCGGTGCGGGCGTGGACCTCAAGAACTTCGACATCGACAACAAGGTATGTCTCGCAATGCGATACACAAGCCATCTTCGATTTGCCTGCAGGACAGTGTTGAGCAACTCGTCAGGTTTGTCTCCTAGAGTGCACCCGCCAATCCATTTTGCAAAGTAGAGAAGCCATTCTGGTCACGCAACAGTAAACCAGGGGGTGACAGTGTAGCATGCAATCGCTGAGATTCTACCCTGGCTCTCGTCCTCGTTATGAGCAGTTTCACAAAGCAGTTGCGAAGGGCGTCGGGTGCGTTCTTAAAGATGCTGAACCTTCCTTTTCGTTTGCTCTTAACAGTACGGAAAGGATGCCCTCGCAAAAGTTTACGCCGTCATCACGGACGGAGTCCTGCCTATGCCGACGACCACTATGCCCACACTCCCTAGCGGCGAGGTGAGAAGCTGGTCTATAAGGAGGGCGCCGGCTAGTATTCAATTTGAAGGCGAACGCACAACTCCGGAGAGACGCAGGGGTACGTGTCTCGTTTGCACGATTTGGGTTGACGAGTTGGTGCTTAGCAAATCTTTTGATCGGTCTAGCCGGATACGAAATCTATCTTCAACGATTCTCTTGTATGCAGGACTTCCGGACGCACGCCAAGAACCTCCTCCAAGCTGTTGGGCTGCTGGAAGATTCGCGATATGGGTGAGGGCGGTTCCTTCTCTTTTAAGCCAACCTGGATCACCTGGATCTATCTAACTGTCTAGTGCTTCGATGGTGCAAAGACAGCGCTTCCGGAAATGGAGTGTGCATGATTGTGCTGTTGTTTGAGCAATCGTCGGTCGACGCTGTGCTCAAGCACGCCAGCGTCTTCTGTCGAAAATCTGCCATGTAAGGATTCCCCATGATGAAATCCCCTCTCCTTGCAGAAACCGCGTCAAGCCCGCCCTCCTGAGAAAGGTCGACAAGTTCCTCAACCGGCTGCTGGGGATGGCTCTCCAGGATCAAGAGGTCCTGTTCAATTTTTTCTCAGACACCTTCGACGCAGTGGGTGAGTAATCTGCTGCTCTTGACATCCGGAGACAGGGTCGCTTGAAGGTCCCCTCCACAAAAACATGCACATCTTCCCGTCTTCGCAGCGCAACGGCTTTTTAGCGCGCTCCAATGTTTCAAAAACATGTGATTAACCTCCGTCCCTGCCACGTGTCCCTGCAGTCCGCCAGGAGAAGAGCAAGGGGCAGTTCGACGACGGCATCGTGTCCGTCAGCGCGGAGAGCACCAAGGTGGTCGATACCACAATCCTGCACAAGGACCCGGGCTCCGGAGCGCTGACCAAGCTGGTGAGGCAGAGATGTTCTCTCTAACGGCTACAATGCGTCCTATCTGGCTGGTATAAGGAGCACGCACACAGCAGTCGGGGCGGAAAGAAAAGGAGTTTTTCGACTTTCTATACCGGTTGGACGCGCCATTTCGTCCTGACTTCCGGGAAGAATCTCCTCCCGGATCTTCAACGGAACTGTTGTCCTGGTCGCAGGTGGCCCTCGAGCTGGACCGGGGCGTCTCATGGGAGGCTGCCGAGGCCAAGTTCCAGACCTACCTGCAATCCGACTACGCCGTGGATACGCCGAAAAACAGCTACTACATCGGCGACTGGAGCTCGAACATCGGAGGAACGGGTCACCCTTTCGTCATCCTGGCCATGGAGCAGCGCAAGGAATATCGGCGGTAAGGCGACCTCCTTTCGCCGCTATGCAGCGGGGTGGTCAGGCCTTTGAAGGTCGCTGCCAGGCCTTTCCAGGTAGCTTGCTCATGCTAATCTGATTGGAGAAGGGCCAAGTGGAAAGGTCGCTGGTTGTTGTTTGCCTGCCCTGATGCATTCCCCTCGTTCATAACCGTTGACAAAGTTCATCAGAGCTCTTTCAGTCTGGACCCTTGAGATTTTGATGCCCCTTTCTCCACAGACAATGCAAGTACTACCGCATCATCCGCCCTCACAACAACTGCGCCCCTGCAATCACCGAAGGAGATCTCGTCAAGTACAAAAAGGTCTCCAAAGAGAGGGTAAGTCCACTGTTGACCTGTCGCTCTGCTTTCACTCGCCTCCAAACCAGAGTTGCAATCGTGCAAGGACGTTTGGGCTCACGTCCAAGGTCACCTTCATATAGCACTCGCTTGCCAATCATTTGGTTTTCTTGAAGGCTGTCTATCTCTGTCGTCCTATGTTTTAATTCGGAACTCAACCACAGTGGTCTAACACGGAACTTTGATCGCGATGCAGGCGGAGAAGCACTGGAAGTTCTGGTACGCACACTGCCTCCAAGGCTGCCTCCATGGGCTCGGCTGCGTACGGAAGTCCCGGGGCGAGTTCTGCAACTACGGCACCCGCTTGGAGCAGATCCACGTCCTAACAGGTAAAGCCCCAAGTCGTTGCTGTCCGGGTGCGACCTTCTGTATCTGCTTACAAATTGAAAAGGAAGCCCAAGTAGACATGTCGATTCTTCAATCTTGCTGAGCAAGTCTGACAGGTCAGCAGCCATGGTGATATAAAAGGCTTGGGAGTGGAGGAGTAGGTATACTAAGCTTCATAGAATCGACATTCTTGAGAATGAACATCCTGACGATCGTCGAGAACGCATGCCTCAGCTTTGGAAGCTGGTAAATATCCTCATATCGAACGTCCCCTTAAAAAGTGAAGGCCACAGTGGACAGCATGGAGTAGTCCAAGTTTCCTTTTTCGATTTGCGAGTTTCAAGTGCTCTTGTCCGTTGCAGGCGCTGTGCTCCCTATCTGGAAGGACTACAACGACGTCGTCCTGCGGACCCACCACGCAACGGACTACAAGGTGCGGCTGGTTCGAGCGCAGGTCGACTCGGGCGAGCGCATCGTCGGCCTGTCTGCCAACGACCGGGAGGTTGACCGCTTGATGGAGCACCTGACAGAGAAGGGCGAGCTGTACGACAACGTGTTGGGCGGCCTGCAATGAGTGTCTGTCGCATCACTGCCAAATTGATGAGCTGATGATATCGAGTCTAGAAACGATATGTTGCTAAGGTTTAGTCTGACAAAGCGAGTAGCAGCTATCCAAAAAAGGTTCCGAGATTTCGTGGCCGTCGTAGAGTTATATTGAAAGCTGAAAAGTGCGGTCTGAAAACGTCAAAGCAAATACCGCTACAAATAATGGCGGCTGTTGCAGAGTTCTTGCCAGAAAGGAAAAGGAAGTCGTCTGATGATCTGAAGGAATTAAAAGCTATCTGGTCGTTACGACGGCCTGTGCTGGGTATCTATCTTGTCTGTCCACTGTTGTAGCCACTCGCTGTCACCAGAACTGCTTCAGGCGATCGCCAAGGTCAGCTTGCAACAGACCTTACATTCGCTCAATCGTATGCAGACAACGATGCGTGACACATATGTCATATTGATTTCTATGTTATCCGTATGCACACATATTCACACCCATGAAGCTGCATCGGCCTGCATAATGAGGCCCGTTGTCGTTGCGTGATCTATCTACCATGCATCATTTTCAAGGCCTGGTGGCATGCAGCACGGAGTCCCAATACAGCTATACCTATCACCGAATGTCGACTATATGATCGAGGGCACGGTCAACAGGACGTTCACGTCTTCACCGCGGCCCGCAGGCGAGCCGGTAGCAACTCTAATCTCGGGCATGAGCAGACAGTCAAATCCTTTTACTTAGGACTGCACATGAGCTATTTATACTCGACAGGCGCCGGCGAGCTTGTCCACGTCATGAAAGCTCGATCATATGTACATGACCGTCCGTCTCCATCGCACCGTCGGCCCATGAGATTTGTTTGGCTGCCAGCGGGCCCCCCCCGGTCACGGTAGACTCACTGATGCATCATATCTAGCTCTGCCGAAAGCCCCACGTGTAACTTGTCTTCACTTCATGGTTGTATGCAATGTAGCTTAGCTCCCCGTCCTCATATGTTATTAAATATTCTAGAATCTATTTTACCACGCCGGCCGCCTCAGTACAGCTGTCCGCACACCTTATCTGTACACATAAGAAGTCTAAGTTGAGAACCATACTCTACATGGCACGTTGCCGCAATTCCGTGACTGGCAAACTAGTCGCCATTTTTTCAGACATCTCACCCTAATATCTATCCTACAACCGTCCCACATTGACTACCCAAGGGAGACCCCGCGAGATCCGCCTTTTGCAAACCAGACCGGACAGAACTTAGCAGCTCTGACATTCTACCTTCTTCTCCGGTCACGTGAACCCATCGCTCAAGCGGTGCCTCAACTACTCGTCATTCAGCCTCAGCCACACGTGGCTCTACATATAGTACCTCAAGCTCCGCCCTCGAGCATCGTTTCCGCGAACCCCCATTTTGTAATAGCTCTTACTTGGCCTCAGGCCATTCCGGTCTCTCGACCTCTACTCCGTCGTCCGACATTCCGTCCAACAGATTCAGGTGCGTCCAGTCCGCTATCAGCGCCTCTTCCTGGCTCGCCGCGCTAGGAGGCGGCTGGGCCCCCGTGCGGAGAGGCGGCGGGGGTCCCCCGCTGGGAGGCGGCTGGGGCCCTTCGCAGCCCACATATGCCCCGTTGTTCCGGCAGTACTCGTACATAGCGCCCCAGCAGCGATCCTTGGAAACGAGGGAAAAAAGGGGATTTTAGCAGACTCTTCGAGGAGCCTTCGTGCATACGCCATGCCATTTTCGAGGAGAAAGTGCCTTGACCAGGCTTTGACCAGACTTTTGTAGAGTCCGGTTTCCAGAGGCCGTTTCTCAAACAGCCGCGCTTTTTCGGCATTCTCAGAAAAGGTGGACCTTACAATTCAGTCAACTTATCTTCAGAGGTCCGTCATACTCTTGCAGCCAGCAAAAGGACCGGCTTTCGTACAACAAAGAACAGAAAGCGCAGAAAGCTGCTCTTCGTCATAGCCACGGAAACCCTGAAGAACCCCCACCTGCGCAAGCACGTGCGGGTTCCCGATGATGATAAGCAGTGCCTGGGCGCGCGTGACTGCCACGTTGAAGCGCTTGGGGTTCCGCAGGAAACCCAGGTTGTGCTTCAGGTCGCTTTCGATGTGCTCCGCGCTGCTCCGGACCGTCGATATGATGATCACCCGCTTCTCCTGGAGACGTATCACAGAGCATACGGTTCAGAAACTGCGAAGATAGCCGTGGTTGTCGGAAGTTCTCGGGGGGTGTCTGCGGAGCTGTGTCCGAGACATGTGACAGATGCGATGCACACTTTGTCGCTTCCAGACGATTAAGAAAGGACGTAGAGCGCAGAAAGCCGAGTAAGCTTACAGTCCGATGATTGCTTTCTTATGCGACCATCCTACACATAACAGATCGACCTTCAAAGAGCCGACTTTTAGCCACAAAGCCGCAAAAGCATCCTGCAATTGTACGATAAGTTGTACTGCCGTACAGGAGAGGCTTATGATTTGATGAGAGTTCGTTTTGGAGCTTGACCTAAGCCAGTCCGTCGATCGCGGTGGCCGGCCTCTCCACAGCCACATCAGCCAAGCTGTTTGCTTCTCCCCTTCTGCCGAAACCTTGTCAAAGTGTCACCCTTCCTGGCCCCCGAACACCGACCTCGCAGCATCCTTGACCAAGAACATGGCGCACGGAACCATGGAATTGCACAAAAAGCAAATCGGAAGAGATTCTCAGTGGATAGCTCACCCGGCCCTGGAACTGCTCGACGCTGCCCACTTTGACCCCCGGGTGTTTGACTGTCAGCTGCTTATCGATCTTTTGTACCTGCTTCCGGTACGGCGAAATAACGCCGATGTCGCGCGCCAGCACCCGCGCGCCGCGGTTCTCGATGAGCTGAGTCACGTACTTGACGACCTGGCTGACCTGTATCAAGAGAGGGATCCCTTTCAAATACGAGGGAATTCCAATAAAGGCTTTTGTTTTGTCGGAGAGGTACAAAGGATGGTCACAACCAGAGACGAGGAGCAAAACGATCGAGTGCAATGAGCCGCTTGAACGTGGAGGTTGCCGAGGGCCTCCACCGGCAGGCAGTGAGAATGAGAGGTAGGAACTTGTACCGTTTGAGCATGGTTGTTCGACGAAGGATAGTTGGCGTCTGGATAAAGTAACACTCTGCTGACCACGCTTTGCTGGGCCCAAAGCCCTCTGGCCTTTGTTTGCCTAGGAGGCCTGATTACGCGACTTTCAGAAGACTTTGCTGCGATTAACCCGAAGTTTGGCTCGTGCAACCACCACGGCGAACGACACCTAACAGCTCGTCGCTTTCTCATTTCACCCCACTGACAAACTTAGTCGCTACTGCCAGATGTCATAACTCCAAAAAAGAAGGTCAAATGGTCGTGCTAACAAGGACAGGTGAATCACACAATTGCGCGTCTCCGCGAATATTGCAACTCTCCATGCGCTCTTCTGAGAGCTAATATTTACCAGGCTACGGGAACCTTTCTCCAAAATTATTTCGAGCGCTCAGTAAACACTTCATGGGAGACGAATCCAGATGATAGATCATCGATCCAAGCGAAAAGGTAAGGTCCGTGCACTCATGCGAAGGTTACGAGCTGACCTCGGTCGGGTTAAACCACGAGGGGCTGTTCCCCTCCCGCTCGTCCCGCCCCTCGACGCCGTGGAACAATATCGGGAACTCGTCCCGGTTAGGCAAACTCGCCCAGTTGGTTAGCGATGACCGCAGGGCCTCGTCGGCGCAGGGGACCAGTTCGTCCCGGTAGAACATGCGCGACGGCAGCGCGAGGATGGCGGGGTGCGACCGGTAGTTGCGCACCAGGCGCGTGATGAACCGGGGGTGGTACTCGGAAGCGGGCCCTTCGGGAGAAAAAAAAAACGTTTTAGACTGTCGTATAGGCGGAGGGAAGTCGAGAGAAGTTATCAAGAGTCGGCTCGCAGAAGAAAAGAGCGACGTCTTACAAAAGCGAAGCGGTTTTCACGTCTGCATTCAAGGCCAGTATGTATGCCAAGACACCGAGCCGTTCCGTTCCGATACGCCTGCAAGAGACAACCAAAGACACGGCCGACTGCTCCTCCGAGGCCAAACCAATCTCATGCCGCTTCCTCTTCAACAACCACTTGTTTCAGAGGGTCTGAAGACCACACGGCGCGAAAAGACAATACGCTGTCGGGAGCGGCTGTATGCGCTCACCCCAGGGCAGATAAGGCGCCTGCATCGCGAGCCGCTCCAGGTAGCTCGTCTCCAGGCCCCGCCCGGCGGCCATTTTGGACCGTACGATGGGCCCCAGCTGCTTATGATCGCCCGCAAGAACGACGATGCTCGTCTTATCCGCAAAAAGTGCGATTGGAATGAGGGCCTCGGTCTCGCGGGCGTGGCCAGCTTCGTCAACGAACACGTGGCTGAAGTGGCCACGTGGCAGGCCCTGGGCGTGCAGAAGCGAGGCGGAGCAGCAGGTGGAGATGATGACACGTGGGCGCGCCAGGGCGGCCGCGTCGGGGATGGTGAAATGGCCGAGCGCGGGGTCGAAGCTGCGGGAAAGGATCAGGAGCAGAGGCTTCATTTCGGGGAAATCGAAACGTGCCGAAAGTGTACGTGGTCGCGCGAGGACTCGGAAGACGACATACATTCGCGAGTTAGACCGTGGGCTTCACAGAGCAAACTACATACACAAGAAGGTTCCACGGTTGAGAGGCAACGTGTCGAGGCAAGAATGCGTAGAGCTGGAAATCAAGCAACTCTCTGTTATGACCGCCGTTAGGATCGACTAAAATTGCAGAAGAACGACATACATTAAGCAGCAGAAAGAACCGGAGCTAGAGGAAGGCAAAAAGCGCCCACCTGCAGTACTCCAGTAAGCTGGCCTCCAGCTCGGTTGCACTCCGCGCGGGTGCGTTGAGCCGGTACAGCTCGCGCTTCTGCACGTGGCCCCGCAGCCGCTCCAGGATGACGTCAGCCGCGAAGTTGGAGGGGGCGCACGCCAGGATGCGCGACGCGGGGTCCGCACGGAGCACCTGGAGAGCGACAACAGCATGACGTCAGCATCAAAAGAAAGAAAGAGAAGCTGAGATCCGAATGGACGCCAATCAATTGATCTGCCAGTGTTTTGGGTTCGGTCAAATCATCTCATCAGTGACCTCTGTGCGCGGTGTGCTCAGTGACCATTTTTCTTGCTCTGCTGGAAAGGAAGCGAAGTCGAAATTCATACACAAGTGTCCGTTCTGAGTGCCCCGTAAACTACGATCAGCTAAATTGCTCTGAAACTTCGGCTCGATGATGAACTGGTTAGTCTCGAAGTTATAGAATCTTGGAGCGAGGCTTCTTCAACGTGTCTTGTATTTCAGTCTTGGCGAAACTACAGGTCAGGCTGCCTCACCTGGAGCATGGCCTCGATGCACGTGTTTGTCTTCCCCGTCCCGGGGGGGCCGAACACCAGGTACGGGCAGCCGTTCGCTGACCCCCCGCCAGCGCGGTTCAGCACCTCACTTACGGCGCCCAGTTGTTGCTCGTTCAGCTCTTTGTTAATCGGCTGGAAGTGGGTTGGTCTGTACGGGATTGCGTTAACCCAGTCCGAAGTGGCCGGGAAAAGGAGCCCCGGGGGCAGCTTGGCAGACTCTTGGATGGCCTCGTGCTCCCGGCGGATCGTCACCCGGTTAAAGGTGAAGCGGACGTTAACCCGTTGACCGGGGACGAAGGCGGCGTGGAAGGAGAAGTGGAATTTGAGGACGATCTCTTCCAGCCGCACCGCATGAACACAACCCTGCGAAATGAGGAGACGGGTTTGGTGGTGGGTCAGCTTAACAGTTAGCTGGTCTCAGATGGTTTGCTTAATCTTGCTTCTTCTGTACATTCTCTTGCATGTGAGTTTACTTCAGGTTGTATCCAAATGTTTCTCTAGCCGGAGATACAGTGTTACGATTGTTGTTGAACTCCTAGAAGCAGGAGGAAGAGTCTGAAAGGACTGAAGAAGCCAAAAAGCTCAGCAGTTACCACAGAGGAGTCTAAAATGCGCGAACTGCTCTGCATTTGAGGACTGTCACTGGCAGGACCCTTGGCATAAGGATACCTCTGGTTCTATTTTTATGAAATGCAGCCCCAAAATCAAGCATCCACACGTGTGGCTTTTGGCTGTTCTGTGCAACCACACAGATGTTTGCAAGATCTTCCTGGTTATCAGGGCAGGATGAAATCCAGGGGCACCGCGCCTGAACCAGTTCTCGTGTAGTTTGAAATTAAAAAGAAAAGCAAATGTCTCTGAGCTGACTGGAGTATAGTCATCAAAAGATGGCCAATCTACACATCCTTTTACACGTTTCGATAATTGCATGAAGAAGATGCAGCTTACGCGTTTACCTCAAACTCCTTCTTAGGCTGTCCTGGAAGGTGCACAAACACGCGATCTCCATACAGCACGGAGGGGCGCTTTTCCGCCAGTCCTGGGACCTTGAGCGCCAGAAAGCCAGCCCCCGACCGCTGCAGTTCAGCTCCCTCCATGTTGAACGTCTGGATATCCACCTATAGGAGAACCACGTTCCAGTTTGTCTTAAGAGCTGAGAGCTCAGATAATGAGGTGGTTTGGGAGGGCGCCTCAGAGTGTCCTTCCATGCCAGTTTACTTGCTACTGGGTAGGGTTTGATGAGAGACTTTGGGGAATGGGAAGGAGTACTCTAGTAGAGTTGCAAATCTTTCAGGGTGTGCCTTCCTGTGCCATGTTCCCAGTCACATTGAGGGTCTTTCTAATACTATCCGGCATTGAGAGAACCCCGCAAGGAAAGTGACGTCTTATGGAAGCTCGGTTTGTGTTCGTCAGCATAAGGGCCTAGTGCACTCTCATGGAGCTTCAAGTCAAACACAACCAACAAGACCAAGTTCTATGGCTGGAGTCCTGTCACTTTGCACACAGAGCTTCCACATATCCCCTCATACAGAGGGAGGGTTGTACGAATGTGGCATTGTCAACTGCCCCATCCTTTACACAAAGAGCACATTGAGGACAAAGAGCACAAGCGCACAAAGAGCTTCCAAGTTTGTTACCCAAACCGCGTAAGAAAGGGGTCTACCATGAATTGTGACGTTTTGCAGTAACAGTTTCAGATCTGGGCCAAGAGCAAGCTAGTCTGGGTAAGATGTGACAGGTACATTGGCCAGAAACAGGCGCTCTCTAAGATATCACGCTGACAATGAGATCTATGAGAATTGGGTCACAACATTGTCACAGAAAGGCAACTTGAAGGCAATTTTGACCTGCAACCTGGTGTTGGCCCGCAACGTGTCTCAAAGTGTCAGCTTGTGCCCCACATTTGGACTAGCCTTCGTAGTACCTTCACTAGACCAGGCAGAACCTTGTACTGAACATGTTACCTTGTGTCACCGGACTCAGAATCTTTTGAAGAGCCACTTTGAGTCACTCCCAACATTCTGTAAACGGACTTCCAACATATGCAACTCCTCCCAAGACTTCATAAAAGTTCTCCCTCTAATGCTGCAGACTCTCTGTTTACTTACCCCCATCTGCAGTTCCTCCACATGGAGCAGCGCCCCCATCCTGTTCCTGTAGTTCTCCGCACTCAGTTCTTCTTCAAGCACCGGCGGCTCCTCCCCCCTGCTAACCGCATTCCTAACCCCGGCCGGTATCCTATACTCTGGAAGCCTGTTCTGGTACTTAGTCCTTGGCATAGGTGGGGCCTCTCCAGGCACAATTTCTGCTGCCGCCTCCACCAACGGTTTCCTTGTAGGCTTCACGTAGGGCCGTGCGGGAGCGCTGGCTCTTGCCACCTCGTCCTCCACCAGAACTAGTATGGAGCGGACAACCTTGAAACCCGCAAAGACAAACATAACCGCTGTCTGATGGAGCCCCAACGCCTGGGGGGCGAGCGTCACGGTGACCCTAACCCGCTGCCCTGGGCTGATGGTCATGGGGAATTCTCCTCCAATGTCTATGGAGAAAGCACCCTGGGGGCGCATTATGGGTGTGAAGACGCTCAAAATCACCAAAGGCTTTTTACTGACATTTGTCACATCAAGATAGTCGACGGCTGTCGTATCAGTGTCGATGGAGTGTGGCCGGCTGCAAGCCTTGTCAGCAGGAAAGGGCCATGTGATACTAACATTTGCATGACCTGTCAACGCTTCATATCCTAGCGCCCGGAGCTCCCTTCTCAGCCCCACCTCTCCTTCTGCTTCCGGTTCTGAAGAGTTCCCCACTGAAGCAAATGTGCTGCTCAGAAGCTCGGCAGACCTTACCCTAATGACATTGTCCTGCCATTTGACCCTCGGGCCACGTCTTGCAACGACGAAGCCTGCCCTCACAAGCTCTTGTATGGCGTCGAAAGGAGAGAGGTACACCCCCAGGCTCTGCCATGTGGGATGGGCCCTGAGGTCGAGGAACACAGACTTGAGCTCATTGCGCGTGGAAGGCAGCGGCACATTCCGGCCAACGACCCGGCCAACAACGTAAGCGGCAATACAGAGGCCGAGGTCGACACCTGCTGGAGCGTTCCTGGGGGCCATGGTGTGCAATGCTGTCCCGCCGCTGCGCTTTGGAGCGCCACTCTTCAGCGAAAATGAGCTTTTGAAAGCACTCCCTCAAGTTCAACGAAGGAGGTCAGGGACTCTGGCCAGCTCAGGCCCACTGCAGGGGTTTTTGGCAAACCCAGACCGGGTTTGGGAAAGTACCAGTACCTTCATTGGGACCCGTATTTAACTTAACCAAGTTTAGTTAGTCATCGCCTTCGTGAAGATTCAGAATCTCTTGGAATCTGGCGCCCCCAGTCACAACTCATTCAATTTCAAGTTGTCCAAATTCTCACTTCTTTCTGGACACATCAGAGCGCTATTGCTGCCTTTCTTCTGAAGCTTGAATCGTCCTCTTCCCTCCTCTCACGATGGCCAACACTGAGCAGACCTACATTATGATCAAGGTGAGTGAACGGCTGGATTTCGCGATCTATCCATTGCGGTGCGGCAGGGTTTGGAGCGTTATGTTGCTGCTTTTTCAATCTGGTATGGAGGCCGGTCAAACGCCAGACCTCTCACTGTCTTGCCTTTACTTCCTCCGGCTGTCTTTCTGCATTCAAATTCCTGACTGTGAGTCATCATCTTGCCTTGCAGCCGGATGGAGTGCAGAGGGGCCTGGTAAGTCCTTTAACATCTTAGCTCCAACTTACAAAGTTCTCTCTCATCCTTTGCGTGCGCTCTGGTGCGATCAAACAGATCCTGTTTAGCAACTGCGTGGCAACCTTCATTCTATCTGAAAGATTGTTTCCAGAAAGCTCAAGGGCGCTGATACTCTTTCTGCCACCGTGGATCACCATTTTGTAATGCGATACTGATTGATTTCCAGCTGTGTAGCCAATAAAATGAATGTTGACGCAGGTCGGTGAGATCATCAAGCGCTTCGAGCAGAAGGGCTTCACGCTCAGGGGTAAGGCTTGGACCGGTTCCTATTTGTCAATTGTGAATGTGCTCTTCTGAGACCAGTACATTTCTGGCATCAGTCTTGCGTGAACCCTAATATGTCACTTCGTTGTTTCCATGAGCATATGCACCAATCGCATTTATGTCCTTCTTTCCTCCAGTCTCCGTGGTCTGCAGCTTAGTTAGGCTGATGTTTTGCGATGGATCGGGTCGGACCAAACTTACCGAGAAGCTCTGGGGCGTCCTGGTAATGGTAGCTGGCAGTTGTGTATACTGTTAGAGGTTGCAGGCTCCTGCCATCAGAGACCTGTCCAGCTCGGAAGCAGCATAACCTGATTCTCTTTACGAATGTCAGATATTCCACATCAGCGGTGCCCCTTTCAGCAGGGGAGTTTTGGATGGATAGTATTACCTGCTCAAGGCAGCAGTCAAATTCTGGTGAAAGAGGATTGACTAAGGCGAGACGCAAGCTGTTTCGTGTTTCTCTTCTCCTTGGTCACCCTTGTTGAAGAAGAGGAAGTATCTGCTGGGGGGTAACTTTGATGAAGGTGCAAAGCAAGCACAGAGTCGAATCATGAACACTGCTGTTACCGAGTGATCAAGACCGCTCTTACAAAGAGTGGTTGCGAAAGAGGAGGTCCAACGAGCTGAATCTCTAAGGAAGTTCCGTCAATTGCCTGATCTTCTGCCCCGGCTGCAGCTCTTGAGCTCAAGATGGTGGACCGCGCCCTGGCTGAGAAGCACTATGAGGACCTCTCCTCCAAGCCTTTCTTCGCCGGGCTGGTTGACTACATCCTGTCGGGCCCCGTTGTTGCCATGGTGTGGGAGGGCAAGGGCGTTGTGCTGACTGGCAGGAAGATCATTGGCGCCGTAAGTTGCATGCTATCATCTATATTTGATGTAATGGACCTTAGTGTTTTTTCTGGTCCTAATCACCAATTTGCAGCAACGGATTCCTTCTTTGGAAGATCAGTTCATTGGCCTGAAGGCACAAGGCCTTTTCCTTTGAAGTGTGCCCTTGTGTTTGCCCTCTCGAAACCTCTTCGTTCGACCTGGCATTACGAGCTTTTCATTTCTTGGATCTCCATAGGTGCTGGCATGAAATCGTTTGAACTCCTGTACATTGGAGTATTTATATATGAACAGGCTGGAATCGGACCACCACCAAATGCCTGGTATGCTTTGCTCTTGCATAGTTCAATGTTGAACCATTTGAAGTGCATTGGAAATTCTAATTATCCAGATTCGGTTGCTGCAATATTAAACCATGCCAGCTGATCCAAAATGCATCGTTTCCCTCCGTACAGACCAACCCCGCCCAGTCAGAGCCGGGCACAATCCGTGGTGACTATGCGATTGACATTGGCAGGTGCGTTCAATCAGGGTCGTCACGCTTTTAGTTAGCTGGTCTCTGCTTGTTCGGCCAAGACCGTGCATGACCCTACTTGAGGCTTATGCATCCGCTTGTCAGTGCTTCCGGTAGGCTTGTCAATGCTTCTGGTAGGCGTGCCTAAGGATTCTCCTTTCATGACATCTATGCAGTCCGTTGAGTCCAGGCCCATTTGATCTTCCGATCCAGATTTGGTTTTGACCATCTCCCTCGCCCATCGCTCTTTTAGGAACATCATCCACGGAAGCGACGCTGTCGAGAGCGCACAGAAGGAGATTGCTTTGTGGTTCCCTAGCGGCGTCGCTCACTACGCCACTGCCCTGGCCCCCTGGATCTACGAGAAGCCATAAAGGAGTCACTTTGACTGCACAGGCAATAAAGGTACGTTGGAACCAGAGAGTACTTAAGCACGCGGGATGTTCTTTCTTTGACCCAAAATATGGACAATTTTGTTCTGGACGTTGAGAACTGCCTTCTGTATGTGGTCAACGGCTGCATCCTTAGAGTCGGCGTTACTATGTGGTTGGCATATGAATGCTGATGCAGCTAGATGCGCCAGCATATCAGCATGATTTGGAGCAGTCTCGTTGGACTGTGGCATCAAGGGAATGATGGCAGACTTTTGAGCATGGTTTGGGCAATGGTATGAAACGGAGAATAAACAGAGCTCAAGGCTTGATCCACGGTTTCCAAAGTTCTATGCCAAAGCTTATCTGCCCAAGCCTATATGCTTGTTGACTTGGCATTTGGGGTTTTGCCGGGTGATGCATGCATATGTGACACTATCATGGTAGAGCTCCCATCAGGTTATTTGCATGGGCGGCCCTCGCAAAACAATTTCATGCTTGCAATCCATTAAATGCATGTTTAACATGTGCACCAGACTAAGACGCGCGCCAGTAGTGGCGGCTCTATGTACAAATGAAATTTTATATACCTGCAGTCCGTATAGCTAGCCATGTCGAATGCATCAAGCATTGGGCTGGTGCGTCGAACGATCAGCGGCAAGCATCGATCTGAATATATGAGATGGGAATGGTACGGTATATTCATGCCACTCAAAAATTAAGCATCTGAGAATTAAATGTTATATCAAACCGCGCGCAAGCTGGCACTGGGCATGTAAGATAAGGCTCGACCGCAGCCGGCATAAGGTGTACGCGCACATATAGTACTAACCAACTTAAGCTGGCTAGCAATTCTGATCGGATTTGCGAGTATGCTATAATGTAGCATCCACGGGCCTCACGCGAGCGGCCCGCAGTGGCTGCTTTGCCGTGCGGCCGAACAGAACAACACATCGATCGAGAGCATTCCGGTCTCACGTTGATTCAGTGAAGCCCGTTAAAGCGCGCTTTTCGACAAAACTTTATCATACTCGGGCTTTATAGCCATATGCGGATTCGACAGTACATATAACGGCTGATCTCACCAGGATTTGCCCTACCAATTCTCGCCTTATCTTCTGCGTGTCGACAGTTTGTATGCAGCAAAGCAGCAAAAAGCGACCAGCACAACATGCAGAAGAGGGCCCAACGCACTTGTTGGCGCGGACTGCAGCAGTCAAAGTTCAACATCAGTCTTTCATAAGGGACTACGAGCAACCCCTGCAGTGCGGGCAGGATAATGAACAAGTGCACACCTTTGGAATTCAGCCAGATCTGGCTCTTTGTTTGGGTTCGACCGAGTTGCGGCCGGACCATAAATTCTCAAGGAAACTCAGAACCGCAGCCCTACTCGCTCTCGAAGCTCTGCTTCCTGCTCTCTTTCTCAGGAGCCACCCCTGCTTACGAACCTTTCTAGAAACGATACCTGGCATACGGAGGACGCAAACAGGATCAAAAGTGGAGCGAGTCTAAATTCCGCTTCTGAAGACGTACGTGCATGGAGAGTGGCCTACCAGAGCCTCGGCTGACGCAAGCAGTGAAAGAACTCAGAGAATGTCGTAATCACGACTATTGCGGCAAGCTTGCACTCTCCGAACGTGTCGTAATCGTGTGCCTGTGACCGCTACCTCTGGCTGGCAGACGGCAGGGAAGGAAAAAGCCCTTCTTACCGTTTCGCTGGCGAGATCCTCTAGCTTTCGTAACCGTCCTTCCGAGCTGACTTCGTCGCCCTCTCCGTTCACACCTGCACGGGGAGCTGTCGTCTCGAATACCCCCAAACGTCTCGACGCCACGAACAACTTTTGAGAGCTGGTTGCAGTAATCAAGTGGACGGGCAATCGCTAATGTTTTTCAAGTATGCAAAACGGCAGATAAGTGACAGAACTATTGACATGGTTAGTGAAAGAGAGTCATCGAAGCCCACACCGCTTGACTAAATCGACCGTGCTACAGATCTTTTCGTTGAAGAAGACTATGGGTCTAAGCTGGGCACGGTCGATACTTGTGAGACTGAGCATGGGGCGTCAATTTCGTAGACGACAAGAAGAGAAGCGCCGACTCACTGTACACGTACGTGCTTAGTATTGTTATCCGCTCCTTCGGCTGCAAAACGGGAGGGTGCGAACGGTTTAGTCAAGCTGGCGCCGCAGGCATGAAGCAACCTTTGAACTGTAGGCTCTTCTTGACTAGCATTCTGGGGTTTCGAATGCGGGTGTCCGCGTCGCCCCTAGAAGCGAGTCGGCAACTCACCTCCTGGCGTTGAAAAAGCTCTCGATGAAACTAGAGCGGGTGGCCCGTTCGGTGCGTAGATTGGCTGTGCTATAGAACCGCCGTACCACTGCCTATCCTTGCATGAAAGCAAGCCTCCGCGGCCAACAATCTGGCGCATATGAATCTGACCTCGTTCTCACTCACAAGCCCTCCCTTTCAGTTGTTCCATAGATGCCTACAGAAATTGCACGGATATACCCATTGAATGTCACTCCTTGACTCAGCCGCTGCTTAGGCACATCAGGAGTTGGGCTTTCCACGCAGAGTAAATGAAGGTGCTGGATTGATCCGAAAAGAAGGAGGTGCATCCGCGCCTCACCATGACGAAGATGCCCTCCGTCGTGGTCTCGACCTGAACAGAGAACGGAAACCGTTTCTTACAATCCTGCGCAAACACTGCATAATGAGGTCTGCTCAACGATTCAAAGCACATTCGCAGGCAAGGCGATTATCAAGTCACGTGATAGTTGCAGAAAGCCAGAGGCGCAGCTGTGAATGTCCTCCAGCTTCTACCCCCTGGAGGCAGATGGAACTCGGATGCCAACAGCAGTCTAGCAATGGAAACAGTCGACGAGTCGGCCAGCCGAACGTGGGTGCGCAACTCACGAGCTCCATCCGGGCCAGGACTTCGTCTCCACGTATTACCCTCCCAAAGATTGCGTACTGCAACAGAATGGCTCAGTCAGGAAAGGGCAAGGGTCAATTGACCACGAAGCAGCAGGATCTGGTCAGACCGTGAAAACCTCATGAGCAACCAGTGGACCCTTTGGAGCCCGTGTGCAAATATTGACCCTGGCAGCAAAAAGATTTGGCAGCTTCCTTAGTCATTCCACTGCGGAACTGCGGTCATTATTCTGCTTCCCAGTCGATCTGGGCGGTGGGGACACACGGTGTTGGTCAATGGGAGCACGTGCGAGAGAGTGACGGTGTTGGTAATCAAAGGTACGAGAATGGATTCAAGGTTTTCGAGGAGGCCTTAAGACTTACATTTCCATCAAGGTGGGGGGCATTGCCCAGCAGAATGGAGAAACTCGACTTGCCACTGTTGGGGTCGTCATGCCTGTCACGGACGAGAGCGTCACTCCAGTCGGTATGTGCGATTGAAGTGACTTCTGGTGTGGACTCTAGAGGCCCACAGTCAGAGAAGTGAAAGGGTCTGAGCCGCCATTTAGAATCACCATACATTCCAGATCATAATCGACCTGCCAGAAAACATTCGGCTCGAACAGCTTGGATAAAGAAAACATTTGTGCATGAAAGCAAGAGCGGCAAGGCTCTTTGCTCTTGCGCAAATCCTATTGAACCAGTTAAACGCAGCTACATGTAAGTTACTGCTGAAAACATCGTCAATCAAAGTAATGAATTCAGGAACAATCTCTCAGAGAATGGCCGACGATGTGGCAATCTCTCAAACATCGTGCTTTTAATCACAAGGCCCTTGTTGTTCTGCTGTGTTATTAGGCAAGAAGAACTGGCTCAACTTTGAACGCTGTAGGCTTCTCTGACACAATTCTGAAATCATTTTTATCTTAAGGTGTGTCCTTCATATCTTCCTGACAAGAAGGCGCTTCATTCCAACTTTCTCAAAATAGCTGGAACAGATTGATGGCCACCTGCCATCACTTATGTGCAGAGTTGCTTGAAAGTTTCTTGATGTGACAATCCTTACCTGGCCATGGAAAGTATGCCCCTGACGTGTGGCACATCTGTGGTCTCTCCCGGGATTGCTTTGTCCCCCTCCTCCAATTGCCGAGCGTCTAGCTGCACCTGTCTGCCCCCCACTACATCTGCTATTTGCGCCACAAAGCCCTTGTCAACCTGCATCAGAAAAAGGTACTAGATCTGTGAGGGCCTTAGCAACACTAAGGGTTGATAGTTGCAAAGGGAACTTCAATACGACAAAGTGGTTCACGTCGATACTGAATCATGCCCCTGTTTCATGTTGGAAAGTCATTCCCTCCTTCAAGGCAGTCACAGTCATTCTGGTGGTCCCAATGATCAGGGATTGACAACTCCTAGAAGCCTTTAAATAGTGATGATTCGATACCCCATCAGTCAAGTCAACTGCGACTGATCCTGATCTAGTTCCAAAGATCACTGGTGATTTTAGGACAATTGGTGGGGCTCCCTCACCATGTAAGGCACCAGTCAAGGAGAATGCTCACTCTGAAGAAGTGATTTGAGTTGTAGCAGCCCAGTTTAAAGAGCTTTAAGATGTGAGCGGCTGTAATGGGGGCCAGCTTGGGGAAGAACGCCACTTCAATGTCCCCCATGCTTGTCTGTACAGGGGAAGCATTGATACAGATTTGGTCTCTGCTTTCACGTTTCTACAGAGGCACATTGATAAGCAAATGGTCAATGCTACTAGAACCAAAGTCTGCTGCTCGGCTATTGCAGGCCTTTCGCAATGCTAATAGAATTGTCTCATTCGACAGCGTGCAGGTATGCATTCGCACCAGGGTCAGCACTGCATTTGCAGCGAGCTCAGCTTGTTTAAAGAAGACAGGTCTTCTGGAGCTTCATTCACCTGCAGAACAACGCGTTCATCCCCCAGCTCTGTCCGGGGGTCTTCCGCTGTGACAGAGCTTGTCAAGAAGAGGAACAAGATCAGAAACCTCAAAGCCCCCGCTCCATTGCTCTTGCCTTCCATGACGCGTCGCCCAGCCTTTCCAGAACCAACTTACACTCTGATTTCGGAATGTGGCTGAGAGTCAGAGCTCACAAACAATCAGTTGCTTCGTCAATTCTTCTGAAGGCTCAAGCTGGGCGGCAGCAGGCGCGGCGTCGCGGGGCCGCCGCGGCCGGCCCGGCCAGAAGGGATTACCACGTGGTATGACCATGTGGACCACGTGGTAGAGAGGTTCCGGTTCCGATCCGGCCAGGCCGAAGGATCAGCTCCGGAGTTGAAACCACCCGTTGGCGCCGTTGACGAACGGCGGGTCGCGAGCGTTGAAAGTACGCTTTGCTTCGAGTATCTCACATCCATCATGCACTCACAAAACGAGGCCGACTATCCGCAGCACGAGACCGGCATGTACGGAAAGCAATGAACTAAGAGACTAAGACCTTCACCAGTGTAAGCCAGTCTTAAAGATGGTTTTGGAGTGAAGCGGGTTGACCCTCGGCGCTTATGTCCTTTTGCAGTCCTGTCGACCTATAAGAAGATGCGCGGATCTGGCGAACACGTGCGGGAGAGCTGGCAATTGGCACTCAGGACCTCCTGGCGGAAGGGCCTTGAAACTCCTTGCAGGACAGAGAACAGATGCACGATACCCTCTGGTCCTCATGCAGGCGGGCCATCGCAAGTACCTGAGAATGTTAAAATGTTCAACCGTTCAGAAACAAATCCTAAGCTATCAAGGATCTCCACCCCCTGCGATCATTCTTAGCTCAATCTCTGGCTCCAATGAACAGTTGGCAGAAGCTTTGACTATGTGGCCATACCCGCAGACTCTCAACAGCATTTCGCTGAACCAGGAGGATTACTTGGCGCCAAAGCTTGTAAGCAGCATCTGCTCTGACAAATTATGAAGTAAGTGGACATAAGACAACCTATCCTGTAAGGGTGATCGGAGGGCGGGTCCGCAAGCCTGTAACAAAAAGATGGAGCCGCAAAAGCCTTTTGCCGAGATTGCTGCCCGTGTGGAGGCGTTCTGTGGGGAGCTTCAGCCCCGCTACTTAGACATCCTGAGCAGCCTTGGCTCCTCCCAGTCAGTGGTCATTGATGGCGATGCAATTCTACTTCAGGCCCTGACGGACTCTGACTTGAGCCTGAGCGAGGGGGTTCAGTGGGCACACTTGTTCTACCTGGTCGAACAGACGGTGCTCCCGTTCCTGGAGAGGAAGGCTCGGCTCCAGGTCGTCTTCTTCAAAGATCAAGAGGTGGGATCTGCTTCTGATGACCATTTTGCACCCTGTTCGTCTGCTTTTCGTCGGAGTGACCCTTTGAGGAACTTTCGTTCCCTGTACCGCGACTCTATTTTGTAAAACAGCGGCGACGCTTGTTTCAGCTTAGGTGACGGAAATCTCGCCTTTGCTTTGCTGCAGTTTCCAGCGTGCACACCAGCTTTTGGGAACACTTTTTAACCTTTGACGTTTTCGGAAGGATCTCAAGGGCAGGTCGCTTCCTGCCTATGTGATGCACTGAAGCTCCTTGCTGAACGTTTGAGTCTTCACGTGGTCATTTTCCCACACTTTTTCCGGTTCACGCTTCCGGATCGTTTTTTCATCATTACTCCAATAAGATTTGGGACAATATTGCTGTGGTCCTACCATTTCAGCCAGACTGAGTCAACGGAAGGGTCCTCATCGACCAAGCTTACAGAACTTTCCTCCAGGCTCTGAGCTCTTGCTCAGCCTACCAGAACCGTTGTAACACCTTGCTTCAAACGTTGCAGCTCTTCTACGCGCACAACCCAGCACTGCAGCTGGCGCGACGTGCCGTTGTGCGCCACGTGGCAGTGAACATGGGCGTGAAAGTCGTAGACGACATTGACAACTGGTGGAGCCGCCAGTGGGCTGCCTTCATGGCTGGGCTGGCCCCCGCGTTCCTCATCCTCGACGACGGAGAAAAGACGTCCGTTCCGAATCTCGACCTGGCAGGGCGACAGGTGTGCAGCTATGAAACTACACCTTGCGACTTTCTGTCTCCATCAAAGACGAACTTTTCGAAAGAGAAGCTGCATCTTTGTTTCTTGTAAAAGCCTGGTATCGGACTTGCAGCCAACGTGAGGCTTGAGCTGCTACTCCGTGCTTCGTCAGTTCTGGTTGAGAAGAGTCCCTTTGAGATCTCCCTTAGCCAATGGCCTCGTTTTCCGGATGTAGGAAAGGCTGTAGAACCTTACGACTTAGTGGAATCGTCAGGCTGGTTAGAATGCTGAGGACTGGTGTCCTTCGTATTTATCAAGCTTGAGAACCCACGAGGAAGAGCTTGCCGCACTTTGGTTCAATGTCACCTTGAAGTGCGGAGCACTTTGTCGTCTTCCCTGCAAGCTTTGCTGAAGGGCTCTGCTTAAGTAGTGCGTATATATTGACTGGGTATTGGGTCTCTAGCAAGCGAGAATACTGGACCTGTCGACCGGCCTCATACTATCAAGCAGGATGCTACTTCAAATCACCATAAGCATCCCCTGATTGGGACGGCAGAACGAGGCTTTCCGATTAAAGCTGATGGACGATGCTTTTCATCTTGTGCCTACAGGTGGAGCGCAACAAGAGCCGCGCTGAGAGGCTGCGGCTGGCTCTGCATTCCTTTCTGGTCCATGCTCTGATAAGCGGACAGGTGGGCATTTACAGTCTGGTTATAGGCCGCCTCTTTTTGTTTTACCGTGAATTCAAGCTGTACCTCGCGGTCAAAGTTTACCCCCATCAAATTACGTTCGAAGACTGCGGCTCTACCTAGCAAAGGAGGACAAAGCTGTGGGCTGCTTACAGAGGTCATAAATCTACGGTTGGTTATCTTGACGTGAACATCTTCGGCAAGGTACCCGGGAAACAAGGATGGCTTTTCCGATTATCCTCTTCGTGGCCTTGTCCAGTCTAGCTTGGTAGCCTGCTCGACAGAAGGGCACAGCTTCTTCGAGGAAAAAGTAGCAAGGCAATCTCTTTTTTGGGGGCGATCTTTTACTACGAATCCCAAATCCCCTTACTACGAATAAGGGAGTTTATTGCAAGTCCTTTGACCTTTCCTTCTTTGCCTTATGAGGGTAAGTCGACCGCGGATATCATCTCCGGTTGTTTAGAAGGCATGCCTAATTCAAACCCCATATCTGCCGAGAGCAAAGGCAACTGTATCCCCTACATAACGGCTTTTCAAACAGAGTGCTTAAGTATTGCTCATGATTTGAACCATAGTCTGCGGCACGACCCTCCGTCAAGACAGATGCATTCTGTCCTGCAGACCTGTGCGTTCCTGAACCAGAGCACCTCGAAAGACCACTCCATCCTGGCCTTCACTCTCGGACCGCGCTCCTCCAGCCGCTTACCACAGGGACACGTCGGAGCGCTGGGGAGGCACCTCGCGGAAGTGGCGGGGCAAGAATCAGGGGATGACGGTCGGTGAATCTGCTTAAGTCATTTCAATGCCCTCCTTGAAGAGTTAGCCGCCCACACTTGAACGCTAACGAGCCTCCCTTGGAGCGAGAGGTCGTTGAAACAAAGTCTAGATCAAAAGCACCGGGTATCAAGCCACGCCTAAGTCTCTGAAAGCAGTCGTAAATACGGTGCCGACCCCCTATGTCGCTGCTCCTCCCGTCTATCTGACTGGTATTACATCTATGGCGCATCTTCGAACAGGACCCAATCTCATGGAGGAGTGATGAAACAATTGAGCCCCACACTTGACGCAAAACGTAGCTTGTAACCTCTTCCGATACAAGGAACTATCTTCAAGGTCCCGCCTGATTCTTGCAGGCGTGGAAGGGCACAGAGAGGACGCTAGGAACTTCCTCGAGCTTTCCTGCAGTCTCGCGCACGAATTGATGCAGAGCAACGATGGAGAAACGGTGTCAGTGGACGCGGCGACTTTGAGCATCTTGTGGGCGTGCGCGCGCATCCTGGAACAGGGTCGCAACCTCGAGGTGAGTTCGTTAAATCTTTCCTCTGTCTTGTTTGTCATGCGTCATGAGAGAGTCTCCGCATGCTACAAAGTCGAAAGCCGTGAATACCTGCCCGGTACGCCTTTAGCACAATGAACTTCATGAGCTTATGCCTTCGTCGAGAGAACTGTCCATTTTGAAAGGGACTGAAGTGACGATTCACATGTGCCGAATGAGACTGGTTTCGAACCTGAACGCTGTAGAACATCGAACGCACTGTTCTTACCGGGCTCTACATCATATTTGACCGTCTGGTGCACTATGAGTCTTGCTTCCCAAACCATTTCGAAACACGAGAGCAAATTCCAGTCTCTACAGTCAAGGCGTTGACTCGCTCTCCAAATACTTACAGGGCTTAGTTGCGGTCTTTCTTCTCCACTGGGCTCTTCTGCCGCACCTGCCGCTCCAACTGCGCGCCCAGAAGGCCTCGCCCGTGGCCTCTCCGCGTGAAGAATCCTCCCGCTTCCTAGACCAGATCTACCGGGAGCTTCTACACGTCACAACCAAGGAGACGCTCGAGCAGCTGAGATCGGTCACGTCTCGCCCGGTAGAATCCACCGGGGAAAGCTGCATTTCGCGATGCGCGGCCGTCCAAGTCGAGAATCCAACGGAATGGGAAGCGGAAGGGAAGTGCGAGCTTCTCGACTTCGGTGACGGCCGTCTGTTCCATTTCCTCGCCCGGAGGTACCTGTCGGCGGACGCTGACGGTGACGTGACGTCAGCACCATCGGCAAAGGCAGTTCGGACGTGCGTCGTACCAGAGGACGTGGCGTGCAGAGTCCGCTGGTTGTGGGCTGTCGTCAGCGCTGGGGCTCGAAAAGTAGAAGCAGGAGAAAGGGGGCCAGAGTTCCCGTTAGCGCTCAGAGTGGAGGAGCCGGGAACTTTCTTTGCCGCGGGGGTGGAGACTGGAAGAGAGCCCCGGGGACACGACGCCGATCAGGGCTTTGATTTGGAGACCGGACCTGCAGATGGGCTGGGAGAGCGCTGTCTCGAAGTGTGCGACTGCGCGGCAAAGGCCGGGGCCAACGAGGTACGTTAAATACGGACATGGTGCGAAGAGACCACTCGTGCAATGAGTTTAGGCCTTTCTTTGCCTTCTGGACCTATTTGGGCGTGTGCAGACCGGAACGTGCAAGTGATGCCACAGGCAAGAGAGCTGACTCGACTACAAACCAGTGTCGGGAGACCGCCCCTTTGAGAGATTTTCTGATTAATGCGGACGCTGACACAGAATTATGACAGAATGTCTTCTCAATAAGGTCCCCAAGAGCTTCCACGTGTGTTCTGCATCTGCATTCGCCTTTCGACCTCCCAGCCCGGGTTCCAATTCATTCAAGGCCTCATCCAAACCGAGGTCAAGCTGAAATCACCATGCATTCTGATCAGCGGCAGATTGAGTAGAATCAAAAAGATAGAACTTGCCACTGCAGGTAAAGAGCGACCTCGTTCTCTTGCCCATCCACGGCAATGAATTGGTGACCGCTTTTCTCGGAGACGGGGCGCTCAGCCTGCCGCACTACCGGGACGACGCGCGCGTGGTGCGCGAGCTGGGGTCCGGGAGCGCGCACTTTGACGAGACGTTCCATTGGCACACCGGGCAGCCGCTGGAGGACTCGTACTGGCAGGAGGCGTCCAAGGAGTACACCAAAGTGCACGTGAGTGACACCGGAACAACGGAAGAACGGAGGCGGAATGAACGAAAAAATGGCAGAAATAACCTCAACATTTGGAAGTCCAAGTCATGCACCACCAACGCAAGGACGGCGGATAATTGCAGAGCATCAAAATGTGGAATTGCTACCGAGAATGAATCGAGTTTGGGCACCCGTTTGAATTCTACAGAGCAAGAACGATTACGTGGCCGACTACTTCAATGACTCTGGCCCGTAAATCCTTAATCTCGACACCCTGACTTCGAGATGTGAATAAGTCCCAAAGAAAATCTCAACAGATTCAAGTGCAGGCTAACGTTATGCACCGGGAGAGTTCGGGCCCCTGAACAAGTCAAGTAACGCTCTTTACTGATCCTTTCAGCCCCCTTTTTGCTGCCAAACCCAGGGTCTTTAGTTCTAGAACCCCCTGCCTCATTGAGCAATTTGTTGTCTCTGCAGAACATGTCCGCGAAGTCCCTGATGTCCCACCCAGCCTTTCGAGGTCGCTACTACCAGCGGGTTCTAGAGGCATTTCACATCGGGACCAAGACCACCGAGAAGGACCTCACTCTCAGGGAGTGGGCGCTCGCCGAACTCCGAAAGAAGCGCGAGCGCAACGAGCAATTCAGCGCGCGCGCGCTGCACCGCTACGCCGCGAGTCTTTCGGGGACCAAGTTCTGCGCGCCGACGGGCGTCATCACTGAACACAAGCGGGGCAGGAGTGCTGGGAAACCATCCGCTTCTAGTTCTTCTGGCGACCACTCGACTGGCGGTTCCCGCAAAGACGTCGCCGTCGGGAAGAAAGCGAAAGCGCCCAGCAAGAAGGAGCTCATCATCGCCGGAAACCTGGAAAGGAAAGCGGGGACCGAGAAAGCGAAGCTGCGCGAGCAGTGGAACGCGCGCCAGAAGGCGCTCGGCGCACGCGCGCTCAGCGCGCGCGAAGCCGCGGAGCTGGAGGAGTTTATGCGCTCGTGTGGGGCGTTTCCGGACCTGATGTTTGACGTGGCCGGAATTTACGTGGAGGGATGCATGAAATCCTGGCGAGAAGTGAGGGGCGGCGGAAGAAAACGTACCGGGTAAGGCATGGCAGGGCCGCTAAAACCAAGATCAAGGTAGAGTTCAATCTTAGCTAGGCGTCCAATTCGAATCCGGTTGAAACATTTGGAGCAGCCTCTCTGTAAATGAGGCAAACCCACAGTAATAATAGCGATTGGGGGGCCGTCTGTTCGATTGGCTGGATAAAGTTGCTCCTAATTTTGTCAAGAGCAGAATCGGGAAGCTTTATTTGGACAAAGACAGCCGATCATGCAGAAGTTGCCCACATGTGTTCTCAGCCTGAAATGATGTCTCAAAGCAGAATCGAATCTTCTGCGCGAAGTAGATATACGATAGCCCCTTGAACCATATGCTCGCCTGCAGGCCATCCCGATCCGGCGAGAAGGGTATAAGCGAGCCCTTCACAGAGGGCTCGGACTCCGCGCGGGTGTGGCCCGCAGTCGCGGTCTTCCAGCTCGCGCACACGCTCTTGGAAGATTATGCCGACGCGCTCAAAAGTCAAGGCGGAGACGAAGCAAAGCTGCTCGTCGGAAGCATCACCAAAGCATTTGAGGTGGGTCGCTTCGCAAGTGAATCCGTACCTCGAAGAGTCGCTTGGCGGTTGATACTTCTGACTCTATTGTCCCTGGAGTTGGGGGGCGGAGTGATACAGGAAGCATCTTCTAGCGGACCTCTATTGAGCCCAATTCGAGTCTGCCAAGTGTCCAATCACCTGCTGGACGCATCAATGAACGTTGAGTCATCAGATCGCAGAAGAACTGCTTGTGTTTCGGGTCAAGATTGTATTGAACTCTTATGATTTCCATTTGTCATGCAGAAAGGTGTCGGTCCACCTTTTTAAAACGCTTTCGGATCCGATTATTCGACAATCTCCCAAAAGCAGTTCTGGAATTTTGTGGTCTGAAACGTCCGCCGTTTTACGATCTTGCAGACGTTTGGGTTCTACGAGGAAGCGAGACACATCGGTCTGGGCCTCATCTCAGCGCCGGAAGCTTCCAGCGAACAGAAGGCCAAAGGAAAGAAAGGGCGAGCTTCCAAGGGGGGTTCGGCGAGTGAGCCGGAACCGACCCCCCGGCAGGCCGGAGCGGCGGAAAGCGCTCTTATTTTGGGCATGTCGGCTGTACGGTTCCAACTGCAATACATGGGGCATCTCCTTCCGAAGTGAGTGTCGAATTCGCCACAGCTTCGAAGCGAATGGTTCACAGATTGAGTGTATGTTCCTGCAGTTTCTTGCGAAGGAGGTTATCCTCTGGATCTGGGGGATAGGAAGAAGTAAGAACTACCATAAATATAATTATTTTGATCTTCTGTTCCTCTCTGTAAAGGATAGCATGAGGATTCCTTGTAATTGCGACCCGGAAACTTCACTTTGCCAGTCAGTGATTTCTTTTCAGGTAGCGAACACAGGATTGTTTCTTTCCTTCCTTCACGGACTCACTCGATTCTCTACATTTCTCCGTAACGAAGCTTAACCAACGACCTCCTTATTTCAGGTGCTCCGCCTCCGAGCGCGCCTCGCGGCCGCGCGACGCGCGCGTCGGCTCCCTGGTCGCGGACCCGTGGCAGAGCCGCGTGCTGGACGTGGTCGACTCGAAAGGCTCCGCTCTAGTTTGCGCGCCGACCTCGTCCGGGAAGACGCTCATCTCCGGATACTGCATGCGCAACGTGCTGAGCGAAGATGACGTCGGCATCGTCGTTTTCGTGGCGCCCACCAAGGCGCTGGTCAACCAGGTGCGCGCGCAGGTGGCCAAGGTGAGCCGAGCGCGCGCGCTATTACGTCTTTTGGGGCCATAAGGACAGGAAGTCAGAAGCTAATACAATGTGTACGGCCTTTCTATGCGATGATTGTACAGGCAGAAGGCGCTCGACGCAGGAAGCATCAAAACATAAAACTCGCTCAGGAGTGTGAAAAGAGCTTGTTCTGATGGGCATATCGATATCTTTCCTGTGCGGCGAGGTCGAGTCGACTTGACGATATTGAGGATCCCTTCATTCAGAGCGAGTTTAAATGGTTGTTCCAAGGCGTTGCTGCTTGGTGTCTTGCGCCCACCAGAAAAAGCATCAGAATCTCACATCACAAAGCAGCTCCGTCTCGACATGCAAACAACCCACGCGTGTGTGTGTGATTGAACCTCAAGAATCGGATTGGACTGCTAGCTTTGAAGGAAGGTCTGATCGTGAGTCATCTTTTCGTGACCACGGCTTAAATGTGACCACCGCGCGCAGGACTTTGGCGCCGACGTGCCCGGTGTGTTTACTCGGGACTTTTACGTGCGCCCGCTCGAGTCGCGTGTTCTTGTGACCGTCCCCGCCTGCCTCGAGATCCTGCTGCTGTCGCCCACAGCCACGTACGGCACATGGCGGGAGAAGCTGAGATACGTCATCTTTGACGAGGTAAGAGAATCTGCACCTCATGCGCCGGGCTGCTTCCATATGGAAAGTGTGCTTTTACGCTGAAAATTACAGTTCTTTGTAGAATCTTCAAAGGCGAGTCTGGCGCAGAGGAGGGCTCTTGAAGCCTTCGCACTGTAAACAGGGACTGTGATGACAGGTGCTTTTGAAGTAGACGGAGGGTATGTGTTTTTTCAAATTAGACGGAGAGTATGTGTGTTCTTCCAAGTTGTATCGAAAGCCACGATGGACTCTTGCCTTTGGCATCAAGCTACTGTGCGGCGGCTAAGTTGGAAGAGTGGGTTTTTGTAAAGCAGTTAATTGTCGCAGACAATAAAAAAGCTCCGTACCTTGTCACCAGATTCACTGCATCGGCGAGCTGGAAAACGGCGACCTGTGGGAGCACCTGATGCTGCTGATCCGGTGTCCCTTTTTGGCGCTCTCCGCGACGGTCAACAATCCTCGCGAGTTCCAGGGCTGGCTCCAAGGGGCCAAAGACCACCAAAAGAGGCAGGACGCCGCGAGGGGGAATATGGGCACAGATGGGCAGTACAAGGTACGTTTTTGGAGAGCAAGAGAATGATCCTTACGCTCGCTTGCACGTTTGATGAGTTGGAAGAGAATTTGAGGCGGGAAGATCTGTCGAGCTGGCATTTGAGGACGCAAGGGCGTCCTTCACATGATGTGAAACACGCTGACATGACTGATGCTCACCGGTTGAATGAAAAGTATCCGTGTATGATCGTTAAGAAGCATAATATTACCAGTAAAGAACAAGCAGGAGGACCGTGTGTTCAAAGTTATATTGGCCGGATTAAAAGGCGTTGGGGAGAACTTATCCGTGGATGTCCATTTCGTTTCATCGACCAGGCAAGCGTTGCCTCCGTCTCTTTGCAAGATCGTGCAACTGATCATTGGTGGTTCACAGGTTCATTTGATCGAGCATCACGAGAGACATGCCGACTTGGAGAAATTCCAATACCTGCCCAAGTCGATCTCGACGGAACCGGAAGCGGACCTGCCAGCGCGGAACGCCATCATCTCGACTTCGGTTCCCGCTTTCCGGTATGATGAGCATTCGCTTTGGACGATTCGACTTCTTGAAGCAAAACATCTGTCTGTCTGTTTGGGTCCAGGATTAAGATAGAGCCTCTTTACCGTGTCAAGAAGACAGTCAATGAGCGTTCTATACCCTTCCAAGACCGACTCATTACGAAACTCGTCTTGCTTCGATTTGCTTTGGAGACTCGGAAACAGATTTTGTTTTGCGGTACCCAGAGTTGGTCAAGATTCAGCCATTGTGATGCCCAAGCCATCAGTACACAGCAATCTTAAGCTGTTCACGATTTGAGCATCAATTTGAGGGAGTTCGCACCATTCTTTCCTTCCTATGAACAGAACGAAGGGTGGATTTATTGTATCTTTCCAGGCCCTTCCACCCGTTTGCCAGCCTCGAGCCCAACCGCCTGCGCGAAGAGGGCTTCCCCGGCGACATGTCGCTCTCTCCGCCCGCCACGTTGCAACTCTTCGATGCAATGACGTCAATCTTAGGTCAGCCGCGCACGGCAGGCCCCCCGGACCCCGACTCTCCGCGGAGCGCGACCGGTGGAGAAGGCGTGACTGAAAGAAGGGCCGCGTCACAGTTCGGCGAGCCCGGGGGAGTACCCGGTTGGAGAGAAACCGCTCGGTTGCGGCTGGAGAGAACCCTGGCGCCCGAAGTATTCTTCCAAGGCAGCGCGCGCATCACGCGGCCGCGGGTGCGCGAGTACGAGGCCGCGCTGAAGCAAGAGATGCTGATATGGGCACGTGACGTCAGCAGCTCAGCGGCGCAAGGAGAGGGGCCCAAAGCCGTCCAGGGACGACTCCTTCAAACGCCCGGATCAGCCGATCTGAGTTTGGCGCAACGGACTCAGTGCGACGGAAGCGACGGCTTTCGCGCTTTGGATGAGCTTCTGCGCGCGCTCAACGGAGATCTGAGCGCGCGTGTGCGCGCACTTGAGGAGGAGTGCGCGAGCCGTGGGGTGCAGATCGAGCGGGACTTCCTGGGCCGGGACATCATGAGCCTGCTCCTGGGCTTGGCGGCGCAGGACTGGCTGCCCGCTCTAGTTTTCAACTTCAGCCGCGGGCAGTGCATGGACATGGCGCTCCGCGTTGTCGAACGGCTAGAGCGCGCTGAGGCGGAAGCGGAAAAGGCAAGACTTCATCAATCAGTGTTTCACTTCTCTGGGAACGTTGAGAAGGCGAACGTCGAGGGCTTTCGGTGAAAAGAGTTTCTTTGAGTAGCCTAGTGCGAAGGCAGCAGCGTCTGGGTCAGTCCAACCTATTGGCCAATTGTCAGGGGATTTCTGGAGCGTTTTCACTTCCTTTTATTGTTGTGGTCACAATGACGAGTAGAGGACGTTGTGCCTGACTAGAGCCCCTGTTTCTCGTCTTAGCACAGTAGCATCTTGTCTGGCGGTGCTAAAGTAAGAACAGCTTCTCGAGCGAAAACTTGCGGAATCTCAAGACGCGCTAGCTGCTTATCAAATTGCTTTGTGGATGATCAGAGGCTTCAACTATCTCTGATTATCTTATCAGGACAATCCGCAAGCACCAATGGCATTTTTTTTGGCTCTATGCTGTAATCAGTAACAGTAAAGTGGCTCTATCCTGTTGTAAAACACATTCGTTTCTCTACCTTTTATGCAGTTCGGCGACCGGTCGGCTGACAAAGTCAAGTCGCAGCTCCTCGAGCGGAAGCGGAAAGAAGACAAGCAAAGGCGCGACAAAGCAAAGCACAATCGTGGCGACGATGAAGACCAGGGCTTTGCGATTGCCGAAGAGGAAGACGAGCTCCTGTGCAATGCAGATTTTACCTTTGTCAAGACGCGCGAGCGGATGCCGCTTGAAGAACTCAGGGTACGTCACTCCAAATTCTATGTACTTTTAGCAATTTTACATTTCTTTTTCGGGTTCATTTGCCGGTCTTGCATCATTGTAACGTGCTCAGATCAAATGCACTACAACTTCCGCACAATACTGGGTGATCGTGGTTAACTCCCTCTGGGTTCACTTTCTAACCAGATACATAATCTTCCAACTCCCTGTGTGTTGCAGTTATTCTGCTAGATCAGCTTCCTGCCTGAACCTTGAAATTCCTTAGTGGGAAAAAGCCAAGTTTCATATACAAGAGTGGAAACTACGCGCTGAACGAAGAAACTTGTTCTCCTTGCAGGAGCTGCTGGACCCGGTGATTGAGAGCTTCGACGAGGGTTTAGACCACTTTCTGATCCGGGGCCTCATCCGGGGGGTCGGTGTGCACCACGCCGGGCTGTCAACCAAGTACCGGCAGGTGGTCGAGATCCTCTTCCGAGCCAAGCACCTGCGGGTGAGCGCCGCATTCGCAAACTCCAGTAACGGTCCCTTGGAGAATCCACTGGTTTCTAAAAACACTTTGGTTCAGTCACGGTGGTGTGCTTAAAGATATGTGTGGGACGAGATGCCTTTGCAGTGGTGTTCGTCAGTTTGATTAGTGAGAGTAGTTTACATTCTCTGCTTTTGGAACTCAAGGTCACAGAATTGAGAATCAGACGACACCCATCACGCAAGAGGAAGCTGGGTACTGACCTGTTTCTTTGTCCAGGTGGTGTTCGCCACCGGAACTCTGGCGTACGGAATCAACATGCCTTGCAGCACGGTGGTCTTTGCAGGCGACTCGATGTGAGCACTTCGTAAAAGATCCTGACTACGATCATTCTGGTTGGGCGTCTGCTTCGCATTATATGTTTCTCGGATCCACGGGGCTCTAGTCCTTAGCTGCATGCTTTATGAGTAGTTAGACCGGTCGATGCGGGTTGCCTACCTTCAATGAACAGCATGAATGGTCTGCTACAAAGACTTCAAGCGCCCACGTAACTTTTCTGGAAGGTCGAATGAGAGAGATTGTTGCAGCCTGCTTGGATTGACCCTCTAGCAAAAGCTTACTGATCACCGCCACTGCGCCCCGTTTTCAAAGGAGTTGGATCCCGCTGACTGACGCATGGATTCTACGATCCCTTTTGTAGGCTCTTGCTACACTTCACCGCTCAAGAACTGAACGCTTTGAATCTTTATTTGGGCTGCCGCCAAACAGCTGTCAGTCAGCTACTTGCAAGTGAGTGGACATTGAAAGTCTCAAACGTTTCTGAGTACCAGGGTTTCCGGACGGCTGTCGGACCTTTGAAACATCAACAACCCAGGCCACTAATAGCTTTCGGATGACGGAGACTCAACATCCAAAGGCACAAGATGCTGAATTTCGAGCGGAATGTTCGCCTTTTCAACACCACCGCTTTACTTTCACAACTGATCATCACATCTCTGCTCGCCAGCTTCTTGGACCCGCTCCAGTTCCGTCAGATGAGCGGCCGCGCGGGCCGCCGCGGGTTTGACAGCGTCGGCCGTGTCGTCTTCTTCGGGGTCCCCACGGACAAGCTCAAGAGCCTGCTGACGTCAGCGGTGCCCGACCTCAGAGGTAGGACCTGAAAACGCTTTGACTGCAAAGAACCACCAAAAAAGATTGAAAGACTTCGTCGAGCATAGGGCTACTTTAATCTGCATGAGAAAGTTTCCTTCGAACTCAACCTTACTTGTCACAGTGTCCTTGGAGAAGAGAATAAAGGGCGTTGTCTGCTTTTTTGGTAACGACTTTGAGCTGCAAAATCACCTAGGAACATGAGAAGCAACGGCAGTAGCTACGAACATGAAAGCCATAGCGAAAATCCTTATCTTCGATCAAAACGTCCGCATCCAGTCCGGGCCGCGTTCTTTATCGGGGAACGTTAAAAACGACCACGTTTTACGGCACGCTTCTGACCTCATGTGTGTCGTGCTCTTTCGCCCAGGTCATTTTCCTCTTTCCGTTACCCTGGTGCTCCGGCTGCTGCTTCTGGAAGCCACCGGAGTGGTCGGCCGGGAGAGTACCCGGGACGCAATGGTCCGGCTCTTGTCAAATCCGCTGTATGCGTCCGGGGGACGCCCCGAGCTGCGCCAGCAGATGAAGGTAGGATAACCGCGCATCTTGCTCGTTCTTTTGCAGCTTCGATTAGTTGTTAATCTATGAACCGTCTCAGCAGCTTAAGCAAGCCTTTACGCCGCCAGAGTGGTGTAATTTGTAGTGACGAGCAGAGAACCTGAACGTATCGAGAGGGGAGGCAGTCGCTTATGCAGGAATTTGCTGGGTTACTGCCTGACACCAGCCTTCGCAAATGGCATATCATCTCGTCAAGTTTTACAATTGAAACAGTCTGAGGACTCTTTAAAAGCCCTGGGAGCCGCTCATAGGCTCTCATTATCAGATGATTTGACCATGGCCTCCTCATGTAGCTCAGAACCACGACTAAGCACCGTCTGCTCCTTTGCATATGGTTCTCGAGATCAAGAGCGGCTTGCACAGTCACTTGGATCGTCTGGTGGCCCTTCTAGAAATTCTCAAAAATTCAAACAGCCCCTGTTTCTTGCGCGCGCAGCACCTCTTCCGCTTCTCCCTGGAGCTCCTGATGCGCGCGCAGCTGCTGAGCACGGTGGGCCGCCCGCTGGGCCTGGCCGGACTGGCGGTGCACCTCTTCTGGAGCGAGCCCGCCAACATGGCCTTCGTCTACCTCCTACGAAACGGGCTGTTTCACCAGGTGTGAAGCGATTTTAGTAACTCCAAAGGGCTTCAGTATCTTTCTAAAAACAATCCAAACTAAGGGGCCCCTCCAGACGCTAGAAAAGGATACCGAAAGATCAAATCTGGATCTGGCACCTCGCTAAAGCTGCAAACTGATCCTCAAGAATCTATATAAAGATTAGCAGAGTTTGCTCATGACAAAGAGCATCCGTAAATTGAACGTATGCCCTACTCTCAACTCGTGCTCCGATTGATATACGGTCAATCCGCTACGGCCTTGAACGGTTGAACGACGAAAGAAATCGTTAGGTTGACAAGCTTTGCGACGCTTCTCTTCCGTTCCAGGTTTGCGACGACCGGGGCTGGTACACGGTGTCCCGGGAGTTGCTGCTCATCTGCGCACACATGTTTATGCGCAAGCGGCTCCACCCACTCATGGTGAGACGGATCTCCGAAAAGAAGTGACGTTCATACGCAAACTCCTTCTAAGTCCAGGCAGCAGAGCTGTCAAACATGTAGATTCTGGCGTGGACAAGCAGACTCTCGACTTCGCTTATCTGTTTCGGAAGGACGAGGGAGATTCAAATGTAATCCTCGAAACCTTATGAACGGGTGACTAAGCGATTTCCATTCACGTTCGTCAAGGTATCCTGTAGACTTCCATTTGCTTCTGGAAGTGCTTCCAAGTCGGACTCAGTCTGCAGGCACATCGACACATTGCAAAACCCGTGTCACACGCAACCCTAAAATCAGATTCATGATCACCTTTCAAGACCGCAAAAGAACAGCCCACTGAATGTCTACTGGACGCTGAAGGTCTTTTTCCGCTCTCCTTGCCAGGCAAAGCGGGCCAAGCAGAACCAGTCCCCGTCAATGATCGTGCTGCCGCCGCTGCCCCCATTCATCGAGAGCGCGCTTGCGGCGCACAACGACGAGGCGTTGCGGACGTTTTCGCAGTACATCGTCTCGTACGCTCGGGCGCATGCGGACACCCTGCCGGACCCGTGTGTCCTGCCCGTGTCCGGCATTGGGTACCCAAGCCTTAAGGTTCGTCTCCTTTCATTTATTGTGAGATGTCACTCTTTTGGAATGTTTGTAGCGGGCTAATCAGATCAAAGTCGGAAGACCGACCTTCTTTTGCAGTCATGCGACTGGTTGCCTGGACATTCCGGTCTAAGTATCCATTTTGAATGTTAAAATTGTTCTGGAGTACTGTACTCGTGGGGCTGGACTCGCGAACGATTTTGATGCTGGATGACGTCTTTGAAATCCCTGAGCATTTCGTTTTGGAAACGCATTTTGACGGAATTATCAGGCCCAATGCGTCGTTCAACTTCGTTTGGCAGCCGTCATTCAAGTGGCTCTGCCGGAATTCTCTATCTCTTCAACATACCGGATGACAATCTACAAGTAATTCATCGTCTGATGACAGAGCGCAATTGACTTTGGAAAAGCCCTCCCTTCCCGCCTGCTGCAGAAGAGTGATGGCGTCCGCGCGGCCGCCCCGCGCCTGACGTCATCATCCCGGCAGCAGCGAGTCACCCCTCTGCTTGGCAGCCTGCGCCGCGACGCCGTGATCTTCTCCGCCTGCTCGCCCTTCGTCGCGCTGTCCGGCTGCGGCGACCGCTTCCGGACGGCACGTGACCTCGTCCGGCACGTGCGGACGGGCCTCCACGTGAACGAGTCCGCGATGCCCGTGCTGGACACGGCGGGCTCCGCCCACGTGGCCGTCCGGCTGAACGCGTACGTCCTAGACTTCTTCGCGCACGGACAGAAGGAGGCGCTGGTGGCCGGAAACGGCCTTTTGGAGGGGGACGCGTATGAGGGGCTCAAGACTTTCGTGATGGTGCTGCGGACGATCGCAACGGCGCTCGGGAAGCTGGGCCCTGAGGAGGAGGAACTAGGGCGAGGGGATCCAGTGGTGGCGGCGTTTGAGCGGCTGGCGCTGGAGTACCAGACCAAGTTTTTTAAATTCAACGGGTAGAAGCAGAAAGGCCGGCTTTCCGTTCTCGCCGATTGAACTTGCTTCTGTACAAAACTGTTGCTTGTCTTGGTTCATCTGCAACTTGGGTGTGGGGTTCAGATATCTTTGTACACTGTCATAGGACAGTCTCGTGGTAGGAATAGGAAGATAATGAGGCCTTGGAGGGGCGGCCAGGCTGCCGCTAGTAATGTGTAACAGAAGTACTTTGAGGCGTCTCTCTGGGCGCTTATTCGCCAATGGAAGGCCTTTCGAGGACGGCAGGCTTGATCAAAGATTGGTTATGCAATCAGAAGGATAGGACGCCGGTCTGGTCCAGAAGGTGTAGTGGAAAGATGTTGATCTACCAGTGGTATGCGTTCCCTGTAACATTCCGACATTTACATGATAGATGCTCGAGGCGCGGCGCATCCCAAGAAACCATATGTCGTTGCTGTCTATCTTGCGAATCAACTAAGCAACAGTACTCGTTCTCAAGGCGGTGCCTGATCACGGGTTGGAAATCGTGACGGCCAGTGTGCTCAAATGCATGAATTGGTTGAAGACATATGCAACGGACTCTGAACCCGCCACTTTGAAAGTCAAATCTGAATAAGTCGAACATTCGAGATACACGAAGTAAGGCGTGCTATTTCGGCACGCATTTGAATGTTGAGTAAGAACAGCCTCCAAGGACTTCAAAGCGTTCTGGCGTTTGTAAAAAGGCCAGCTCTACAGAAATGCAACTCCATTGCAGGAATCCATGAAGCAATATGCGACTCTGCAATATCAGCTAGGACAATGTCAAGAAACGATCCTTTAATCTTGTGCATGCCATTGCGAGGTCATGGCATCGGATTGTGAATCTTGGAATGCTCAGCGAACATGCACAAGATGAAAACTTGGTGATCGACTATAATATGAGGGCCGATGTTGCCTCGATGTTGAGTACGATTACTACCCTACAAGTCCTGCAATCTGTTACCTCAAACTAGAAATAATCCTAAAATGAGACGTCTTTGCTTGTGAACGACGTGCACAAAGCTTCAGCGAATGGCTCCTTGTACAATAAGTTGAACTTTCCTGTACTATCTGTACTAAGCCTTTCCTTAGTGTCGTCAGGTAACTCGAACAAACAAACGACTGGTCAGGCTCAGAGAATGCAAGGCTATATGATGATTAAGACGGTTGCAAGTGGAAGCGCGTTCATTGAGCCGAAGTGAGACATATTTTTATTTTTGATCGATCTCAGCCACTTCCAGGACCGGTACTGTCCGCGAGCGGCGCGGTACCGCCGTCTCTTCTTCAAACCAGATGCGCAAGCTTAAATGTGCTGCAGCTGCGGTAAGTGCTGTCAACTGCGAATGTAAACCCGCACGACAGCCGGTCGTCCGATTTGAGCTCGCCCGGAATCCCGTCACACGATGAGCTTGGAGTGGCCCAGAGGCTCGGATTGCAGTGCCCGCTTGGATTGGTTGGCCAAGCGCTTGCCTCAGCCGCGCGCGTGCGCGTGAAAAACGACAACCAATGCTAGTTAGTACTACCGATTCTACTAACCATGCCGCGCGGGCGCGACCGTGGTGCTAGGCGGCCGCGGTCCGCCCGCCCGGCCCAGCTCGACGCCATGATCTGCTCAGCCAGAGTGGAATTTGGCTGAGCAAGCTGTGCAAATTAGTTGATGAGCGCCTGATAATCTCCACAGGAGAGGAGAGGGAGCGAAAGTCCCCATAACTCTGATGAGTAAGTAGAAGGTTACATAGTGTGGAGAGAAGATGGCGGACGATGAGGACGAGGACTACTTTTTCTTCGGCACGCCCCTGCCGGAGCCGGAGGACCTCAAACCCCGCCAGCGCCAGGCCGCTGAGAAGGCGGGCCAGCTCAAAACGCTGCCGGTGTGGAAGCAGGAGGTCACTGATGAGCAAGGAAGGAAAAGGTTCCATGGAGCTTTCACAGGCGGTTTCTCAGCGGGTTTCTACAACACGGTGGGGTCGAAGGAAGGCTGGGCCCCGGCGCAGTTTGTCTCGAGCAGGAACCAGCGGGCAGAGAAAAAAGCGCAGGTGAGGGCTTGGCCCTTGGCCATGTTGCAATCAAGGCTGGATCTAATAGTTGTTCAATGGTGGCATTGGCATACTTCAGCTTCAGTCCTCTGTTTGGAAGGAGAGGTTTGATCATCACAGGCACAACAAAAATGGATAGTGGGCATTTGAATTTTGTGAATCTGTGACCTATGAGGTGGAATTCTGGAGGAATCCTTGTTGTGCATGCCTGATTCTGTGTGGAATCTGCGACCCCATTGCTTTGTTCCATTTTTTTGGAATTTTGGCAATGTGGTATGCAACAGAGGCATTCTTGTACAAATTCCATGAAGTGGTACCAATTGCTGCGTCTTTCCATTCAGCACCTTCCTTAGAATTGAGGGGACATTGTTGCCATTGGGTGTCGATCACTGGGTTTTCTAAATCAAAGAATTTCTTGAAAGTAAAGTATCACGCACCTGGCGTCCCTTACGTAGTCCGGGAGGCATGTTGAACAAGGCTCCCAACTCCTCTTGTGAAATGGCTCCCTCTCAATGTGTGTTGCAAGCCTCTCTTACCTGCGGCGTAAGAGTCCCAGGTCAATAACTCCAGCCACAAAGCAATGAAAGCAGACAAACATGAACATGTAGCACCAGCACTGATTATAGCGCTTTCCTTTCTTGTGCAAACAGGCCGCTGAGGACTACATGGACGAGGACGAGAAGGAGGCCCTCCGATCTCAGGCCCTCGCCGCGTCAGCCGATTTTGACACCTTTGGTGGCACCGCCACGGATCTCGCACGGCGGCAGGCAGAAAGCGAAACTCCAAATCGTTCGAGCGCCATTCCTGGACCTATTCCGGACGAGCTCATCGTTCCGTCCGCTGAGTCAATGGGCGTGAAGCTGCTCAAGAAGATGGGGTGGCGGCCGGGGAAGGGCGTTGGGCCCAAGCACGAGGTGGCGGCAGCAGGTGCGTAGATGGAGAAAGTCGGGGTATGGTGGTGGTTTATACTTAACGGGCCTGATATGCGGGTAATGCGTGATTTGGCTTGGATTATTGTAAGGAAGGACAACCAGGCTTTAGTAAACCCTGAGCGTTCATCGTTATGGAGATTCTCGCACAGGCGAAGCATGCTGTTGTGTTCAGATTGGTTCCAAGGGACATCTGCAACTTGGGGCTCCTGAGAAACGGGAGTCCAAGTTGTGACTCTGGCATGAGCCTTGAGAATTGGATTGCTTTTCCCTCTCAGTCCCATCTGCCCCTGGTGCAGGAGTTGAAGTCCAAAACAAGCTGCAGAATCGAGCAAGGCTAGAACTCGAATGGGTTTTCTTTCCAGTTCGAGGGCCCTGACTCAATTCCCTTATTCTTGTGCAGAGAAACGCCGGGAGGCCCGCCGAGCAATGATCGCCCTAGCGCAGTCATACGGCGCTGAGGTGCCCCCCGGCCTGGACGAAGAACCAGCAGAACCCCCAGAAGAAGAATCAGACGCGGCAGAAGTTCCGAAGACGACCCCCATCTTCGTCCTGCAACCGAAGAAGGACTTCTACGGGCTGGGCTTCGATCCACTCAAGGGTGCGCCCGAGTTTCGGGCGGCAAAACGGGCGAAGACCGAGGGGTCAAAAGGTGTGGGGAAAGGGGGAAACCTGTTTCGACCGCAGGCCGGCAAGGTGGGCGCGGGGTTCGGGGTGGGCGCTTTGGAGGAGGTGGGGGAGGAGGACGAGGACGTGTATGCGACGGAGCTTCCAATGGACCAGGAACTTTTAGACGAGGATGAGCAGGAGAAGCAGGCTGAAGGGAAGGCTAAAGCTTCCGAAAAGGACCTCAGTGCGAAGCTCGGGTTTAAACCAGGGCCGCGGGATACCCTGCCGGGGTTCAGACTCGGGTCGGGGGAAGGTGTTGAGGTTCAAGAGTGGTTTGCGCCACCAGTGGTTCCAAAAGGGTTTGTACCGAGACACGTGTTCGTGTCTGAGGGGCTGGGGAGTCGGGGGGTAGCAAAGGCGAAGGAAGTGGCCCCCCCGGATGATGAGGAGCTGCAAAAGAGGATCGAAACGCTGGCGGCGTTTGTGGCGAACTCGGGGGAGAAGTTGGAGGAGATAGCGAGGGAAAGGAACAAGGGCAGTCCGGAGTTCGGGTTCTTGTTCGGGGGCCCAGGAAAGGAGTATTATGCGTGGAAGAAGAGTGAGTTGATTAGAGAACGGGGCTTGAAGCTTCCGGAGGGGAGCTCCAAGGTCGAAGAGCCAGGCCCTGTCGACCGAGGGGGTTTCAGAAAACCAGCAGAGTTCGCGGGCAAAAGCGGGCGGGACAAGGCCTCGAGGATGACAGCAGAAGAGCGGGGGCGTTTGCTTGGTGAGGCGCCGCTGCCGAGGAGCGAGGACGCCAAGTCGGTTTCCGGGACAGACCAGAAGGCGGGCTCGAACGGGGAAGCTTTAAGCGGGCCGAAGTCTGTCATGGATATGATTGCGCCAGAGGACAGGGCCCGGTTACAGGGGGCGCTAGCGAGCACGTTCACCAAGGGAGCGGCCCAGGACATGGGTTATGATAACCGCGAAACGGTTAAGCCCTTTGCAGCTGATCCCGCGAAGCAGGCGCGGTACGAAACGTTCCTGCAGGAGCGTTCCGTTGGGGGCCTGCGAAGGCCGGGCCGAAACGACGGATTGACCGAAGAGGAGCGGCTGCGGGAGAAGGAAGAGTTCGAGACGACGGCCCAGTTGGCTAACCAGGGACTCAAACCCGCCCCCTCGCCTCCGCCCCCGGTTCACCCCGCCCTTGCATTTCTGGGGGACCGCTTTGCCCCAGCGGGGGACACACCGGAAACCTCTAGGGGTTCCATTATGGACATTGTAGCTGCGATGCAGTCTAGCGCAGCGGCGGCGGTCGCTAAAAAGTTCCCAAGGAGGGAGGTTGAAGAGTGGCGGCCCGCGCCGTTGCTCTGCCGGCGCTTCAACATCTTAGACCCTTACGAGGGTAAAGCTGCGGCGCCTGCGAAACCAAAAAGCAAGACGGACTCGCTCGCGCTGCTGATGCCGCAGTTTGGGCAGGACATAAATCCGGAGCTTGCTCCGGGGGGGTCCGAACGGCTGGCGCTGCCACCCCCCCCAAAGCTGCAAGCGGGGGAGACAGCCGAAATTTATGTGCCTGAGAAAGAACCCGACGTGGAGTTTGAAGCGGAACCCCTGGTTTCGGGGATCGACAAGCCGATTGACCTGTTCAAGGCGATCTTTTCAGACTCGGAGGACGAAGAAGAGGCACCAGGGGGGTTGGAGGTTTTGGGTCGGCCAGGGGAGAAGGCTGCCGAGGCAGCGACGGCAGCGCTCAACCGGCACGCGGCTTCGGAGTTTCTCGCGCAGTTTGGGGTGGAGCTGCCTGTTCCGCCCGTGGTCGCGCAGCCGGAACGGAAGGCGCCAGTGCTGTTCCGCCCGAAGAAGGAGCGGAACAACGCCGAAGGAGCAGAATTAAACAGGGGTTCGGAGGCAGGGGTTAAAATGAGGGTGACGGGGCTGTTAAGCTTTGAGGAGGAAGTCGGGGAAGGGCAGCAGCCGGTGGAAGTTACTGGCGGGGTTAAGGAGGGTGTCAAAAAAGCTAAGAAGGAAGAAGCTGGGAACAAGTCTAACGATGGGGGTCTGGATGCCATTAGCGAGGATGCCAAAGGGGCCGCGAAGATGGCGGCTGAGCCGGGCGTGGCGGAAAGGAACGGAACGGTTCAGAGTGGAAACGGAACGCGCGGGGGCGTCGAAGCAGGGCTGCGGGAAGAGGACGAGAAGAGGGGCGGGATCGCTGCTCAAGAGGAAGCGCACGGGGGCGTGGATCTCTGGGCGGAAACTTTTGAAGGCAAGGAAAGTGAAGACGCAACAAGAAGTGGTCGGCAAACGGAACGGAACGATACTCAAGAGCCTGGACTGGGCCAGGAAGCAGTCGTTCAAAAAACCGCAGAACAGAGCGAGGAGCAAATGAGGCCTGTGATGGGGCCTTTACCACCAGACAGGAGACGGGAGGGAGAACGCAAGGATGGTTTAGAGACGGGGGGTTCGGGACGATGGAGACGGAACGAGCGGAACGGAAAGGAAAGCGAAGATGAGAGTTCGGAAGATGAGAGGAGGCGGAAACGGAGGGAGAAGAAGAGAGAAAGAAGGGAGGGCGGCAGTCGGAGAAAGAGACATCGGAGCGAAAACGTGGGTCCTGAAAGCGGCTCTGATGAGAGTGAAGCGGAACGGAAACGGCGGAGACGGAAACGGAGGGAAGAGAGGCGGCGGAGGGAACGGAGCGGAAGTGATTGGAAGGGAGATGGTCAGAGGGAGTCCGACGAGGATAACGGAAAGGTGCGAAGACACAGAAAGTCGCGCGAAGAAGCCACCGGAGAAGGAAATTTCGGGGAGCAAGAGATGGATCGAAAGCTGAAGCGGCATAGAAAGGAGCAGAGGCGGGACCAGAGTCGAAAGGGACGGCAACGGCGGTCGTACAGCGGTTCAGCCGACGATACAGATAGAAATGATGAGAAAGATAGGGGAGGAGGAGGCGAGAAGGGATGAGAGATAATGAACGCTCTTGTTGATGCGAAGGGTTGCAGTGTTCTTGTCAATTCCGTGTCTGAAGTGCCGACTGGCATGTCCTAGTGGCACAAAAGTTGCACTGCATGTTGCACGTTTGCCTCCGGACTCCCTCGCAACCCATCTCCTACTTCAAAATGCCTAGACGTTCACTTTACTCTGGAGTCGAATGTTGAGTGCATGGAGGTACAAGCGCATATGCAAGTCTGCGTCAGATTCCAGCGTCCACCAACGCTGTGACGTGCAGATTTAAGTTGCACTCCATGATGGGCCTATTCGATCCGATCATCGTTCCGCTGCGCACTTAAAGTACTCTATGTGCTGGCAATAACCTTGATAGGCATGCAAGGCGGTCGACCCTTACCTATATATATGGCCGCTGCAATCACTATTCTTAGTGCATATACCGGTAAGTCAGCGCCCGCGGGCCGCCGGAGGCGAATCAGCTTAGACTGACAGTAGCCCCTATTCACTTTCCAATACCAGATTGGAACCTTTGCATGTTCAATCTGCTATGTCGCGAGCCCGGCGGCCGCGCAGACACGTCCCGCGCACGGCCACGAACTTTCCCCGCCTTTCCGAGTTCCCCGAGGACTGGATCTATTACCGGCTTGCTGAACGGTCCATATCGTCATGTTTCACCGGTCACTGCGGGTACCTAATTCGTCCATGGACTCCAGCGCTAGCCAGCTGGCACGTGGTCTTCCTGGGTCTTGCATTGTTCCGGCCACTGAAGAACCGGCGTGGCGCTCCGGCGGCAAGAGGCAGTAATGCCCGGTGATACTTTCATCAAATATCATGTTAATACATGTACCTTACATCAAAATTAAACGAATGCGCCGGTACCAGTCAATGTACCTAGGCTGCAGGGCAGGGGGACCAAACAACGGGTAAGAAAGTTGGCAACATGAACCATGTGCCAGCAGCTAAACGGCGAATTGCCCGGAACTGAAAATGGTTGGGATTGAACCTCCACAGGGTCACCTTTCAAAACCCAGAGTTTGGGGTCCGGGCAACGCGCCGTTTAGGAGGAATTGGGGGCAGGTTTAGGCGGGTTAACCAGCCAACAAACTATCAACCCACCTCTAACACTTGTCTTAACCCTTTCCTCAGACTAACCGAGGACCGCATCGGGCTCCGGACATCCGCACTATGCAATCTAGACCGTCCAGATGTCTGATTGAGATCGGGAATTTCTTCATCTGACGGTGCGGATCATGGTTCGCTCTGTTTCAGTGGTGTTTGGTCCCCCTGCTGCAGGGTTTTAGGGTTTTAGCTAGCTGGCTAAGATTTGAATCGTCTGGAACAAAGCGCCGCCTTGTCAACATGGCGCTGCATCATGCATGGCCACCTGCTCAGGCTGCTGTCAGTGCTGACCTGAGCATAGCAAGCGGCAGCTTGGCCTCATGTCCAAGGGTGAGGAAGAGAGCTGAATTTATGAGTCAATTGAGCGGTACAAGCCTGTTGGAATCCAAGCCATGTCGGAGCGTGAGAAGCGAAAAGCTAAGTGGCGAGCGCAGTCGCTTGCGAACGCAGAACAAATGCAGCTGGAGCAGTCCCTTCAGAAGATTCTGCGCATGGAGCAGAGGACTGCAGAGCAGCTGGCCCTGCTAGTTCAGCACAAGGACTTAGCAGCACAGGTCCGCGCTTCGATGGTGCCAAGTTTTGTGTGCCACTTTAGTGACATTACTACCAAAGTCTTGGCGACAGCTTCAAATGCACGTCGTAGTCACGGCTTTCGCAAAGCAATGCATGTTTGATACTTCGTGTTGGCAGCTCAAAGGGCAGATATTCATGAACTAATTAAATGGAATGGCTTGCACGGAAAGCCATGCAGCTACTGTAAGGAGGAAGCTACTGCACCTTGGTTGTTTCGCTTGTCTGATGAAACTTTCTTAAAGAAGTACCTATAGTAGGCCCTTGGTGTCCTTGTTCTCATCAAGAGCCTCAACTACCTCTTTAGTGGTTGCATTGGACATTGCGCCTAAACGTACTTCGATCCACTCCTGCAGATTACGGACTCAATGGAGGCCAGCAGACAGCGCAAACGCATGAAAGCAGAGCGTGAGAAAGAGGTGAGAGGACTCTGCTTGTTCTCATGAAACTTTGAATTCGGGTAAGCCCTTGACATAGTGGCAGAAGAAGTCATTGTCACAAGCTTAGCGAGGTCGCAAAATGTGGCATTTCTAAGCTCAAAGTGTCAGTGGGCGCCAACCTGTGTAGGCCACCACCTGCCAGCTGCCTTCATCGAGGCTGGATAACAGAGTACTTTTTGATTATTTCACAAGTGGAAGCGGGCTTAGCAGGATCTGCGTCAGAGCTTACCCCCGCTGGAATTGCAAAGGTCCATGTATGTTGTAGGGAAACCAAATGTTGGGAACCAGGTGTGGTGTCGCCTGAGCAATCGTTTTAAGGTTTCAGGCTGCATTTAAGTGACAGGGGTTGCTATTCTGCAGCCTGAATAGCCCTTTTAGACAGGGCAAGTCGCAGTCTGCTGACAAACATTTGTCAGTCTCACTTCAGGTCACTTGGATGTCTTTGAATAAAAAGCTCTCAATCTCGCAAGGTGTATCAGAAGCAGCGCCCGGGGATCCTCTCACGGGGGTCCTCTTTGAGAGACCCTCCAGCGGTTGGAACTGGACAAGCATTCACAGTCAAGTCTCGCCAAGCGTCGAACCGACTTTAATTTGTTCCCACCCAGGTCGAAGACCCCCCTGAGGTCCTTGAGGCAAAGCTCCGCCAGCTTGCTGACATCATCAAAAGCAGCGACCGGGTCGTTTTTCACACCGGGGCTGGGCTGAGCACGGCTGCGGGCATCCCTGACTTTCGCGGCCCCCAGGGAGTGTGGACGCTGCAAAAGAAGGGACAGATGGCAGGAATGAACATGCGCTACGAGGAAGCGCGGCCGACGCAAGCGCATATTATTATTGCCGAGATGGTGCGAAGGCAGCTGATCAGTCACGTGGTGACCCAGAACGGTAGGTAAGAGGTGCAAGGATTTTCAAAGATAATCACTACGCGAAGACAGACAGCTTATATGGAAGTTGGTCAGCCTTCCAAACGAGCGATGTAGTTACTGAGCGGGGCCGCAAGTTTGAGGTTTAGAACTCAGTACGAGTATGACACCAACTTCCTGAATCAGAAGCTATTCTCCCGAACGAGGTTCCAGGTAACTTCGATGTCGAGAAGTCAAAACTTCTGTTTGGAAGGTCAACAATTGCTTGCAAAGCGGCGTGATTTTCTCAAGTCTTTGACTTGGCCATATCTTTTGGAACAACTTCGTATTTGAAGGAAACCATCTTCGTTGTAGAACTTTATCTGCCCAAGCTTGTGTGAGGTTGCAACAATGAGCGAGACATTCATGACGACCTTTCAAATCTCCTTTATGGTGTCTGAGGGCCTACATTGAGGACTTCTGTTTCTCGTGTAATGGGAGAACGCGTCTGACGGACGGAAACCTCTTTCTGCACGTGGACATTCTTGAGCTTTCGTGTCTCTCAACATCTCTTACGTCCTGAAAATCTTGAGCTGGGACGGCATCTTATCAGTCAAAGCTTCCTGAACGTGACCTTAAATTGAAGGTCTGCCCTGCTTATGAAGCGCAGAGTGATCTCATGAACCGCAGTTGATCTTCTTTCGACCAGATCGTTCTAAGATTCTTGGCACAGCCTTTAGACCGGCAGCCATTGGCGTATCAGTAGTTCATTAGATCCTTCGATTCTTTCGAGAGTTTTCTAAACGACAACCATAAATATCTGCTCCTCTTTGCAGTTGACGGCTTGCTGCTGCGTGCGGGTGTTCCCGCTGACCGCCTTTCCGAGCTGCACGGGTGCGTTTACACCGAGCGCTGCCCCTCCTGCGGCCGAAGCTACCAGCGGGGATATGACGTCACTGCGGCCAACGGCACCGCCTTCCGTCGGCACTCCACCGGGCGGACGTGCGATGGGCTGGCGCAGCTGGGGGGAGCCACGTCAGCAGAGCAGGTAAGCGCAGCGTCGGAGGGCTTAAGGGCTTCGGAAAACGAAAGAAGAGGTGGTTCTTACGTTCGAACTGGGGGGGAAAAGGAAGAGGAAGCAAGGGGCAAGGAAGGAGACAATCGACGTGCCCGGTTGAGAGAAGACTCGGAGGGGCCGGCACAGGGGGTGGGGCAACGCTGTGAGGACGGCTTCGCAAGTCGACTTGAAACGAACATTGACACGGGGTCCGAGCCGCCGGTTGCAGAAACGGCGGCTGACTGCTCTGTAGAGTCGAAGGCATCGGAAGCAACCGGGGCCGGAGGTTCCGACGGCCACGAGCGGAACTTCGAACTTCGAGAGCGAGGGTGCAAATCCGAACCGGGAGAAAGTACACCCTGGGCTTGTTGTCCAGGAGAGCCCGGTGTTGAGGAGAACAAAAGTGACCAAGGGAAGGAAGACGGTGCAACGGTGCAGCGGTGCGGGGCCCAGTTGCGGGACACTATCGTGCACTTTGGCGAGCGTTTGGACGAGAACACGCTGCGGACGGCCAGGGAAGCGTCTGATGGCGCGGACGTAGCGGTTGTACTGGGGACCAGCCTCAAGGTGAGAGTTGCACGGCTTCCCCCGTTCTCGGAGCAAAGTTTAAACTGTAAAGTGAGACAGAGTATCAATTTTGTTTCCACTGAGGAAGCGAAGACTCCGTTTGGTTAGATGCTGAGGTGAATCATTCAGGTTTAGTTTTGATCTGGATTGCTCGAGCTGCGTTCCTGAGTCGAGCTCGTTTTCCGTCGGTTTGAAGATTCGAAATATCGAATGGTACTGAGGCAATATGGCTCAATGGTTGCCGGGCCCTCCTTGCCGAAGCAGCTAAGAGTCGTTCAACTTATCATGGGCCTTTCCTCTTGGCAGTCCGAACGTAGTTCAACAGAATCTAGACGCTCTTGTCACGCTGTGCTTGAAAGCTGCCCCTTGCATTTGGCTGGCGTTTGTTTCTTCCTGCGTACCGCTGTCTGTCAGCAAAGAGGCTGAATAGCAGCTCCCTCGTTTCGTATCAAACTCTGCTCGGCTTGCAACCTCGCTGAGATTCAACACAGTTTCGTCGAGAGCTCGAACGACTATTAGCGCCCCAAAATCGAACGAAGCCTTTTCTAACACTGACTTTGCTCGAATTTTGCTCAGGTCCCGCCAGCCTCAACTCTGCCTGGGCTCGCAAAGACGGTGATCATTATCAACTTGCAGTGGACCGCGAAGGATAAGAAAGCCGCACTGAAGATCAATGGCCGCTGCGAGGACGTTATGGGGAGGCTCGCTCAACTGCTGAATATAGCAGTGCCCGAATATGACATTCGAAAAGATCCAAATTTATGTAGAGGTCTCTGTAGCAGTCAAATTAGGCCAGCCGTTCCACCCGGAGCTCTGGGAAACACTCAAGGTAAGGTTGAGGAAGGAGCGGTGGCGAAGGGGGCCGCGCTGAAAAAACGACGTGTTCGACAAACGGAATCGAGAGGGAGGGCGGCATTCCCCCGGCCTGTCCTTTAGCAGGGTGGACGACTCTTTGAACGTTGACATTTGATAAGCATGTGCTCCTGGTGAAAGGACGGACGATTGCACGGCCCCCAGCAACTTCTCAGTTCATTGGTACATCCTGAAAGAGATGCTGTGCATGCAGAATGACCAGTGGTTTCGTAACAACTGTTCTTTAGCCGATTCGTATCCAGTCACTGAGTACTTAATCTCTGACAAGTTCTAGATTGAGGAGAATTTACTGGCATGATATACATTACGGTAGATCAACCCACCTACTCAGTCACTGCTTCTTTCGATCTAGAGCAAGTCAGTACACCGTCATTTAGACGGGGACAGCTAATCGGGGTATATCTGCAACGTTCAATAGGCTCGGAAACTTGAAGCAGCCAATGATGGCGGCTGGCATATACCACATGTGCATAGGTACCTATGCGTAATTCACCACTTCAATCATGTATAGAATGATTACTAACGCGCATACTTATGGTATGCGGCCGTCGGATATCGCCATACTTAGATCGAAGACGTGTGCAATCACCATGCTGGCATGCATGTACATATGAAGTTATGGCCTACTGCATGCGGTCGGCGCCGGGGCGAGACCACACGTGCGCTGGACTTGGTACAGCTCCAGAATTTGGGCGGGTCAAGTCGAGCCAGAGCTCCCGGCATGAATTAACATCGTTATTAAATTGTAGAGAGTTAAAATTAGATCTGGAACGGTCTATGATCCGTTCTCATGGGCCAAACGTTCATATTGCGTGAACATACATGCATGATCCTACATGATGACTGCAGAGAGTCGAAAGCGGGCACGACATGCCAACGCAGGCGTTCGAGGCGGAATGGGCTCCACTTTCAATTGCTTTGTTTATCGCTCATGCGGATATGAACCCTGGCACATAGGTTGAAGAAGCAAATCGACTGCGGACTGACAATTACAGGGCCCCGGGCCATGCGCGACATGCGTTTGCAGTCCCCTTTCGAACCAGTCGACGGGCACTTGACACAAAACTCCTGGCTTCGGGGTCTCTCATCTCATGACTTTTCCTCTGTCCCACTAACGCCAAGTCTGGGACTCAGTATTAGGGCCGACTCTTTTGACCAGCACCCTAACGCCCTAATCGTATGCTGTTTTGCCCAATGATCTCCTCAACCCCGTTCTCGCACGACAAAGCCAGCTCCTATTATCTCAAACCGGCCCTTCGAGTCGTCAACATGCAGGTATTCCTTGACCGTGTGGCAACTTCCTAGCCGCCGCCTCTCTCATCGCTACGACCTGCCGCATCTGCGTCGCCCAGTTGCTGGTGGGTTGGTCCAGCCGTACAAGCCGTTGCGCCAGGAACTCGGCCGCGGACGTCGCCTCGAGCCCGTACATCATGGCCTGTAATGCGGGTGTAAAAACAGAGTCTCAGTTTTTACGTGGGGTCCCGTCAGGTTTTCCTTTCTCACTTCAAGCTGAGAGAGGGCAGGCTTACAAGAAACACGTTCCTAAGAGGAGTAAATGCAAGTGGGAAAGGATAGGATCTTTCCATGTTGAGTAGATAGACGAGTCGCTCCGGAATATGGCTCTCGCTCTTCAGGAAATATCAGTATGAAGCGCACGGAAACCCAGACGTTGGCGGCTCGGTTGACAGCCGCTTCGGCACACGGGAACCTCGGCAATGTCAGAAACATCGTCCCGCAATCCTCAGACTTCCCGAGAACAAAAACGTAAGCTCGTAACCCTGTGGCTATCCGATCACTCACACCCTGCGTTGCAAAATCCAATGAGTGCAGCCCATTTCCGTACCTTGAGCTGCAGCGCGACGTCGTTGGTGAGTAGCACCGCCTCCCCCTCGTTCCGGTCCATGTACAGGCAGCACCCCAGGATGGCGTCGTCCGCGCCGCTAAACTCGGGGGGGCCGTTCTTGATGGGCTCCACCTGCCAGGCACACAAGCCAGCTAGATTAGACGCGAGCATGTAAAGTACCGGACTAGTGAGGAATTTCGGTCAGCAACGGCCGGATTGACTAGCCAAGAATCTGGGCCGTTCGATGGAGGACTTCTGCGTCATCAAAGGGTCCAGATTCTGAGCGTGAGGTAAGTTCCGTGATCGTTCCCAATCGGGCCCAAGTTGGGCGGACAGGCTTGACCGAACCTGATGTATGATAGGCAGCCACCGCTGTACGTGGCTGTGGAACTGTAAGGCTCAACACACCACATTCACAGACTGGATTGACCGTGAATTCATTCTTGCCGGATCCGGGCGCAGACCGGCCCTTCGAGATGATCTGTGTGGTAAGCTGGGCGGAATTCAGGGCAAACATATGACTTCAGGCTGGCTGCAGGAAACCAAAGAGACCTGCATCCGATCATGCACTTCCTGGAAACGACAGCAACTCACGCTGCCGCGATAGAGAACAGGATTGTCCAACCTTCTCAGAGTGTATAGTTGGTAATCTGCTTCGCAACTGTATGCGTCGAAGGACGCGCTGCGCCTCCATGTGAATGCAGGAATTCACCAGTCTGCTGACTTATGGTACTTTGACAAGTAACTTTCCAGTAAACGGCCTTTTTGGTGCCAGCTCGATCGCTAAAGCCCTGAGAGCACTTCTGCCCAGTCGAGATAAGAAAACGGACACTTCCGACTGGCGGACTGAGCGGACGCCTTTGCTACATGGAGCCCCAAGCGCTCGTCTCGTGGCGTTCCACGCGAACTCTCAATTCAAGGAGTAATGAGCTCTATAACTACTAAAATCGAGCCCGGGGGACGGGTGTGGTTGGGTCGGAGGTTAGAGTGGTTCCAATGCGGAGCGCGTACATTTCTGGGCTAGGGGATTGAAATTCGTCTTCGCCCGGTGGAATGACCTTGTTATTTATGGAGCTTCTTGTCCATGAATCGAAAAGAATCAGAGACTTATGTTCACATGGCCTCATCATGGGCAGAACCTCAACAGCACGGTTCGCTTCAAGCGAACCCAACCGGTCAACTAGCCTTGGCTTTAACCTTGTGAGCAGGACATACATCAACTTTCACAAGCATCCGCTGAGTGTCAAGCTCGCTACTTTTCTTCATGCAGCAACGGAGAATTTCAGTGCGTTTTGAGTGATTACCTGGACCATTTTCTCCGGCCCGGCCAGTTTGATGCTGGAAGGCCGCGCCTTGCAGCCGTGGCTCAGGAAACGGAGCGCCGCCCGCGCCATCCCCGACGTGTTCGGGTTCAGCTTCAGACCGTCAAGTTCCCTGATTACTGCAAAGTAAAAGGAGGTGTGAGCTTTTCGGCCGATTCCTTTGTCTGCTCGAGCGATCTGACGGACGGAGGAGGAAACTATATCCATTATAAGCTCGAAGGCAAGATGTACTTAAAAGGGAATTCTGGGGACGACAGGCATCTGCTATATCTAGAACACGAATGTCGCATTGCAGACGGGATAGAGCACTGAAGCGTCGAGAGCAATGACGTATATTACGGGACAGAAGCAAGGCGGGGGATACAGAGGACAACAAAGTGAGGCGGAGACGAATCAAAGGAGAACGGAAGAAAGCCATACGGATGAGGACAGTTAATGCACGCCCCAATCGGTGAGCTTGAACACGGCTTTTCGAAGTCAAGAAGGGACGATAAACGTACCGTCCCTCTCGACCAGGAGTAAACGTCTGCCAAATCCGTTCGAATGCAGAGATATCGAATCGTCCTTCCGAAACAACATTGGTTTCTTCTCACTGATGATCGAGTCGTACTCTCATCACACCAAGTGGCGCTTTCTCACCAGCATTCGGAACCACAATGACCACCCCCTCTGCGCCGTGCCACTCATAGCATTGCGCGCCGTCCGCCACGCTCTGCGCCGCCTCGTAAATGCGCCTGACAGCTGGCATGTCGGACGCGGACAGGTAGCAGTTGGTGTCCACCACTACGTACAAAGTGCCCGCCCGCTCCTTCGGACCGTCCGAAACATGCCCAACAGGTGGCGGCACATGGTTGGCAAATGCAGACCCGGAGTGCACCTCCACTGTCCGCCCATCAAAGGAGCGCACCGCCTTGGTTCCACGTTCGTGCGAAACATCGAACACTAGGTTTTCGGGTGACGGCTCCGCAACCTGCCCGACAGGTGGCGCAGCCTGGTTCGATGCGGGAAAGGGGGACACCTTGACAGTCTGCCCGTCAAACAAGCGCACAGACTGGTTCCAGCTGCCGTCAGAACCGTCCAATGCCACATTTGCGGCCGACTGCTCCACAGAAACCCCGCTTTCTCCCCATTCCCCTTGGGAGTACCCACCCCAGCTTGTAGGCTCAGCCGTCGGATCTGCCAGCTGTAACTTCTCCGCAAACGACAGCGCAAGCTCGCTCTCTCTCTGGCAGCGCACCCCGAGCGGGCTCTTTTCTACGGCCAGCTGCGCCCGGCTCGCCGCATACTCTCTCGCCGCCTGGGTTATCTTTTCCAGCTCCGTCTGCGCTCTCTCGGGCCCCGATTTTTGCACGACCGTCTGACGCGCGCCCTTGAAGATGTTAACCAACTCTGGCGAGGCAAACACGTCCGAGTATGACTCCCTCCGCCCTCTCTGCTGGCCAGCTCCCGGGTTAGGGTTAGGGTCTCGGTTTGGATTCGGGTTAAGGGGGCTTGGGGACGGGCTCGCAGCGCCCCGCTCGGTAGCAAACGAGTGGGCGGTACGGAGAATCTCTTTCAGGGCGGGGGAGGCGGACTCGACAGAAAAGGGGCTTGCAAAACCCCCCAAAGCAGGGGCAGGGGTGGCACATACCTCCGTAGCGAACGCGTCCTCGCTGCTCATCGCTGCTCCCCCAGACTCAGAACTCTCCCCCTCACCCTGTGCGCTCAGAGAAAACGCGTCCCCTGAGTCGCCCGAGCTTCTTTCTCCAGGGGAGATGTTGATGGGGTTGGTTGCTGTGTCGCCGCTGGAGTGGGGGGTGCTTGGCTCTGGAGGGGTTGCCTTGGGAAACAGGAACCGGAGGTCGAGAACCGGATTGCCGCTCCGGGCCTGGGCTTCTACGGCAGGGGTGGTTAGTGCAAGGGTGGGCCGTGGGGCGGGGAGCGGGGTTTGCTCCACGGCTTGAGAAGGAGTTTCCCCGCTTCCTTCTTGGGCTGAAGGCGTGTCGACGGACGCTGGTGCTGCGTCTTGAGGGGGTTTCGAATGCGAGGGGAGTTTTGTGGGGCTTTTCACCAGGGATTTGGAGCCCTTCTTGGCGGGGCTGCTGCTCTTGGGCTTGAACGAGAACGCGACCTTCTTCCCAAAAACCCAGCCCTCCCCGCTGGAACTACTCTGTTCACTCAACTGCTCGAAGGTCGCATCCGCGGCAGTTCTCTCCTGCCCCGACTTTTGGAGCTGTTTCACTGCTGCGAAATCCTGCCACTTGCGTTGCTTCTCATCCACGTTCACCAGGGCTTCTTTCAGGACCCTGGCGCGCACCGCCCTCTCTTTCCTGCTGAGGACCAACCTGGTGGTTGGTACAAGCGATGTCTGAGCAGGTTTCGCATCAGCATCGCCCGCATTTTGCTCTTGCTCCTTTGCCATGACACCTTCGGGGCCTGGGAATGAGGCTTCCTTAACTGAGTCCTCACTCTGCTTGTCATACAATTGAGGCCCTGCCGAAAGCACGGCCCCAGCATTGCCCTCTGCTTGACTTGTCCGTTCCTTGGACATGATCCTGCTTTCGGCCTTCACGTGGACCTGATTGCTACTGTTGTTGCTAACCTCTGCGCTTTGCTTCAATTGTTTGTCCTGCAACCTTTTGACCCCTGCAATTGCGGCGCCGCTCTCCTTCTTACAATGTGCAGCGCTTTCCGGCATGCCCATCGACTCCACCTCCTCATCCTCATCTCCGCAGCAACTTAGCGCTTCCAACTCCGCTTCAAACCTCCTCATCTCTTTTTCCAGGGGGTCCACCTGCTCCGGCCCATCCTGCAACTCGCTCGTGCGCGCCGCACCTTCTTGCTGTTTTGTCGCTGTCCCAGCGCGCTTGGTGCGACGCCCTTTGGCCAAGCTGCTCGATGGTGTTTGTTGCTCTGCATTGAGCGAATCCTCGGCGGCGGGGTCGCTCGCTACAGCCGCCAGACGGGCCGCTGCCGCCCGAGTCAAGACCATGCTGCTGCTGCTGGGGAATTGTTGGGGCTTTTAGCGGTTCTCGATTCCAGCGCACCGAATCGAGGTGAAATACAGTGCATCCCAGGATTTCCAGTACTGTAGTGCTTCTTCCAAATTCTTCAATCTTCACAGTTCACTGGCTTCGGCCTTCACTGCCTCAGGGACGAAAGGAAGAAGCTTGACTGAAGACTGAAGACTGAAGGGGTCAGCAGTGAGCACCCCTTCAACCAAGTTCAAGTTCTTGGATTTGAATCTTTCGGATGGACGTTGCAGTGTACGCGCTTTTGGGCGCGCACAGCCAGAACCTACCGGCCGCAAAGTTCAGGTATCGGAACGTACCGGGAGAAAGACAGATCTAGACGGTACCTACCGGTTGATGATCAAGGTACCTAGTAAAGACTGGGTGCCCGGTGGATCCGCAGTTGCGCCGTCTGTGACTCTGTGCCCTGTACATACGGTTCCCGGAACGGTACTCTTTTGATAACCATTTTGCAGAACGCCCGGAGAGGCAAGTGCCGGTCACAATAATAATGCGGTACATACCTCATCTCTGGCTCGTACCCAGATCACGGCTCATGAAGGGTCATTCAGAATCACAGAGCAAGTTGCAGGCGGTTTGAAAGAAGGCGGATAGGACGAGATTCAGCCAAAGCGTCGCCGCGCCAGGGGTCCCGGCCTTGTGGGGTCTGCAAATGCGCTACCTTGGGGCGTCTGCTATGCGAACGATTCATGCAGCACCTGTGGCGTGACGTCAGCATGTGCATCGTGTGCGCGGGCTCGAGATGGTCGCGGCGGCTGGCGGGCGCCGCGCCATGGCTTGTGGTGCCCATTTTGGTCCTGTGGGGGGTCACGCAGTTCTTCCCCAAGGGCTGGAGGATAGAGGTGACGTCACCCCGGGTGCTGTGCGTCATTACCCTGCTGAGCTTGGCGTGGTACGAGTTGGCCCTCCCCAGGTTGAAGGACTTCCGGGCGCGGCGTAAGGCGGAGGCGCTCGAGCGGAAGCGCATCCTGGCCTTGGAGGAGGTGAGTCCTCTGTGAATGTTGAAGGAGCTTGAAAACGAGAGTTCTTGGACGGGTGCATTTGCAGGAAAGGGTGGAGTGACATGGCAATGGTTGCCTCGCGGCTGAACCTTGCCCAAGCGAAAGGGAGAGTGTGTGGAGGGGTGAGAGCTATGGCCAGAGGGCATAAGCAGGCAGGCACGTGCTCTGACCTGCAAGGGGCTGCTTCCTAAAAAAGTGATTCTTGTCAACACCAGAGTTGAACAGTGGTTCTTGTCAATACCAGAGTGTTCTTTGATTGGGGCAGGGAAAATGAATGGACGAGGTGCAGAGCTACATGAGAATATGGAAGCCCCTTTAACGCGTGGGCCACAGGTCTTACATTCAATGGTGTTGGAGCTTGCCTTCATGTCATGGGCTCTGGCATTGAGCTGAAGGGGCTTGCATCCACCCAGATTCTTGGGAAGCTCAGAACTTTGTGGTGGTTTTTGGCTCTATTGTGACTTTCTACAGTCAAACTCACCTTGGCTGATGCTATTTTGATTTGCGGGCTGTATCAGTTTCATTGAGCAGGACAGGAGTCCCATGGTCAATGCAGGGCCTTGGAGCCGCCCTGCTATAGATTTTTGATATCTTGGGCCGCCCACTGTCAAATCTTCTGAGCTGGGGTTTTCTGCCCTTGCACTTTCTCCTGGCACATCCTTGCGATCGCACGTCAGGCTCATTCGTCTCTGCCTCCAAGCGCTGTGGAGGCATTCATTCCCTGCAATTCTTTCCCTGTGCATTCCACTTTTTGCCCGCCTGTTTCCTCATGCTGTCACTCCTGCTTTCTTCCAGGCACGGTGGCGGAAAGTCGCCACTAGGCGGTGCCGCAACTGCCTGGCCGCGTATGAGAAGCAAACACCCCCGGGCGGCAAGTTCATGTGCACTTACTGCGGGCACGTCTCCCGAAAACCCGTCCTCGACGCTCCAAATGGAGCCGCACCAGGAACGGGGGGTAGCGCCGGGCGAGGGCCCGGTTGGCTGCTTGACTGGTGCGGCGCGCTGAAAGAGGCGCTCTGCCTCGAGCGGTGTGAAAAGGGGCAGAAGGCCGGGTGGTTAGGGACGGGGTTGTGGCTGACCTCGTGGGGGGTGTCGCTCGGGCTGTGGCCGCTGCGGCGCGGGTGGCGTGCGTGTCGCGCGCTGCAGGGGTTGCGGGAGGACGAGAAGGGAGACGAGGGGCGGCGGGGGGAGCGGCGGGGGGACGAGGGCGCGGTGAGCAAAGAGGAGAAAGCGAGAAAGAGAGCGGAGGAGAAAGCGCAAGCGCGGTTGGAGCGGGAGGCACTCGAGGCGGAGGAGCAGAAGCAACGGCTCGAGGTGGCCCGGCTCGTGGAGGAGCGGCGGAGGGAGCGCGACAGGCAGCTGGCCGCGCAGAGGGAAGGTGAGGGGCCGGTTGGGCGCGTTTGTAAACATGTGCATTGAGAGCTTAGGAGGTTGTCTGTTTTGCAAAGGGTAGGCAAGGAGACGTTCGGGCCCGCTGCAGGTTCCTGTATGCTGAGGCCAGAAATGCAGCTTCTATCCAAGTAATTGTTGGGTGTTACTGCCAGTAGTATCTTTTGGAAGGTGCTGCTTTGGACAGCTGGAAAAGCTTGTTTCACAAGGCGAGTTGATGATAGGCCTCTCAGAACTACTGCAGGGCCTCCTGCTTTAAACAGCTGGGCAATGGAGCCCCTTTTCGGATGTTAGATGAGCTTTCATAGAGACTTGGCAATCGTTACTGGTTTGGTACTGGGGTCTTGTGAGGAAGCACAGATGTAATGGATCTTGAACGCAACCTCTCTTGGCATCGTTCCTGCCGGATGCTAGTTGAAGCCAGGCTTGGAAAAGGTTGCTGCAAAAGCCGCGTGTGGTCAGCATTGCGTGAAGTACACAGGATAAGGTTGGCCTAAAGCTTCCAAAGTAGGCCGTATCATGCAAGGTTTGTGCAGTCGGTAGTGGTCCTTTGGTCAGTTTTCGCGCGCCCTGTTGCATGCCAGTCCTGTCAACTGGCACGTCAGCCTAATAACAAACACCCATAAGGTGACTCTGTTAGTTTCCGGCCGCAATATCAGTCGTCTTCTCTGCTTTCCAGGTGTCTTTGTCTAGAATGCTCAGAGCAGTCCACAAGCCCAGCATGGCAAAGAGCACGCTCTTGCCTTGTTGTGGCATCTATGCTGCCTTGCTTGATGATCCAGCATTGAGCATCTTTTGAAAGGGCGTCTGTTGTAGTTCGTCTCTTTCAATCTGAAAATTGTATATAATTTATGGCCCTGGCTCTTGACGAGCATTCACCGTATGTTCAGCAGGGTGGTCCCGTGGTTTCAAAGTCAGCTTTTTGTTAGTCGTGGGCTGCTCTCGCGTGCTTTGTCAGGCAAGGTCTAGGGTTGAGCAGGGGCATATACATCTGAGCAGGGGCATATACCTCTTTCGTTACTTGCAAGTTTCAGGTGAAAACTTTTTTTGCACCAAAAGAGGTGTGAGCTGCGCTTCTCGTTAGTATAGGGAGATTTCTGAGGCGAGGGTTGACAAGAGTTATGCGGGAGCCCTTGCTTGTGAGCTGGGTTCGCCAGAATGTGCTCAGCATATGCAGGGTCACATACGCATCGCAAAAGTGTTTAAAGCCACTTGGTTGGGTGGCAGCTTATGAATAGTGAAGGCATGGCTTCGCTGTCCCCATCCAAGTTGCAGTGTGGGGGCTGAACCCTCACACAGGGCAGCTCATTGTGGAGAAGGATTGGAAGCGGTTGCTTTCTCCTGTTATCTTTGAATTTCAAGACTTTCATTTCTGTTTTGGTCTTGACAGGACCACTCTGTGGAGGCCAAAGGTGGGCGGCAAAAGCAACGCTTGATTTCAGATCACACTGCTGCTAGAGTCCTTTCTTGGTGTCACAGGATAATAGGATATTTGCTTTCTGGTGCAGGGGAAAAGGAGGCGGAGAAGGAGCGTGAGCGTGAACGGCGGCGCGAGCAAGAGACGGCTCGGCGGCGGCCCGACAAGCAGCGCGACCGCCAAAAGGCGCCTGAGAAAGAGAACGAGAAGAAGCCGGCACGGAGCTCCTCGGGGGAGGTGGACAAGCCGGCCCGGGGAAACCAACCGGGCCCTCTGCGGGACACCAAAGAGAAAGTAGGCAGCGACCGGGAAGTCAAACCGGTCTCTCGGCCGCTCAACGGCACCACAACCCAGAACCACACGCGCTCGCCCCCCGTGCACCTGAAATCGGACCTCGACGCGAAAACGCGAGCGGGGATTGTAAAGAATGGGCCCGTGATTAACGTGCGGACAGTCCAGGCAAAGGTTGCGGCGGCCGTGGCAGCGGCCAAGACCAATCAGAGTGCGCCAGGTGTCAGGCCCCCTGCAGTGGGGCCGAGCACCACCAACGCGTGGGCGAATGGGCCGCTGCCAGCTGTCAGGAAGGCGGCGACATCGCAGAAACCTGCAACGCCGCCGCCAATAATGCCTCCTGGGTCTGGGGTCGGGTCAGCAGCGGGGGCAGGGGGCGCAGGGGAGAATGGTCCGGGGGGGGCGAGCTCTGCCTGGTTCGGCTCTGCATGGGCCACCCCCTGGGCGAAGGTGGCGGCGGCTGGGGCGGAAGCAGCGGGACCGGGGCCTTCGTCTGCAGTAAGTTGTGTTTTTCTGGCCTCGTCAAGGCCATTAAGGTGGGCGCTTTTCCGTAATTTGGGGCGGCGATAGGCTCGTGCTAAGGCTTTTTCCTCATACGACATCTGCTTTGCTTGCGGAGTCGATGGTTACTGGGTTTGGAGCTGTCAGTACGCGCAAAGGCCTTTTGATTTGCTGTTAATCCGACGGCTCCCAGCGCTCAGAAGCACCTCCCTGACAGTCCCAGAGATTGCCCGTACGTCAACTTCTTCTTTGACGGTGCTAATGATTTCCGTTTTGGTGTGCACAGCCAAAGTCGCCCTCAGCCCCCCAGCCCGGTCGCTCCTGGCACAGCCTCTTCACCCGCCACTCCCCGAGCCAGCACGACCCCCCCCCTCCCCTCCACCTGCAAAGCAACCCCCCGTCGCCATACGCGTCGTCTCCGTTGGGCTCTCCATTTGGGCGCTCCCCAGCTTCACCCCCCCTCCCCGAAGACTCCACATTCGAACCCCCCTACGGGACGAATGGGTTAGCGTACGGGCATGCAAAAGGGGTGTGGGGAAATTCAACGAGTTCCTTGGGCCAGTTTACACAAACCGAAAGGGGCCAGTTCGCACAATCCGAAAGGGGCCAATTTACGTCGTCTGAAATGTCCGCGCCCCATCGGCCAGCCCCGGTGGGCACAAAGGTAAGAAACGGGACGGCAGACCCGATCCAGCGGCTGGTAGACGATCCCTGGGGAACCGGTGTGAATAGCCGCTTCCAAGACGGTATGAACGGGCACGGTAACAGCCACAGCGCGAACGGGCGCTACCAATCGGACGGAGTGAACGGGCGCTTCCCGGGTTGGGACGAGAGCGGCAGCAGCAGCGGGTCTTCTGGCAAATGGCGCATGTGGGACACCCCGGCCCTGGAGGAGATTTCTCACACCTCGGCGCAGCTCTCGCAGCCGTCCCGGGGGGGTCCCCCGGGCATGCCGTCGCGCCCCCTGTCGGCGGACTCCGTCGCCTCCTCCGCCTCGTCCTGGAGCTACCGCCCCGGAAGCGCGCGCAGCCAAGCCACCCCCCCGCCAGAATCGGACGCCGCTCTCAAACTCGCGCAGCACCTGGAGATGCTCTCGCGGAGCCCCGGAGTGTCGCCGTCCCCCCCGCCGATCAAGATGACGCCCTCGTCGAGCATCTCGCTCCCGACGTCCCTTTCCCCGCGCTCCCCCCAGACCGGGTCTCCGAGCCTAAACCTCCCCAAAACCCTGTCCCCGCTCGCCAGCAGCCTCTCCCCCCAGTCGCTCTCCCCGACCCGCAGCCTCCCGACCTCGTTCGCGGCCCTGCCCGAAACCCTAAACCCCGAGCCTGCCGTGCCGGAAACCCTGCAGATGTACCAAGCCCTGTCGCCCACGTTGCTAAAGCCCGCGAAAGTGCTATCGGCGCTGCCCGCGTCGGCCGCGTCGGCCCCGCCGTTCATCCCCGAGTCGATGAGCAACTCGAGCACGGAGCTGGCGGAGGCGCTCGCGCGCGCGCACGCGGCACTGCCAAGTGGCGCGCCGTGGGGCGACCACGTGGCGAGGCTGGAGACGGCGCGGAGCATCTGGGAGGAGGCGGATCGCGCGCACATCATGGTGCCGCCGGAGTTTGTGGACTGCATAACCCAGGAGGTTATGGTGGACCCGGTTATAACTGCAGATGGGCACTCGTACGAGCGGTCGGCCATCGAGGTCTGGCTGAGGTGAGGGCTGCAACAATCTTGGTCGATCTTTCTCCTTTTCGCTCCCTGCAGATCCTCAGGTGCGAAGAAGCTACTCTGGTAAAGCGAGCTGGTGTCGCAAAGCCGATGTTTTTGCTAATTGTCATTTGCAAGATGCTCAAAGGGTTCAAACCGCCTTAGCACAGATCATGAGATCTTACGACACTAGCACAACCCCATATTTGTTGGATTTTGACCGATCCAATCGCTTTTCCTCTGCAAAGTCCCCGAAGCCTTACTTTTGCCGACCAATCTTTACGTTCTGCACTTTGACCGTTATCGGGGGCCCGCTTTGGCGATCAGCGGTTTTAGACATTGGTTGCGTCTCGGTATTGTACGGCTTGCTTTTTTACCGTGTGTTGTGCCAATCTGCCTACACTGTTGCTTTCTGCAGGCACCATGACACCAGCCCCATGACGGGCGAGGTCCTGCCCCCGCCCCCCGGCCAGGACAACACCGGGGTCGACAAAACGCTCCGCCCCAACCACATCCTGCGCGGCCAAATCATCGAGTATCGGGAGCGTCTTACGAGGGGGTCAGTGCTCTCTATATTAAATTCCTGGATGCATGGGTTTTGTTGCAGTTGGAAACAGCCGTTTTGGAACACGGAAAAGCCGACGAATGGGTACTAAGATGGCATACTGAGGGCTATCCTGACCATCTTTTTGCTCGAAGGACTTCGGAGTCGATGTCACATTCAGAATCAGTTGACCGCTTGTGGGCACACTCAGAAGGCGACTGTGCAGAGGACATTCTTGATCATTGTCGTCTAGCCTCGTCACCTTCTATGTTCTTGTCTAACGGAATCTTCGGACGATGCTCTAATCAGTGTCAGCTTGTATGACGCAGTCACCTAATTGCAGTTTTGACACTCTTTGTATGCTGCAGGGCCAAGCAGCGGGTGGCCGAGCAGGCGGGGTGGGGCAGCACGAGCGGCCAGCCCAGCGGGCAGGCCACCGAGCGCCCCCGCCTGGCGCTTTTCCTCCACAACGACCAGGGGGTCTGGTAGACTGCGCTTGAAAACCTCGTACGCAGTTGGGAATGTACTTGTGGGCGGGGGTAAGATCTGAGTGGAGTCTGGTAGGCTGCGCTGGAAATGCTACGCCAGAACGGGATTTACTTTTGGGCGGGGTTAAGGTTTGAATTTGCGGTCAGAACTGGGAGGGGTTGGGTACAATCACACAGCCGAGGAGGGTTCGGGACTGATGAATTTATGCTATGCCGTCGAGATGGGGCGAAGGTTGGCTGCAGGCGGGCGGGCCACGTTTTGGGCGGTGGGCTTTCGAAGCTCACGCCGCATGTCTGTCGAGAGAGAGCACGGGAGGAAAGTCCCGGACACGTGTCTGTTGCTAGATTGCGATTCTTTGATGGACCTGAGGGAAACGTCGTCAATATTTTTGTCTTCAACGGGGTCGTTGAACCCTTGCTAAGTTCGAGCCTCGTTCTTCATTTGGCACTCGCGCATCATTTGTGGGTTTCTGTAGTACAAACCCCAAAAGATGGTGATATGGTCACTTGCTACTATGAAACATGGGCGTAAGCCGTCGGTGATAATATGCGGGCGATCGTCCTGGCCGTCACTTTTTGACAACAGTGCAAGGTCCTGATACCCGTCCATTACCTTTGCTCATATGTACGCCAAAGGTCTCGCAACTGCACCGACTCATGACAAATGCTAACCTTATGAAAGTCCATGATGGTTGCTTTCCACATGTAAAGAATCATCACATGACCATGGGCATCGATTTGTCTGACGTTCATACAGATGTGCCTCAGCCGAATATGCGTGCTGGTGGCATACGTCAAACTTGGAACCTTTTGACTCAGTGACGCAGAGAATTGCAATCATCCGCTGCAGGTTATTACCGTTCGTTTACTACAGCATCATCAATCACTTGCAAACGTAAAAGTACCACTATTCTCAAGGGCGCTACCATCGTCATGGCCAACAGATATGCGAGTAGGTGGAGAGACTTCTGCCTGCTCCACCATAAACGGGGTGTTTGCAAATTCCTGCCTTGGCACGTTGTCTAACAATGTCCATGCTTTCCAGGTCATAGTTTTGCATGTGTCGATCTGGCCCGCAGCTGTAGCATGCAACCGTTTGACAAGTGCACCACAGATCGGATCATCCTTCACGCCTCCATGTACACATGGAGACCAGATCGAAACATGCACAGCACGGCAAATACACAGGTTGAACCGGACATGGCATTCCAACCGAACCACCACCCACTCATAACGCCCAAAAATCCCCTTCACTTCTCCCAACCACACTTTGTCCAGTCCAGCCGACAATCCGCCCACGAACCCGCTTCTCTAGTTTGCTGGGCCTAATCGAACAGGCTGAAGCCCATGTCCTCATCCTCCTCCTCCTCTTCCTCCACCTTCTCTTCCTTCTTCTCCTCGGCCTTGCTGTCCGACGCCGACTCCGCAGGGGCAGAAGCGGCGGCGGCCGCCAGGAACTTGGAAGGATCCTGGAGGGGGTTGGCACAAGCAGGTCAGAGGTGAGGAGAAGGGTAATCAGCTGGGGAAAGCGCACCCTCACTGAAAAAGTGGCATGCGCCGAGTTTTTGCACCCGGTTTTCTTCAGTCGTCCTGCCCTAAACGCGGCTTCTATAAGCCCTACGAAATGTGCACCCCTTAGTTTTACTGCTCAGGGATCCGTCGGCAATCCAAACAACACGGGAGCGGAAACCAAGTTACTCAAGCTCGCACAGATCTAAAAGACAAACGTACACCCTAACCCTGGGTTCGTAACCAGACTTTAGCGGATATCCAATTTCACTTCCGCAGTCAGGTGCAAACGCACTCCGCATGCCCGAACAATTTCAAGCCGGAGACCAATTTGAGGAACCCCAGAGACCCAACCCCACACCAATGTAACCCGGCTTCGCAACCTAACCCAGACTCAGAAATGAAACCCCAACCAACACGCAGCCTCAGCTCCGCGATCAAACTTAGACCGCAGCCGGCACCCACCTTGAGGAACTCCTTGACAGGCTCGGCGAGCGGGAACGAGTACTCGGTCTCGACGGCGATGGCGAGCACGTTCTTGTACGCGTTGACGATGGAGTGCGGGAGCGAGGCCAGCGTGGGGTAGTTGGCCGCAAGCGACAGGGCCGCTACGTTGGCGACGCCCGCCTGGAATGCGGACACGAGCTGGTCGTCCTCCAGGTCGAGCACCTTGGGGTCAAACGTGCTGCCGGCGTCGTACACCTTGTGGACAATCAGACCTGGGAAGGAATGCAGAAATTAAGGGTTAAACCTCGTTTCAGAAAGACGGCGAAGTGGGAAGGAAAGCAAAAATCAAGGTTAAACTTCGTTTCAGAAAGGGGGCGAAGAGGTTGGGAATTGGGTCAGGTGAACGTCGAGTCGGCAGTAGTGAACGTGAAGCAGCATTGCCTTGCACCTCGTGGACGATCACACCTTAAAGAGTAAGGGAGACCCGAAGCTTCGTGTTATGTTTGTTGACCTCTTACAGTTGACGACATGCCCAAATGCCTATTTCCTGTAATTCCGGCTTCAACTGAGATCTGCTTGAATCCAGCCTCCCACTTCGATCCGAGTACACACAGGTCCACTAGTTCTTCCGCTGAGTCAAACGGGTTCTTTATGCACTCTAAACTTCAACTAGCCGACTTTCTATTGGTGTGGATAGCAGTGTGAAAGCAGATACTTACTCCACGTGTCACATGCGGCCTCTACAGAAATATTTACAGACACAGATGGGCGGGGAGTCAGCAGGCCACGAACTCCGGACCGCGTCAACGATCTTCTTTTACAGATCAGAACTATAACCGGCCAGGCCACAGTGGTAATTTTCAACAATGGAACCAGGGAAAAGATTAGCGGGCAAAGGCCGAGCTAAACTGAAGATCTGGAAGTGGGGGGCACGCACCGTAGCTGAAGGGCCTGATGTTGAGCTTGGCCAGCAGCGCCGCCTCCGAGGAGCCCACCTTCTCACCCACCTTGACCAGCTCGACGGGCGCCACGATTTCGACGGTACCCTTGTTAATCTTGGTGGGGATGTTGAGCACCTGTGAGGGGGAGGAGGTTGAACGTCAGGGCAGAAGTTGGCTCCGTGCATCATCGCAATATTAGTATGATGGACCTAGTCAGACTCGATGAGACGACGTCATGAGCACTGAATGCATGATCAGGCTTGCAGGGGAGAATCATCGACCGACCACTTTGCAATCCACGCTCCCAAGGGAGTCGACAACAAGGGGGAGTTTTCAGAACTTGTAGAGTCGCCCTGCTTGAAAACGGGTTGACCGTTGGGGTTGGGAACTCTTACTGCAACTGTTTGACAGCGCTATACATCCGGTAAGCTCGAAACAACCTGTCAGATTCGTGCAGAAGTACCTGCCCTCAACACCGTTGGCAAACCTACTAAACGTTACCAAGACCCCTCACTGCCGAACCTAGAGAAAATCAAAACTCAGCCCTTTACAAAACATCCGCGAAACAACTCCCCGTCACCCGTTTCCAGGCCAGCCCCTCACCTGGAAGAAGGACGTCTGCGAGGGGTCCAGCCCGGTGTTGCCGGGGGGCACGACGACGTCAATGGGGGCCACGAGCCCCACACGCGCGGGCGCCCCGACCTTGTACTTGGCAATCTCGTCGCGCACCTCCTTCAGGTCGCCCTTGGTGAAGATCAGGCCCACGTTGCCCTGAGATAGAAACGACACTTCAGTATCAGGGACCTGGGCCACTGCACATAACGTTGTTTGGTATCTTTGATGATGTTCGACTAATACATGTTGTTTGAAGTTTCTGACACTGTTTGAAGTCTTACAACCGTCTGATGCCGTTGGTGATGTTTGGTGTCTTTGCGCCCACTTGTTCTCTTACACCCTCCCCCTGGCCGGTGTTGTACCGTTTTACAGTGGAGAAACACAGTGGCTGATATTAGGGGCAACGGTAACAGGCAAGTTTGACGAGATAGGCGGCTATGACCAGTGAGCACTAAGATGCCTGACTGTACCCCACAGAGGCTTGTTTTATTAATCTGCCTCGCTTGCAGAGCAAACATGCGTACTTGCAAGCAGGTCTGCTGAGACGCGCCTGTTCAATTCCAATGACTGCGGGGATAGTCTGTCCGACTCGCACCCATGAATCTTATCAGATAAGCTGTTCCAACAAAAAACAGACTTCCCAGGATGAAAGAACAAAGCAAGCTTCACGCACCACAAGGAGGGGCACGAGCTCCAGGAAGGCGTCGTTGCCGGTCTTCTCGGCGTGTGCGCGCACTGAGCGCTTCATCATGGTGTTCTTGCCCATGAGCACCGTCGAGTCAGGGCGCAGCCCCCGGCGGATGTTCTGCAGCTGCTGGGAACCGACATTGTCCGCCTGCGCAAGAAAGGGGGAGTCGTCAGAGTGTGCCCAGAAAGTGGGGGAGTGTATATCACACGTGAAAGGGTGGGAAGCATGAGAGCGATACACAGAACGAAGTTGGCGACACTGGAGGGGTGAGTCAGTATAGGTGATGACTTGGAGAAGACCCGATTGGCTCTCTGCTGTATTACAAGAGGGGTGGGGACGCAGTATGTCTATAACAGTACAAGCGGAGCGTGGCTGCGCCTTTGCAACCTGCGGCTCCTTGTGTAAAGGAAACTGTCCGTAGAACAGATTAAAGAACTGAATTCTCCTTGATAGACCAGCTGAGAACCTCACTAATGAGTCCTGACACCTTTGTCGTGTTTAGTCGCCCATTCCGCGATGGGGCCTTATACGGTTGGATTTATGAATGTTCCTGACATAGGCTTTTGGGCACGCATGAGCAGGCAGACTCAGTGAAGATTCTGCTGTAGCTTGTTTGAGATGCAATCTGTCGCAGCACCCAAGCTGAAGAATGCCGATGATCATGCCAATAAGGACTTGTAAACACTCTTGTTTATGACAAAAGAACCACCAGTCTACAGCAAAGTCGTTTCCTGTTACCATCTGTACCATTACCGTATGACCGCCAGTTGCTTGCTTGCCTTGTTACAACCAAACCCGATGGCAATGGTTGCAAAACCCTCCAGTCAACCACCATCCACAACTTGTTTCATCCCTGTCAAACCTCTTGAGCAAGTCATTTCCATTTGAACTTCCCCTCGCAGAGCCCCCAACTTTGCTAGTCGCTCCTGGAGAAAGGGTCTCTAAAGGGGACACACAACAGCCATCTCCCCCGATTAGCTGCCCACAAACGAAGCGTGATTGCCGCTCACAATGCAGATGAAGATCTGCTGGTACTCGTCCAGCAGGTCGCACAGCTTCTTGTCATACGCCTCCTTCTTCTCCTGCTTCGTGCCCTTCCACCCCATGGCTGCAGACTGCTAATCCAAACAGAAGCTGACGTGTGATAAAAGTCTGTAAACGGTCGAAGACGGGGCCCAAGCACACGTCTAGCGGTGCAAGGTGGGTAGCGGGGGGCGCTACCTCTTTAACCCGTGTCGTCTTCTTCAAAGAGTTGGAAAGAGGACGAAGCAGGAGGGGAGGGGAGGTGTTGAACAGCTCCGCACACGTTATCGGCTTCGAGATCGAACTCGGGAAGTTGGAAACAAACCGTAGTTCTGCCGATTCGGTTCGACGACTTGCTTACCAAACTTCAAGCTGCCTGCTGCCGCTTTCACCTCAACACGCAGCCTTCCTCCACAAATTCAATCTGGATACATACCACCAGAATTTCTACTACCTAGTCCTGGATAGGGAGCTTGGCCGAAATCGGGTGGTGCAAGACGAAGTTAGCTCTTGTGGGCGCACAGCGAGTGTGGTAGCTTCAACATTGTAACTTTTCATTCTGGTGTTAGCGTTGCCTACAAGTTGCCGCCAGAAACAATGGGGAAGAAGAAGAGCTTCATCGACAAGAAGAAAGCTGCCACCTTCAGCCTAGTCTTTCGTGACAGCTCCGATGCGGCAGCCGGAGACGATTCCGCTCCTGAGCGCATCTTCGTCCGCTCCGATGGGCGGGATGAGGCGGCCCCGGGCTTTGATGGCACCGAGTCCCAGTTCGAGGGGGGGAGCGAATTCGCCTTGGAAGACGGGCTCAAAGACTTCCGGGGCTTTGGTCCTGCACACCCTTTGTGGGCTGGCCCTCGGGAGCCGTTACCAGAGCACGTGAGAAGAGAGGTCCTCGAGATGGGCTTTCCGGACGACGGGTATGATTACACGAAGCATCTGCGGGAGCTTCGTGGCGGGGGCGTCGGTGCGATCGCGGTCGCTCCAGAGAGGAACCTGCGAGCGGACGTGCGTGCGTATAATGCAAAGACGGTGCGCGTGAAGCCCGCGGAAGAAGACGAGATCCTGGCGGAGGCGGAGGCCGCCGGGGGTGCGAAAGAGATTCAGAAAGTAGGCGCGAGTGTTCTGGACCCGGACATTCTGAAGCTTCTGGAGGAGTCGGGGTCTGAGGACGGGGGGGACGAAGAGCTGGAGCTTGAGGATGATTTCGTGATAGAGGCAAACAGGGGGGCGGAGGAAGAAAACGGCGCGGCTGAGGGATTCAGAATCGCGCCAAGGGGGGCTCTTGGCAATGGTGGTGCGGTTCAAAAGTGGCTCGGGTCGAGCACGGGAGGGAAAGGTTTCGAGGTGGCAGAAATCGAGGAGTATGAGGAGTGGAGTGAGGAGGAGGAGGGAGAAGAAGATGATGCAGCGGCGATGAAGGGGAGGGGTTTCGCGGCGTCCAGCATTGCGTCGGACGTAAGGAACCGGGACCGTCCGGTGCGGCTGCTGGACGAGCAGTTTGAAAACGTGAGTGGGTGGTGCGCCTTTGATTCTGGCCTGGCTTTATTGCGTAATGCTGGAGTTTCATGGCACATGATGCCCCTTTTATTGTGGTACCAGAGCAACGATGTCAGTTATGGACCTCCCTTACGAACCATATGTGCACGTAGTACAGCTTGCTTTTGATGACCTCTCCGAATCATGACTCTTCTTTGCTCCCTCTAGTTTGGCTGCTTGCTCAGCTTTCTGGCCATGCCTGAAATTGCGTGTTGCGCCTCCCAGAATGGACACTTGGGGGAGGTTTTTGTGTTGTACTGTAGAACTAAGTCGGCTTGAAAACCTGTTGCGATCTCAAGTGACTTGCACACCTTGCTCATTGCAAAGCATGACTCACCCCCTGTGGCCTGACTTTCACCCCTGTGATTTTGCCCACCTCCTTCGGATTCTTGCCTGCCCACTGGTATCTACAGTAAGGATAGGCCTTTCTCAGAGCAGGTTTCTGGGAACATTCAATCTGGTGCCTCTTACCGAACGTTGTAGTGAAGCACCCAAGACAAAAGCATTCTGGCAAAAATGGTCCGCTGAAAGGATCACCCTTCTAAATGCCGTTTTCTCATCATCAAATCAGAAGTGGCAGGCTTCTGCGGGGTAGAGGAGACACGGGTTTGTCAGTCTGATCGAGCCAGAGACCCTTCGATCCTTCTTTCCTGTCCCATCTCGTTTCTCCATTGCCTGCCAGATAGAAAGGGCGCACCATATCCTAGATTTGGAAGGTACCAAATCAATCGGATCTTTCTTTGAGTCCACTCAAGTTCGAATTTCTCCCGAGTAGCTTCTGATCGCTCACGAATGCAACTGCAGTTAGCAGTGCGGGAGTACGATCTGGACGACGACTCCGACGAAGAGGACGTGGACGCACGCGGCCATGCGGACATCTCCCAGTTCGACTCGGTGCTCGACAGCTTCCTGGAAGACCACGATGTGCATCCCGACGAGTACCACACGCTTGCGGAAGTCGAAAAGGGGGGCAAGCAGCGAACGGAGACCGCGCCGACCGAAGAAACCGGTGGGCTGTCCAGAAAAAGCAATGTGCTGTCTGGGGATGTCAAGAACGGGGCAGTTGGACTCGAGAAGGAGACGATGTCGAGCGACCGGAGGGCAGACGGCTCTCCGTCAGCGGAGGCCGGTTTGCTTGAGGCCGCTAGCACGAGCGGAAGGGAAGCGGAGGTTGTCGAAGCCAGGACTAATAAAACCTCTGGAAAGGGCAGGGGTTTGGACGAGGTTTCGGACGGGGGTGCGGACGAAGAAGCGGACGTCCTGGGGGAGCTGCGCGAAGAGAAAGAGGTGATCTGGGTCGAGGAAGAAGACGAGCGGGAGCACTGGGACTGTGATACCATCGTGTCGACATACTCGAACCTCGACAACCACCCCGCACGCATCGGGGCCCCCCCGAACAAGTTCAAAAGTCTGGGCTCGGAACGGGGTAGTCAGAGAGAGGAGAATCTTCCCGGGCTGATTAGGTTGGGCGGGAAGGAGGGCCTGCCGATCGAGTATCTGCCGCGCCGGGGGGGGCTGGAGGGGCTGCCGGAAAGGCCCTCCGGGAAGGAGAATGAAGAAGATGAGAAGAGGGGGCCGAGTCAGAAGGTGGCGGGGCCGAGAGCGGGAGAAGGGAAGGAGGAGAAGAAGGCGCGCAAGGTGAGCCGCACAGGCTTTCTTAACCCCGGTTTCGCCTTGGTAACCGTTCCGCTTTTTTTCAGGAGTAGTTCGTCAGTAGTTAATGGTTTGAAGTCATCATCGCTTCGACCCTGGTCACTGAAACTCTTTTCGCTCGATCGCTTCGACCATGGTCACTGGAACTAGTTTCTTACCGAGACGAAATGATGCCAACACCTCTGAATTGATTCCTGATGTTTGTCTCACAACGACCAGCAGGCCTACGAGAGACTTTGGTTGACGATCTTTTCTCTCAGCCATTGGGAATCTGCTGATTGTCAGCTTCTCGTCGACTAGTTGCCAATATCATTAACCTTTCTGTTGACGAGGTCCAGCACTACACAAGCCTTGAAAAGCATCAGTTGATCTAGTCGCTTGAAGCGCGGACATCATGTTTATCAGAGCCATACATATTGATAATCTTTGGTCGGTTGCCGTGCAGGCTGCCGTTAAGGAGCAGCGGCGTGAGTCGCGGGTGGTGAAGCGAGACATGAAGGCTCTGTACAAAGCGGAGGCGCAAAAGGCAATCAACAAGGCGGCGGCAGCCGCGGGAGCGCCGCAAGGAATCCGCTTAGCCTAGATATCAAAAGGACGATCATGCATCAGCTTAAGACGGTCCAGAGGCCACCCTCTGGCCCTGACCTGCGGTCTAGTATCGAAATGTAGATTCACCGGATTCAAGCATGGGAGCATGTTCAATGGCGAAATGGCGCGTCGCGTCGCCCATCATGTGTGCACATTCAACACAGCAGCGTGGCAGAACCGTATATCAGCTCGGCTCTACCTGTACAGCTCATTCGAATGCCAAAGGTGAAGGTCCTAGCTATAGTCTGTACCGCGGTCTGCGTGCTTACTGTGGATGCTGTATGATCACCCGTGCACTGAGTGGACAATCGAGAGCGATTGTGCTATAACGAGCAGCTACATATCTAAACCCTCTTTAGCGCCTTGACACATGCGAGTTACCGTAGGTATAGGGCCGTTGCAAATTGCAGATCATAATTTTTTGACTGGCATGTCACGAAATCTCACAAACACTCATTCGACGGCCGACTCACTTGCAAGTACAAGCAATTGACAAGCAATGAATTTGCCAGAATGAGTTGTGCAAAGTGCTTTGAAAAGCGGACTGTCCAACTGTTCCTATCAATTCCTGTACATCTAGAAAATCTAATAAGGTATGCGATCTTTGCCGGAATGATTTCACAACCAGACTTTCTACAGGTAAGTCACTCTAGAGCCTCTCGGAGATGATCGTTCCCCGTCCAATCAATAGCGTGCAGTGCGTGTCCTCAAGGCTCATATCAATCCCACCAATCAGCAGCTGGATTTTCTACTGGCTACTGTACACAAATGTTAACTATCACACAGTAGCACTCAAACCGCGAAAGGGGCCCAGAATCTGTATCCAGAGTCAATGAAGCTCTTCCAAAGTGTCGCGGTGTAGTATGCCCCCCGGCAAACCCGAAGCACAACCAGCTGCGGAATCATGCTAGGAATGTAGCAGACGTGCCGTCCCTTTGATACATTCACTACATGATGAAGCGAATACTGCTAACAAACAGAGCACTCAAAACCCGTGATCCCGTAAGTAGTATACACAGTCTAGGCGACAAAGAATCCGTCAAGCCAATCCCGATCTCTCGCCAGTCGCGGGACGAACCCAACCCACCAATTGCGGCCGCGCCAACTCGCTCCCTCACAAGTCAAAGCTTGCGGTGATCCCGCACGAAGTTAGTCGTCAGCAATTCCGCCACCTTGGCGGCCCCCCACGCAACCAGCAAACACGCCCCCGCCCCCGCCGCGCCCCAAATGCGCGCGCTCTTCTGCGCGGCCGCGATCCCCGCTAACCCCGAGATCGCCGCGAGCACCAACGCGGCGCTCCGCAGAGTCTGCGCGGTTTTCAGCGACTTCCGACAGTCCTTGCAGTGGACCACGTGGCGGATGTACCGGTTGGTCGGGTCGAGCGCGTACTGGGCGCCGAGCGACCCGAACGCGGGGTTGTTTGCGGCGATCGCGGCGACCGAACCAACCGGGGCTTGGTCCACCACGGCCGGGGCGCGAGGCGGGGAGAAGGTGGAGTAGCCCGTGTAGTACGGCATCCCGTGACCCACCTGCGGGTTAGGGAGGGTTAGCGTCACGGAAGATAGATAATGATGAGCATTTAACA